AATCATCACCTCCAGAGCTAAGAACAAACTACACTTAAAGCAGGTTCCGTTATCGTCTAAGAAAGACGAGGAGTAACTAAACATCTGACACACTGAGCAGAAGCGAGTAGGAGAGGCAGGAGACCGGGGGGAAGCCATCATTAGCAAGTGAAGCTAAGAGAAGCTAAGCAAATATAAGCTAGGATCTAGTAAATTAAACTATCAGAGAGATCACCCGGAATGGAGATAAAGACAGTGCTTGGTGAAAACTATCAGAAATACTTACAGACTTTTAAACAAACAGATGTACTGATAGATTAAAGAGAGAAAAATAATCCAAACAGCAAGAACGCTATAAGGAGGAACAAAACACTACACACAGTTCAACAGCAAGGAAGGGAATGAAGCAATGCGCACGCTTACCAGTCAGGAGGAGGAGTCCCAGGAGTGCACCCTGCAGGTCTGCACTCCTACAGTTTTTCCACAATTTAGCTTTAAGCAACTCGTGGTTTTCAGCAAATTTCAGGCTTTATAATGGGTGTGTATTGGAGAGGCTAGAGTGTTTAATTACCTCGCTAGACATCATTGTGTTCATGAAGAGCGGAGGATTCGTATGATGTTCTTAATTTCATTCTGGGATTTAAGGAAATCACGCTATGTGAAGAAGTTCAGAGGCCCTAAATTCACTGCAGTTAGGCAGCTTCTCATTCAAACAATAGGTCAGTTAATGCTTTTGATGTCTGACAGCTGTTAAGAAGGCTTTAATTAACAGACACACACACACTCTGACAATGTGTGTGCGTTAGTCTCTCTCTCTTTCTCTGTCTATGACACCTGCATTTACACACAGTTAATATGTATATGCGTGAGTGTCTCTCTGTCTATGAGAACTACATGCACACACTTTGACCATGGGTCTGCTTCACCTTCGATCTTCTCCCACAAACTTTGAGCTACAGAAACCATTCAGGGCTCCAAAATCAGCTCATTGAGGACATTATGGGGTGTATTTAGGATTTTGTTAATTTATTGTATCAATATGTTTAGTAGAGTCTTGCGGGTCTCACAACCTCCTTATCATGAATATAACTGTTACAGAGAAAGAGCATCTCACCTGACAAATGGTCTGCAACAAGCTCCTCAACACTTTCAGTGAAACTTTTTTTGACACTTCAGCCAAAGTTTTCAGGACTCCTAATCCAACTTTTCCAAATGAACCTGGACTTTTTCTCCTGGAGTAAACCAATCAAAAGTTCAGAGTTTCATTTGCGCTCCCTCAGTTTCTCTCAGAAAGCAGCTCTGTAGCTGCTGCCCTCTGTGAAACATAACTTTTGTGTTATATTTACAAGTCTTATCATGGGGCTGTGACCAATGCAAAGCAAGCTAAAAATATCTCTAAGACAGACAGAAGCCATTCCGTTATGAAACTAAAGAGCTTTGAAACGTAGCCCTTGTGAATTGATGCTTGTGCATCTTGTCACTTCTTGTCTGAAGTGGGTTAGGCCACTGACAGGATGTGAGCATTTGAGTACCTAGCAGAGGGCAGCAGAGAGCGTGGACTGAAGGGACCTGATCAATTATTGTCAGAACTGATGCAACCAGCAGGGGGAGGCAGAGAGGGAGAAACTGGCCCTTCAGGTTGGGACAGCAGGTGCCTTCAGAACCTGTCAGAGGAGGGTGACACTCATGTTAAAACAGAGAAATTATTCAGGATATTGTGGGGGAGCAGACAGGAACCAGACCGGAGAGGGGATCCTGACAGGGAGGTCCCAAATACCAAATACCAAAGATGGGAATTGTGGAGTCACCAAGTCATCTCCATTTCATGGCTGTGTCCGAAATGGCATACTGCCTACTACTACTACTGTACTTACCTACTCAATCAGTACATACTGCATACTGAACACTCAAAGATGATTTGAGTATGCCGCGGCTGCCCGAGCGTTTACATACAGATGCATACTGAATACCCCAGAATGCATTTCATGCCGGCCGGACACAGCGCCGGGAAAATTTAAATAGTCCTACCACAAGCTACACAAAACGACAAATTATATAAATTCATTCAGTAATAATATTTTTTCTAGCGAGAAAGTAAGTGTTTACATCACGATATGAGCCCAGTTGTTTCAAATAGCGTCTGTTTGTAAATTTGTCTCTGCGTTTTCGGAGACTGAAGTGTCTGCTTGGTGGTTGTTTGCGTCTACGTACCGTAAACACTGGGCAGCAGCAGCTCCCCCTTTTCCAAATTTTTGCGAAGTGTTTTCATAATCAACAACTATGCGACACAAACCGAGCGGCAGTGGATGAAAAAAATTACACAAACACCTATGTATCCATGGTGATAATGCTATACACCACCTGCTAGGCGTGTGATGAGCAGCATAGGGCTGTAAAATGACCAACACACAACATAATTATTATGACCTTGTTCGGTTATTCCTTGGCAAATACATCATTTCCCGACTACATTCTTTTCATGTACAATGATAAATTTCAGAAACCATTAGGTAGTTCTGCCTGGTGTAGGCTAAAAACCATAAAGCGCTGCCATGCAAGAAGACAAAGGCTTCTTTTCTTCAGGGCAGTTATGTACTTCCTCATGGATTTTCAACCACAAGTAAGATAGGTAAAGCTCACATATACATTGTCAACTGGAAACTCCCCCCGTTTGTATCCTGAACCATGTGCTCTCTACCAATAATAATTTGTATTAATCAGAGGTCTGTGCTTAATATGAGTGACCACTTTGATGATGCATTCAGAGATGAGAAGATGCTCAAACTTGTTGTAATACATCTTTAATAGACACTTAAATAAAGTCAATTCATACGAATAGTTAAAAACATTACCTACAATCCAAATTTAAAATACAAATAAATCTGGTAAAAAGATAAAAATATGATAAAATGATAAAAAATTGTGAAATGTATACTGACTAAATATTGTTTATATATATATATATAAATAAAGCTATAGATATAGATATATAGATAGATAATTATTATTGCAATCACATGCCATCTATTTCTTTTCAGCCTCGGGACAGAGGGCCATATTGCCAGCTGAAGTGCGCAATGCATTGTGGGGCAGAAGCAGTATGTGAAGCAAGCTCCGCTCCATACTCAGAAATCGAAGCCGATTGAGTATACATCCGGGCATTTCTCGCATACACAAAATTTGCATACTGTACAGTGTGAACGCACTGCCTACTCAAATCGGGGGTGGGGTTAGTATGAGTAGAACAAGAAGTATGCCATTTCGGACACAGCCCATGTACAGGACTGTCTCAGAAAATTAGAATATTGTGTTAAAGTTCCTTATTTTCTGTAATGCAATTGAAAAAACAAAAATGTCATACATTCCGGATTCATTACACATCAACTGAAATATTGCAAGCCTTTTATTGTTTTAATATTGCTAATTATGGCATACAGCTTAAGAAAACTCAAAAATCCTATCTCAAAAAATTAGAATATTTCCTCAGACCAAGTAAAAAAAAAGATTTATAACAGCAAAACAAAATCAAACATTTGAAAATGTCAATTAATGCACTCGCTACTTGGTTGGGAATTCTTTTGCATGGATTACTGCATCAATGTGGTGTGGCATGGAGGCAATCAGCCTGTGGCATTACTGAGGTGTTATGGATGCCCAGGATGCTTCAATAGTGGCCTTTAGCTCATTTGCATTGTTGGGTCTGGTGTCTTTCAGCTTCTTCTTCACAATACCCCACAAATTCTCTATGGGGTTCAGGTCAGGGGAATTGGCAGGCTAATCAAGGACAGTAATGCCATGGTCAGTTCACCATTTACTGGTGGTTTTGGCACTGTGGGCAGGTGCCAGATCATGCTGGAAAATGAAATCATCATCTCCATAGAGCTTTTCAGCAGACAGAAGCATGTAGTGCTCTTAAATCTCTTTGTACACAGCTGCATTGACTCTGGACTTCATGAAACACAGTGGACCAACACCAGCAGCTGACATGGCTCCCCAAACCATCGCTGACTGTGGGAACTTCACACTGGATTTCAAGCAACTTGGATTTTGCTTTTCTCCAGCCTTCCTCCAGACTCTGGCAACTTGACTTTCAAATGAAATACAAAACTTGCTTTCGTCTGAAAAGAGGACTTTGGACCACTCTGCAACTGTCCAGTGGTTTTTTTCCATAGCCCAAGTCAGACGCTTCTTCTGTTGTCTTGAGTTCAGGAGTGGCTTGACCATGGGAATACGGCTATTGTAGCCCATTTCCCGGACACGTCTGTGAACGGTGGCTTTTTGGCTTTTGATACCTGGACTCCAGCTTCAGTCCACTGTCTTTGAAGCTCCCCCAAATTCTGGAAGCGGCTCTTCTTCACAATGCTGTTTAGGCTGCGGTCCTCTCTCTTGGTTGTGCAGCGTTTCCTGCCACATTTCCCCCTTCCAACAGACTTTTTGTGAATGTGCTTTGAAACTGCACTCTGTGAACAGCCTGCTCTTTTATAAATTTCTTTTTGTGTCTTACCCTCCTGATGGAGGGTGTCAATGATGGTCCTCTGGACAGCTGTCAGGTCAGCAGTCTTCCCCATACTTGTGATTTAGTTTACTAAACCAAGCTGAGTGTTTTTAAAGGCACACTAGTATACTTTTTCATGATATTCTAATATTTTGAGATAGGATATTTGAGTTTTCTCAAGCTGTATGCCATAATAAGCAATATTAAAACAATAAAAGGCTTGCAATATTTCAGTTAATGTGTAATGAATCCAGAATGTATGACATTTTCATGTTTTTAGTTGCATTACAGAAAATAAAGGACTTTATCACAATATTCTAATTTTCTGAGACAGTCCTGTATTTGTTCTGCTCTGCAACTGAACCAGCTGCTTCCAATGAGCAGCCAGGAAGGTGAGCTCACTAGTGGAGTCACCTGGTTCAGTAACTGAGCAGATCAAATACATGGCATGGAGATGACTTGGTGACTCCACAATTCCCATCTCTGCCAAATACTGTTAACATCTCCCAAACAGAAAAACAGAGACTGAGAATAAATCAAGAATTTTAATGTTTTTATACTGTAAATATATCCACAATATATGTTGTAAACATAACTGTATACATTTAGAAGATATATTTTATTCCCATACTTTGACTGATACTTCAAGTATACAGATTTATAGCATCAGATACATCGCAGCACTTACGTGGCAGATGGAAGAAGAGTCAGAAAACAAACAGCATAGAGGTTATCTGGGAGGGTTGATCATGCAGTGCTGTATGTAACAGATAACTTTGGTATCGTGTCCACCATAATGAAGCTTGTTTCATTTACAGAAGCAGAGAAAACAGCATTTAGAACTAACCTCACCTCCAAACAGCCCCCCAGCGTGAAGATTGTAGTATTTAAAAACCAATGTCGGAAACAGTCAACAAATAGACTGTTGTTTCTGTTTCCTTCACTCTTAAACAAGAGAAACACAAAGTAGGGGGGCAAGGTCGACCATTTACCAGGTATGACCCAGTCTGTCAAAAGCTGTGATTAATCCCACTTATTTCATGTATTCAAAGCTGAGTCAGACTTCAGCCAGAGCAGAACTTAGCTGCTTGACATTTTATCCAGAATGAAGACGTTGAGCACATCACTCCTGTTTTAGTATCTTCATTCAGGCTGCCAGTCTGTTCAGGATAAATTTGAAGCGCTTAATGATTTTTGTGTTAACTTTGGCGGCCCCCTGTGGACAAACAGTCTTCACTTGTCTCGTCCTCTACATTATTTCAAATCTCTAAACTCACACTGCCTCAGTTATATTGATGATCTTACACTCCACTACCATCCTCCATGACTGAAAACACAGGCCAGCAGAGCGTTTGCCTGAGGAGATAAGAAACTGGATTTTATGGTGACCTGATTTTGTTTCCTTTAAATATGGATTTAGCTTTTTACAATCCAAGCTGGTTGATCCTCCTCAAGGTTGTTGATTTTTCTTTTTATGCAGAGTACTCTGGATATAAAAGTTCTATATTATCATCACAGCTCCTGAGTCAGGTTCACTGATCACTGGGGATCGATCTGAACCATCAGTATCAACTTTTTCCTTTAGGTCTGAATGCTGTTTTATGAACAACACACTGCAGATCAAAACAAAATGATTGCTGTAAACTCCTGCCCAAACCCAGTTTGAAGTTACATTCAACAGTCATTCATCATAAACCTGAACTTACATGACCAACCAGACCTTACGTACACTACACCCCCATGACACACCTCGTTCATTTACAGAAACAAACGGCAAACATTCAGAACTTTCCTCAGACTTGCAGAGAACTCAGGGCCTCTCAGTAGGTCTAAGGAAGATCTTTGCAGAGCAAAACAAGAATATTATAAGATCAAATTTCTCAACATATCAACTTTAAGTACTTTATCTTTAACAAACACAAAAACTGATCTCTGATATTTGACACTAGCTGAACCTGTCTGATACCAATCGTGTCAGATTTGTTCTGATTATTTCTTCACTGTTTCTTCACATACAGACATGTACAGGTGTGATTTTTACAGGAGGTTGGAAACAGTTTGCTCTAACTCAAACAGTAAATCTGATCAATCATTACTGTCCTCTAACCAATATAATTCTCTATTGCTATAATGCTAAAAAATAAAAATTACATCAGCATCAACATCAGCTTGTTTAGAAAAATATAAGTATTCCTAAACCTGACGAAAAAAGAAACCCACAAAAAAAGGTTGAAGATTAGTCACAAGCTTCATCTGAAATGATAAGAATCTGAAGGGAAACTCTGAAACTGAAAAACTGTGGTGATAGTGCTGGGCGATAGGACGATAGATATCGTGGGCACGATAGAAAATGTCTATCGTGCCATTTCTATTTTTATCGTTTCGAGCGATAGGCTGTATTTTATCCATAGGGCTTGTGCCATCAGATGATTCATAGTAACAACAATAACTGCACATTCAGTAAGTGTATTTGGTGTCAAACGGGAAAGAAAACAATATTTTCTTACAAAGAAAAGGATGCATTGACATGTAGGCTCGCATTTCTCTTTCGATTTTGCGACATGACGCCACTTTACGTGCCCTCTCCGTGTCCAGCGTCTTCCGCCGTTGCGGGTTACCTGGGTTACACACGTGAGGGGATCATTGTAAGCAGTGCTTAATTTGTGCTGGAGCAAGCCGGAGCGCGCTCTGGGACCTTCCCTGTAGAGGATGACATTTTTCGGGAATTCCCGTGGGTCACGTGATTCCCGTGGGAATCCCACGGGATGGGAGTCATTTTTTTAATTAATCCCTTGATCGGGGCGGGACAGGAAAAAAAGCAATGGGAGTGGGCAGGAGCGGGAACAACATTTATAGATGATCATTTTCAGCCGTGTTAAACAACCAGATGAACAGGTGCGTCCATTTCTGTAGTCATCTCTCAGTAAGAGCCAACACAACTTGACCGCGCTAGCAACACAAAAGAACTACAACAGTGGTTTGACTTCCTGTCAGCTGGGAGCGCGGCTGCGCATTTCTACCCTTCAAGCCAGGAGCGAGGAAACGTAATTTTGTGACATTCTGTAGTTTTTCAATCATTTCTGGAGTCGTGGCGAATCAAATCACCTTAACTGTCTGCCCCTGATAGGCGAATAAAGCGCTCGGATTCATGCTCGGGTCTTGCTACGTGCTTCAAGAGTAAAGTAAACAGCGACGGAGGCAGAGAGCAGCTTTGGAGGAGAAACATCCAGCAGTGTGAACAACCTCTTCAAAAGAGCCCTAAAGTCCTACCTTTTTAATAAAGCCTTTGGTTAGCTTTCCTCTATGCTTTTACTACCTTGCCTCTTACATTGCAACTCTATATTCTTTATTTTTTTTATTCTCTTTTTTTATGCCAATCTGTGACTGTCATTCTATTGCTTTTTTTATTGTTGCTGCTCTTTTTTTACTGTGTACTGTAGCACTTTGAGATTTTTTGTAAATGTAAAGTGCTACAAATTAAATTTATTATTATTATTATTATTATGGAGTGCTTTGGCTCACACTATCGGCGTTTTCTGTGAGTGTTGCATAACTTTGGGTGAGCACAGACATGAACGCACTTCAGCCACGTATTTATTTATTCATTTTTCTAGTTTTAAGTGCTGGTCTTGTACTGGCACTGTACTAGGGCAGCTGTATACACTTTAATTTTTCATAGAACTGAAAGCATACCATAGCTATATCGTGGTATATCGTTATCGTGATATAAAATGATCCATATCATGATATACATTTTTTTCCATATCGCCCAGCACTAGTTGGTGAAGCTCCACCCACAATCCTACCCTGCCCCGCCTTCTGCCCAATTAAAGACTGACCTCACACCCTCAACGCCACTCCTCTAGGAATGATTTTTTCATAACTGAATTAAAATCACCCCAAATGATCAGAAATAACCACTTTTTTTCAGTCTTGTTTGAAACCGTTTATATCTGTGTCACTCTGATGAACCACCTTCAGTCTAAACAGTGAAGAGTGTCAACCCCGGTCAGTATGTCAGTCAGTACAGTATTGCCTTACTCTGAATAAGACGAGACGACTGAAGTTCATGTAAACACCTTAGTCTGACTATAATCGGAGTTTGAGAACTCCGATTACGACACCAATTTTCTCTACTATGTAACCAGCATAGTCGGAGTATGATCGGACAATGGGTGTGCGCGTGCGCGTGCGCCACGCCTCTGTAACCCCGGAACAAAAACATCAGAGAAGAGTAGTAGCAGCATGCGTCTCATCTGCAGAAAAAGGTGCACGTCCATCGTGTAGGACAAAAACAACACTGTACAATGCTCAATCTTCTTGCTCCAAAATGCCCAGCAGCAGTTGTAGACACTTCTGACGTCCTGCTGTTGTTGTTGACAGTTGTACGGGGTCGGAAACATTGCAGCTGAAAAGACCCATATCGCCCCCTAGTTTTGGGGAAGAGGACTCATTCACGTCAATAATTAGATTTTCTTAGCGGCATGTATCACGAACAAGGAGAGAAGTCCGATTCGGCAAAGAAAAAAATTTTGAGCTTAGTCAAATTAAGCTGTGCATGTAAACGCATTGAGTGTGTGCAGACTCCCTGCTAAAGAGTCCAAGAAGCCCCACCCACTCCACAATGGAACATTCCATTGGATCTTCGAAATTCCAGGACAAGCTTTGAAGTCAGAATTCCAACCTGAAAACTCAGGAACTTTGGTAACTTCAGCTGCATGGTTTATAGGCGACAGATGTTGCTGTCGCCCATAAACTGTGACAGAGTGCATCATAATCACCTACAAACGGCTAACAATGCTAACAAACCCGGGGGCTATTTGTTCAACTGGTGGACTTAAACATGATGTCATTCCCAGCTCCAACATCCAATTTTCCAGATAACTGGGGCATACCATTTAGCAGCACCCTTTGGGGATCTTTCCTTGCAAACATATCGACAAGGCATTAGTGCACAAGGAGAGTGGGAGACTCTAAAAAGGTGCAGTCTCTCTGAGCAGGTGAGAGGCGACCTACCCATCTTAAAGGGCTTCCTGAACAGTCTGGGTTGGCTAAACCGTGGCTAAGAGTAAACATATAGTCAACAGACTGTTGATAGAAAGCTTACATTCAGTCAACAGGGCCAACAGTGAGCTAACATTCAGCCAAAATAACTAGAAAAAGCTAACAGCTGGCTGACAGTCAGCTAACAGGGGACTATCAGTCAGCCAAAAGTCGGCTGATACATTAACTTAAATACAGGCATTGGTTGGCTAAAGGTACAGAAATATTTACCAACAGACAGCTAATAGTTAGCTTACATTCTGCAAACAGTCAACGCAAAGTGAGAAAACATTCAGCCAAGAGCCTAAAAAAAAAACAGTCAGCTAACGGTCAGCTATCAGTCAGCAAACAGTCTGCTAACAGTCAACTAACGGTCAGCTAATGAGCAGCTAACAGTCAGCAAACGGTCTGCTAACGGTAAGTTGACAGCCAGCTAATGGTCAGCTAAACATTAGCTGTTAGCTGGCTAATAGTCAGCTTAAAGACAGCTAACGGTCAGCTAACAGTCAGCTAACGATGGTCTAGCAGTGGGGCTGATGAAACACTGCTTTACAGGATGTTTTAATCTGAAGGGACCACAGCTTTGGGGGTCTCTGCAGTGACAGGAAATATGTGACTCCTCCAAAATAGAACAGTATTTTATCTATCTGTTTTTGAACTACAGTCTTCAGTAAATTTATCTACAATATCACAGTCTGAGTGTACAACACACACATGCAGAACAGCAGGAACCAGCTCCATACTTTCAGAATAAGAGTCTTCCTATCAGGATAAATGGCTTGTCATTAACTTGTTTCAGATTAAATAACACTTAAAGTTAAATGTGCAGCAGCTGCGAACACATTAAAAACACAGAACTCTTTGACCAGCACTGATTTTTCAGTCACAAACACATAAAAACCAGTCACATCCTGTCACATGATCATGACCTCATTCCTTTTAGCTGTTTACAAACAGTTCATCAGTCTGATGTCATCACAGGTGTCATTTGTTCTGCACAACTGCATCAGGTTCACTCTTGCAGATTGCAGGTGTAACAACAGGGAGAGAATAACTATATCCAGGTGTTGCCATGACGACAAGGCCCCAGCATTCCAGTTTTTCAAGGATCCTGATAAAGTTTTTTTAAAAACTTGCTTTGAATCTGTAAAATGGAAGACAGATTTCACTCCATCGCAGCCACTGAAGTCATTCAGCACTTCATGAGCTTAGGTCACTCTGTTGCCGTAATTGGAAAATTTGCTATTCATTATTGCATTTTCTTAACCTCCTGTTCTCCGGCAGCAGACCCCGCCTCCTTAATGATGTCATGCAGTCTGACCCCGCCTTCTTGGTTGTGTCAGAAGAGCAGGCTCTGCCTCCTGGTTGGACTGTTGGCTGAGAAGAAAAAAACACAGTGAGGAATTGTTAAAGTTATCACATTTGTATTCAGTATTTGAATTTCACAATATCACAAGATTAATGCTCAGACTGTGTAATGATGTGCTTGTTTGTGCAATATAACAAATGAAACAAACTATTTAAAGGGATATTCCAGCGTAAAATTAATCTAGGGTCAAACACACCATAACACCAAATTAGACACCCCCTCGAGAGATGAAAGTTGCCAACCACTTGCTTCTCTAGTTATACGAACTTCAGTAATGGCCGCAGATAGCAATAGGCAGAAGAACTACCGCGTCTGCAGTGCAAAATTATTAATATGGTGATTATTACTACAAGGAAATGATAAAGAAATGATCATAAATGTTCCTCCTTGAGCTATACACCCTGCTGTAGTCGATGGACTCGCCACGGGGTCTTCGTTAACAAGCAGCTGCTGAAAAAGAGTAGGTGAGTATGTTTAGTCTCTTTGCTAAAGAAATTAGTCAAAGTTAAAAAGATGTTTGGTGGCTAGTACTATGGCTGGGACCCTTCTAACAAGACGACTGCTTTCTGCTTTGTCCATCTTTAATTCAACCACTCAAAGGAATGCAGGCTTCCCTGATTAGGGGAGGAAATGGGGGTAACGTTTCACACTTAACTTATGGCCGCTTACGATCCAGGACAGAACCAAAGGGGGGCCTCGTCCCAAAAGGTTGATAGTGAATCTTCACGCTTCAAAGAGACAAGTTGCTTATCAACCACATGACCCCCAGACCGAATAAATATTGAGCCTTTCACTTTGGCTGGAAAAGGTCATAGCTGACACCTCAGAGTGACCCGAAAAGAGCATGAGAACATTCTCCAAGGCTGCATTTTGGCGCCAATCCATGGAACAGGCCCCTACCATTAAGCCTTTGAATGACTGTGTTTTTCAATGACTCTCTCTAAGGTGCAGGAGGAAGAGAATGACTGAAAATGGTTTAACTTCAGGTTTAATGGACACTTCACCAGGATTTTCTATCTGTACACCACATCATCAATGAAACTGTCTTTTCCCCAGTTTTCTAGCATGTCTACAAGCCAAACTGTCAACTTCAAAAATTTATTCCAGGTTTTCCATGGACCAAGAGCTCCTCCTAGTGGTGTTGCCTGAATGTGGTTTGGTCAGAACCAAATGTGTATTCAGTGAATTTAATTATGTGCATTTCTTCTTCTTCTTCTTTTTTTATACACTTCGTAGCTTAGTAAATGGTATTCCCAAGATCGGTTAGCAATTTTAGAAGTAGTAACAGGAAACTCTTTTATACTCAAGTTAAGAGTTTTCGAATGTATAAATACTATGTTTTTATCTACCTCACCCGAATATATATGTTAATCATTTATGAAGTATCGATTGACAAGGTTATATTGTTGTCAAGTATCATCACGTATGTGTTTCTTATGCTGGATGGTGTTTCTGTTCGAATAGATAATTTGGTTTTCTGTCCCTCTCTAACTTTCAAAAAAGTCATTAATTCTCTGTTATTATCAAGAAAACGGCTGATCATTTACTTTTCGTTAAATGTCATGTTTTAATGCATCTGCTCATAAGAAACAATAAAGTGAAATGTGATCGTATGTGATGTTATAAACAATTTTAATCATAGTGAGTGAGTAAATTACATCTAGCTCGCATTTAATATCAAGTTAAGTTAATTCGCTGCCAGTCGACGGGCCGCATGGGGAACAACGATTGCATAAGTGCCCCCCCCCCTCCCCTGTTGGTTCACGCCCCACGTGAACTGCTTAAAAGAGTTGAGCTTTTGCCGTCCTTGGCTTCTTCTGCTTTTTGCATCTTTACCTTTTTCGTGCTTCTTCGTTCTTGAGTTCTTTTGTCTCTGTCCATCGTCTTGCAATATTTCTCTGCGTTTTTATTATTTGCCTTAAGCTCAGACTTTTCCAGAAACTTGGATGAAACCATGCCCAAGTTTCTTTAAAGCATCAGAAATTAGCTGCGCGCATAGAGAACGTCAGTCTAAGCCTTTTATTTTATTTTAGTTCGCTAAAGTGACTCCTGAAGATAATATCGGCTGGCCAGTGAAATTATTTTCTTAAGTTATCTTGAAGACTTAAAACAGGCAACTGGACTGTGTAGACTTGAGAAGACGTCTCGCCTCTTATCCAAGAAGCTTCTTCAGTTCTAAAAGTGCTAGTGTCAGGAGCAGATATTTATCTTACTGGAGAAGGGGGACAGTTAACGACTGGGTGGAGTTGAAAAGAATGGGTCGTAGAAACCCATCTCTGGGTGTGTGTCCCCCCCAAGTCATTAACCTGAAGGGTCGTTAGCGATTCCTGTCATGTGACCACATGACTCATGCCACCTGGGTCATGTGGTTCCAGGTGTGAATGTTTGTGGAGCTTCCTGGGGAGAGAGCTGAGAACTGCATTGTAAGTGCCAGAGAGATTGTGCCTGAGTCCACCCCCTCTGTTCAGAGAAGGTTTCTCCAGCCTGGTAAAGATGGCTTCTTTAACTCCTCTTTCAAACCATCTGTCTTCACGAGCCAACACCTGTACATTGCTGTCCTCAAAAGAGTGACCCGTATCCTTCAAGTGAAGGTGGACAGCTGAGTCCTGACCTGAGGAAATATTTTCTTAAGTTATTGGCGCGAATTAATCTGCAACAAAGCTAGTTCTGAACGCCTGGAGGACCGACCAGCATCATCTGCCGAGCTGCGTTTGCCACCTGGTTCCGAGAGGCCAAGAGAACTGAAGTATCTAATGGCGCTGACATGGTCCTGAAGCCTGAGACCATTCACGGCGGAGAACTCCCCTCCGAACTTTCAGCATCCGGTCCGGTAGCCACAGAACTTCAGCTGATCCATTCCAAGAGTGCAGCTGAGAACCGACATCCAAAGTAGGCAAACTCCTCGAAACTGCTGTATCAACTGGGTGATGCCGTCAAGCATTCAGTAGCTTACTTTCCTAGTTATAGTTTAGTTCTCCAAATTCCTTTTTCAAAATTTACCCTCATAACTCCTTTAACGTAGGTTAAATTTTCTCTTATTCACTCACTATCATTAACCTCCAGTCTTAGGTTCAGTTCAAACCATTCCTTCATTTATTCATTAGATGTTCTTTGATTTTCTCATTATTTGATCATCATTTATTGAAATTTTGTTATCATATAGCTTGTTAATAAATTGTCCATTTAATTTTAAGTTGTCATCTCTTAGTGGTCTTTCCAGAAAGTAGAGTCCCTGAATGGAGAATTCCGGCCTCAGATGAGAGATTGATTTAAATCTGTTTAAGACTGATTCAACGTTTGATTACTCAACTGAACTTTGTTTCGTCTTTTTCCCACCAGAAAGGTGGAAAAGGTGGGTGGTGCCCCTTCAACGAGTGCATAAATATCATAATTTAATTTTATTAATTTTGGACATTTATTCTGAATTCGATTCACTACAAATTATTTGGTGTGGCCGTGTGAGGCTCATTTCAAACGACTTCTGGAAACAATAACAGACAACCTTAAGATTATCTCCCCAAACTAGTGAGAAACCCAACTTTCCCAACTCAGACCCCTTAAGATCTATGCTATGCTTGCTGAAATAACTGGATTGATTGCTTGATGTATTTCTGATGCATTTTTGAAATTGCTGAACTGGGCGTTTGATGTGTTCCTGATTCAGGTTCTGATGATATGAGCTCTTGTTAAAGAGCTGATTTTCCTGCTGCATACATTTGTGTGTGAGCCTGGACCAAGTGGATCATTGTTTTGATTGCAGCGAGGTTGCGTTTTCTGCTGTGCGCGCCGCCGATGCGTGTATCCAGACTGTTAACTTTTGAGTGCACGATTTCAGTGTCGCCATACGCTTGTATTAGAAGGCCTTGGGCCGGACCCGGTGTTCGTGAAGCTCCGAGCTAGGGTTGGGTATCGTTTGATTTTGAACGATTCCGATTCCGATTCCTCATTTCGATTCCGATTCCTATCGATTCTCTATTTCGATTCATTTAAAAGGCAGGATATCAAAAAAATTTTTAAAAAAGCATGGTTTGAATGAGGGTGCTAACCGGAGCTCTTCTTTTTGGATGAAATTTCTGAACTTCCCCATGAATTTTTAAATCATATGAACTTTTTAAGAACTTTACTATGAATTTCTCACAGGGCTATTTTCAACCAGTACATAAATATCAATTTTTGTTTTCAGGTCGTTTGTCTATGAAAAAGTACAAGGGCTAACGTTAGTTGGATATTTAAGTTAACTCACCGTACACAGTACAATTTGTTTACCGTTTCAAAGTTAGCAGAGGACAGAAGTAATTTATTGTTTCACTTATCTGATCCTGACTGGTTAGCGGAAGACAGGTGTTGTGCTGTAGAATGCACCCCTGCCGTAGAATGCCTCCCCTCCACTCATTAGCTTCTTAGTGGAAGAAATATGATCTCATATTTAATAAAACACGGGTATTAGATCATGAAAACATGTCAAATGGAGCAGTAAACTTTCGTTTTGTTTTTATGTGTCTCAAAAATGCACACATAGAGGTGTACTTGGGTATATAAACTGTACAGTAAGCTGTTAAGGTAGAGAACATTTTATTTTCGGGACAGTAAACATTCCGAATCAGAGGGCTGTTGTTTTCGGCATATCTGAATAGCCTGAATGAAATCATTAAAGGCACACGCTTTAGATTCCGTTCAACGGTAAGGAAAACTTGGATTGTTTCGCCGTGTACTTTTAACCGCGCTCCCGTCAGGGGTGCATTTAACGGCAGGGGTGCATTCTAAGGCACAACACCGGCGAAGCGCGTCAAAGACGAGCACCCGGGTATTTCTCCTCCATGAATCCTGAGGTGTTAAATCATGTTGGTCATTTACCCTCCTTTGCATGATCTAACTGTATTGCTAATGTTGCATTGAGATAAGAGTTCATTCTTCCTGCTAAAGTTAGCCAAACTTTTGACCAATGAAGAGGAAGCTGCCGAGCACCAACGAGGACGGAGCGTATGAGACAGAGCCACACACAGAGAGAGGAGAGAGACAGAGAGAGATTGTAACCAACAGCGGCTGCATTGCTGTGGGTTGCAATGTACTTTCTCTCTCTGTCTCTCTTCACTTTCTGTGGGCTTCGTCTCATACGCTCCGTCCTCATTGGTGTTAAGCGGCTTCTTCTTCGTTGATTTTCGGCGGCTATTTCTTCCAGTCGGCAGACTCCGGCATCAAAACTTGGAATCGAAATTTTAGTATTCGAACGATACCGGAAGAATCGAAATGTTAGTCCCGGTCCCCATCAATACTCGATTCTAGATACCCAACCCTACTCCGAGCCGTGGTTCTGAGTCCCCGAACCCTGTATAGTCTGCTACGAAGTTCTAGTGAAAGTAAAGGATTCAGTTATTCCTCATTCCCCGGCAGATTAGCTACCTGTCGCGGGAGATCACTGTTTCCAGTGAGAGGTTTTGTTAGAGTGATTTCAGACACAATTCTTTTTCACATATCGCCGCATTTCGTGAATTTAAGTCCGCAGTTTTGTCTGCTGTTGTAAGATCTATCTGGTAACTCTTGTTACTCCCGAGAGGAGTATAGTGAATCAATCTGCTGTTAGAGAGGCAGCGTGAACTTTTTCCATTACCACTGCTTGCGCAGCCGCAGTGAGGTGTTAACCCTTTTGTGTCCGTTAGAGAGACTAGTCGATCGGTGCGTGAACAGGCACGCCACCCTGAGGGGTGGAGCCCAATAGCTACGTCCTAATGTCGTGTCTCGACGTACGAAGCGGTTGAACCTCCCCCCTAGAACATCGCCCTCGTGTGGTGAGCGGCAAGCACTGCAAGCCAGCTCACAGCCACGTGGCCTTTATTTGCACAGACGTCATTATAAACAGACTGCAGTTTAGCCGACTGCCACGCCTCCCTGTTGTCAAACAGATGCCATGCAGACATAGTTAGATTGAGTTGGTTGATTGAGTTTCATTTTCTGTATTATAAATAAAACGTTGATGAGGTGGGGCTTAGTGATGAGGTGGGGCTGATGGCTCTGTGACCGCAACCGCTCGCGAGACTGTGCGTGATCCATCATGGCAGCCTGCTGCTAGACAAACCACAACAAACTTTTTTCGTCTTCAAAACTTTCACCGTCAGTTTTCCGCTTTAAACCTTTCAATTTTTACCTACCACTTCGACCGGATAACAACACAGACCTGGCTCATTTAGAGGATTACATCGACAAGTACTACAATACATTCTGCACCATGGGACGCTTGCAAAAATAAAAAAAAAACACGCACCACGGACTCATCCGCCTCATCCACTTCCACTTCGCCGGCACCCTCACCGACAACTTCACCAAAACCTCCCTGCTGCACCGAGGTAAATGACATACTAATATCCATTGACAATAAACTTACCTGACTGGATGCAAGAGTAGCGCTAATAGAAGTATTACACAAGGAATTCCAACACCTCCGTCACAGCCTAGAATACAGTCAACAACAAATAGACACACTCACACGAGAAAACAAGTCACTCCAGCACTCCGTTTCAACCGTATCGAACCAGCTTTCCTCCGTCACCACTCAACTAGCCTCTGTCACCAAAGAAAACAAAATCATGAAAGAAACCATCCTGGATCTACAGTCACGCAGCATGAGAGATAACCTGATCTTCTCCGGCATTCCCGAGCCATCCACGGACCAACCCGAAACAGCAGTAAAGGACTTCATGATCAAACAGCTTAAACTTCCCCCTAACACCGTCAACACCATCTCCTTCCACCGTGTTCACCGTTTGGGACAAAAACACACTTACACCACCCGACCCCGGCCCATCATCGTCAAATTCGAGCACTACAAACACAAAGAACTGGTACAACAACAAGGCAGACAACTCAAAGGAACGGACTATGGACTTAATGATCAATTTCCACCCGAAATCAATCACAGACGCAAACAACTCTTCCCCATCCGCAAGCAATTAAACTATAACAATTTAAAAACATCAGAATTCTTCCACTCATTCTCTGCCCCTTATAATTCAAAACAAAGAGGTGTATGTATTTTAATAAACAAAAGAATTTCATTTACCCATAATTCAACCATCACAGACCCAGAAGGACGGTTCATCATCATTAATATATCAATCAATAATAGCCCGGTAACAATTGGTAACATTTACGGTCCAAACACTGATAATTCATCTTTTTTTTACAACTTCTTCTCCACCATCTCAAACATCTCCAACTGCCCAGTCATAATAGGAGGCGATTTTAATACAATTATCGACCCATCACTTGACAGATCCAATAACACAAGTAATACACGCAACTGGCAATCCACTAAAACAATAAAACAGTTCATGAGAGATTTCGGTCTTGGCGATAGTTGGCGATTACAACATCCAACCAACAAAGAATATACCTTTTACTCACCAGTCCATCATTCTTACTCCCGTATCGACTTCTTTCTAACCAGTAATTCAATCATATCTGAAATTTCCAATTCAAAAATCCACCCCATCATTATTAGTGATCATGCTCCAATCTCAATTATATGGAATCCTTACACTCAACACAAACATGCTCCTAGATGGCGCTTCAACACATCTCTGCTCAGTGACCCAGACTTTGACAGTTACATCAAAAGAGAGTGGGCGTCCTTCTTGGAAATAAATGATTCACCAAAGTCATCACATACACTTCTCTGGGAAACAAGCAAGGCAGTTTTAAGAGGCAAAATCATTTCATTCTCCGTCCACAAAAAAAAGAAAGAAAAGGAGCAAGAAGTCAGACTGGAACAAAAAATAAAACAATTAGAAACGTTGAATGCAAATAATCCAACAAAAGACACTCAAAAAGAATTAAGAAAACACCAATTACAACTAAACGACATTTTAAACAAAAGAGCAAAATTTTTAATCCATAGGTTAAGACAAGAAAACTATCATCACAACAACAAATCTGGTAAATACTTGGCAAATCAAATCAAACAAAATAAAGAAAAATCAATAATTTCCACCATTAAGGACTCAGCAGGGAACCCCACCAACTCACCGCATGAAATAAATGAAATATTTAGAAACTTTTACACCAAATTATACGCATCTGATAAAGACCCAAGACAGGAGGATATTGATTCATTTTTTAAAGACATTAAACTTCCACAACTTAATACAGATCAGGTCAATACACTCGACTCACCAATCACAGAAACAGAACTCTCTACCGCACTAAATCTCATGCCAAACAATAAAGCACCAGGTCCCGATGGCTTCCCTGCTGAGTTCTACAAACACTTCTGGTCCATTTTATTCCAACTCTTCATGAAAACAATAACTGAAATAAAACAAAACTCTAAGTTACTGATACATATGAACACAGCTTTAATCTCACTTCTCCCAAAACCAAATAAAGATCACACCTTGCCGTCAAATTACCGTCCTATCTCATTAATCAACGTAGACATGAAAATCATCAGTAAAGCCCTCGCACTTAGGTTAGAAAAAGTCACACCTCACATAATTCACCCAGATCAGACCGGCTTCATTAAAGGTAGACAGGCATCCAACAATACACGGAGACTGTTCAATTTAATCCATTACTCATCATTACAACAGGAAGACACCATCATAGCCACTTAAGACGCAGAAAAAGCTTTTGACAGGGTGAACTGGACTTTTCTCTTTCATACACTACAGAAATTTGGCTTTGGGGAATCATTTATTAACTGGATCAAGATTCTGTACACCTCACCATCAGCCACCGTCACCACTAATGGTCTAACATCACAAAGATTCACACTGCACAAGGGGACCAGGCAAGGATGCCCACTCTCTCCCTCCTTATTCACAATTTTCATCGAGCCCTTAGCTACAGCCATCCGTATCCATGGAATTAAAACACCCCAAATACAGCACAAAATAAGTTTGTATGCAGACGATATTTTACTTTTTCTTCAAAATCCCCAATCATCTCTGCAGGAATTAATAAATCTCTTTGAATCATTTTCCCAAATCTCAGACTACTCAATAAACTGGAATAAATCATCCATCCTCCCATTGCACAACACCAGATGGGATGCGACAGCCCATACATTACCCATTCCTCTATTCACGGGTCACTTCACATATTTGGGTATCAACATTTCCTCCAGGTTGTCAGAGCTGATAGAACTAAACTTCACTCCACTACTTAAAACAAAAGATGACGACCTCCAACGCTGGATGAAGCTACCACTATCCATTCTAGGCAGAATAGCAACAATTAAAATGACAATACTACCTAAAATAAATTATCTTTTTTCAATGATCCTAACCCATCCCACTTCCACCTGGTTCAACTCTCTTAACTCGATAATCACTAAATTTTACTGGAAAAATAAAACACCAAGGATCAAACTGGCCACACTTCAAAAACCAAAATTACAAGGCGGATTAGATGCACCACATTTCAATTATTACTCTCTGGCAAATCAACTACAGTACATATACAAATGGACACACCCCAATTACTCAGATCACACCTGGTTAGACATAGAACAGACACTCTGTAAAGATATCCGAATTTCAGACACACCATTTCTCAGTCTATCAATCAAACGCCACCCCTGTTTCAATGCAATAACAATAGCATCTGCTCTGACAGCCTGGTGGAAATTTTACAAAATCACAAATACCACTCTTTCACCATCTAGCCTCACCCCCATTTGGAACAATCCGGACCTCCTTTGCAACAAAAAAACACTCAACTTTCACACATGGGCAGGAAAGGGCATCACACACCTTAAACACATTTTCCATAATAACAACCTGGCATCATTTCCCCACCTGGTCCAGGAGTACGGCATTGGGAGTAATCAATTTCTGGAATATTTACAGCTTAAGTCATCTGTCAAATCAAAAATTAACATCAGTTCCACAAATCTAGACCTTTCACCTGCACTATCAGAATTTATTAATATCCTTTCCCCCAAAAAACTCCTCTCCAAAATATATAAAATAATATTAGAATCTGACAAAATCATATCTCTACCATCACAAAAATGGCAACATGACCTGGCAATTGCTCCTGATGCCGACTTCTGGACCCAAATCTGTAAAAACATTTATCTTATCACTAAAAATGCTAACTTACAACTCATACAATATAAGATACTTCACAGAACTCACTACACTGGAGAAAAAATGTTTAAAATGGGCTTCACCTCAGAAATTTGCACCCACTGCACTCAAAACTGTCCCGACACCTACACTCACGCCATTTGGCACTGCACCCCAATCAAACACTTCTGAGAACTAGTCACCGAGTCATTATCACACCTCATGGGCTGCCGCATCCCTTTATCCCCCTCACTTTGCCTTCTAGGAGACTTATCATCACTCACAATAGACAAAACAAACAATAACCTTCTCGTGGCCTTAACTATCGCCAAGAAAACTATTCTCATGAACTGGAAATCTAGGAACACCATTCATCTGGCCCACTGGAAAAACCTGCTCATTGACCACATCTCTCTCGAATATACACCTACCCCCCTCCATACTACAACAGAATCTCAATCCCCCTGGTCCACTCTCATCCACTTCTTAACAACTTAAACACCCCAATTTCCATCCGACCAATTTATCATTTTTATTTATATAAATTTTTTTTTCTTTTAAATTTATTTATTTTTCTGTCTGAGAGCCAACCAATCAATTATATATAAATCTATCCATTCTATCAATAACATCCCTACACATGTTTTGAATACACACGCAGACACACATGCATACACACACCACACTCAATAAAACACATTAAGGGGAGGGGAATGAAGAGGGAAAGGGAAAGAGAGGGAAAAAAAAAAAAAAAAAAAAAGAAAGAAAATGTGCATATGTATGGTATGGTGTGTGTATGGTCCCCCCGGGTCACTGATGTAGCGGTGATGGTGTAGTGATGATGATGGTGTTGGTGGTGACGGAAGTGGTGTGCCGGTGGTGGTGGTGATGGTGGATTGGTGATCGTGATGATGATGATGGTAATGGCAGGGGGTGGCGATTGCTGTGGGGATGTGGAATGGCAGAGGTCGTTGTGGTGTGCAGCGATGTGGTCTGGGGGTTGGCTCGGGTCCCTGTGCCGCTGGAGGGTGGGCTGGCTGGTGCCCATGGTTCCCCAGTATCCTGAGATTGGCTCGCCCACCTGCCTGGACCCGGTGGGCGCAAAATGTGGGGATCCTGTGTGGGCCGCGGGCCGTGTCCCCCGCCCCTTTTTGGCCCCACTCTGCCCCACTTTCTTTTTTTGGGCCCCGGGCCAGTTCCATGTCACATGCCTCTCCGACTTTTAATGCATCACACACCAACCCTTCACACCCCACTTTTTAATGCATACATCACAGTGAAGTTTTTAATGCACCACATGAACATAACACAAGAGGAGAGTCATGTGCGGCCCAGGGTATTTAGAGGTGGAGTGGGTGGTCAGTTTGGTTGGCGGGTGGCCGCGGGGCGGGGCCCTGTGGGGTGCCCCGCAGGCGTCCCACCACGGTGGACGTGGGTGCTGGTCGGCCTGCTTTTTGGGTGGTGCGGCGGACCGGGCCGGCCTCTGGCCCAGGCCATAGTGTTGTGGATTGTGGTGGCTTTTGTTGTTCCATATCCTCATTAGTATGACTGTCATTATTGTTAGCGTCGTTGCGGTCATTTGTTCGCTGTCATTGCTGTCGCTGGTATTTCTGGTGTTGTTACTGCTAATGCTATTGTGGTTGTTGTATCATCACTGTTGTGTCGGAGATTCGGGGGGATTGTGTGTGTGTGGGTATATATGTGTATATATATGTATATGTGTGTATGTATGTGTGCATGTATGTTTGTATGTGTATGTATATGTATACATATAATTATTATTAGAAGGATATTCCAATGTAATCCAATTAAGATTTTTTTTTCTTTTCTTTTTAAATTCTCTTTTACATATTATATAAATTCCTTCCCCCCTCCCCTCCCTCACAAAAGTACTTTTGTAAATTTTTAATTTTTTTATCTTTTTGTTGTTGTTTCTGTTGTTGTCGTCACTCTGTTTTGTTGTTAAATAAAATTAAAATAAAATAATAATAATAAAAAAAATAAAACGTTGATTTACTTGATAAGCAACTTTTTTTTTTACTTTATACAGATAGATCACCTGCCTTATTAATTAGAATAGCTGAATTAAATCTTTGTCATCCTGTAATCATTGTTCCTTGCCTCTATCTTTCTTTGACCCTTTTTAGAACACTTAAAAGGTGATCACAGACTTAGGGCAATAATTAATTAATTAATTAATTAATTAATTAACCACCCGTGTGGTTAATGGTACCGGGTGGTACCACCACCCGGTACCATCTTAATTACAATTAATTAATTAATTAATGTAACATTAATCAATTATTTCAATAATTCCCTAATACATTTACAATCAGAATTTTTGTTTTATCCCTTTTAGGGATAAAACAAAACCCCAGCAAGATCAGAGCGGGCGAAACTCACCATATCATTCACAAGGGCCACAGACAGGGATATTGACAAAATGGCTCGTAACATCATACGATTTGAACCCGGTAGTAAAGGTTCAGAAGACCCAAGCACCTACTTGAAAGACATCGACTTCTACTTGAGGAAGTTTCCAGGTGCTCTTGTGGATGAGAAAATCTACTTGATCAAAGCTACCTCCAATCGAGAAGTAAGCAGCTTCATTGAACGACAACCCCGGCGGGTCAAGAACGACTATGACTTGCTGTACCAGGCATTAATTGTCGAGTTCTCCGACTCCCTTACACCCACTGGTTTAGCCGCTGCACTGTTAGTCAAACAGGAGAGACAGGAATCTCTCCAGTCATACTACAGTCGCCTGCGCCAGGCTTACTTTGGTTGTCAAAATGAACCTGAAATGGAGGAAGATCTCAACTTTAAAACTTTGTTTATTCAAAACCTCCATCCAACCACGAGTCATCATCTTGGTGTCGTTGCTTGTCCCCGAACCTTAAACAGCAGACAGCTCCGTGAACTGGCTGTAAAAGGCTTTGCTAAACAGCGACACACCCAATCTAAGAAATCTGAACCCGGTACCGTCTTGGCTGTGGACACAAGGTCCATGCCCCTAGAGGGCGGTGCCGTGGGTGCGCGTTCAGATGCACCTCAAACTGTAACTGCCCGACCAACCCAGAATCTGAAAACTCCCTGATATCAGCCAGTTGATAAAGTTCAAAACCTGAAGCAGCCTTGGTCTGACAGTGGACAACACCAGGTTAGATTTGACGGAAATCGTCCACGCTCATACCCTCACAGGGGTGGGGCTCACCCTAGAAGGGATGACACCCATCGACCCTACCGACCTGACAACAGGGGGTGGAGGGACCGGTCAGATCATTATGGTCCACGCCAAGAACAAAACTCCGAGCGACCTTACCCACAGTTTCAGTCGGTACTCTCTGACGAAGAGATGGGTACAAAGACCAAATCAGACCCTCCCCAGAAGGGTGATGGATCTAAAGGTGAATCAAAGTCCTCTGATCTGACAGAGGAAGAACGCAAACTTCTTCCAGTAGAATACTGAGAAAAGAAGATAACAAAGCAGATCTCTTCTCCATTGCCGTCCAGCCTGACACTTCTGAGCCAAGCATGGTGTCTGTCCAGCAGACTGCAGTTCAGGAGGAAGTGTGTATGTCCTTATAGGAGTCGGCGACACCTTTACCGGCTGACACCTCTGTCGATCTTGAATCTCAGGACAGTACATCACAGGAAACGACATCTACCAGCTCCGTCTTGGTAGTGCAGGCGAACTCTGCAGAGGAGCCAGCCGAAGAAGACTCCTCACTTATTCGGCTTGAACCACCTTTCCTCCAATTCTTGTGCAACCTCACTGAGAAAGGCATCGCACAGAAGTTTAACATCAACACCATTCTTGAAAATGAACTTCAACACGAAGCACTCTTAGACACTGCTGCTGACATCACTCTGATGTCCTCAACGCTTTTTAACTGCTTGCGCAATATGGTGCAGCAGTCCAACAGGGACGTCAAGCTGCAGCCATGCGCCATGGAGATTCGGCCATACTCCACAGACAGTACGACTTTAAAAACATTGACTATGTAGAACATCTCCATTGGACCAATGAACATCATGCACCCCGTGAATGTGTCACCCCTTGAGTCGATTCCTTTCCTCATTGGTCACGACCTCTTAAAACAGTTTGAGTCCCTGATCGATTATCGACAACTGAAAATATGGGCACAGGTCCGCAGACCATTACCCATACCAGCAACCGACAGAAATCGGGCTCAGTGTTACGCCCTGACGCATGAACTTGCTACAAGCACACTGGCAAGTGTAAGCTCACATGGAGCAACCCTACTTGTCTGACGATGAGCCACAACCTTGCTCGTGGCCTTTCGATGACTCAGTCATGAAAAGAGACCCGTTTTTGTGCAAATTGGACGACACCAATGGACCCGACACCCCCGGGCCATTGATCACTGATGGCGTTAAGTTGAATGAGAATCACGTCAACAATGTGATTTTGGCTATTCGGGCTGATAAATCGGCCATCAGCCATCAGCATGACACCTTGTCTAGGGATGACCCAAACCTTCGGACAGCATTTCGCTTCCCCTTGGAATCCCTTCCAAAAGCTACCATGACTGCCAAAGGTGCCTGTGCCTTAACTTTGCGATGGAACAAAAGGGAGATGACTCACCACTTCGTGGTCATCCCAGACCTACCACATCATGTCTACATGGGAAGTGATATACTGGTCAGGTTGGCAGTCTAAGTCGATACCATTAACCACGTGCTGAGGTCACTTACCGGTGTACATGAGAAAACCCAAATCCCTGATGTCGATAACATCATATCAGGACAGTCCATCCCTGAAGCCTGTCAGGTAGCCAATGAACATAACATTGTCATACCTGCGATGACCAAAAACATTCCCATTCGCTTGAACCTACAATGTGGACAACAGCTGTTGCACACTCAAGCTTTCTTCCAGCCATCATTGCTCTTTCTTGAACTAGGGCTGTCTACTCAGGCAACCCCTCTTTTAGAGCTTCACTCGAGATTCACACACTTGCTTGTACAAAACACGACATCAGAGGATATCCTGATCCCTAAATCCACCCCGCTGGGTTGGTTGATCAGCACTTCGTTCCACGACTTTGAATTTAGGATTCCTGTAATAGGAAAAATGCCTCATTCTCTTATATCAGACCATTCATCGGAACAGGTCTTTCATACCCTACCTTCCAGGGCTATCTCACTCTTCCCAACTGTACCGCTGGACCATGACACCATCTGTCAGGTTGACCTCTCTGAGGACTCACAGATGGTTCTGCACACAGTGCAAGTCCTAAATGTCAGTTTGGAGCCAGAAACGGCCCCTACACTTTCCAGGATAGAGCCCTCTATCTCCCCAACCGTGCAAACACCTGTGCACGATCCAGACTTTGACGCCAAAGTCGAACAGCTCTTAACCGAGGCAGACGCCCTGAACAGCGAAGAGGAGCGTGAAAAGCTTCGCAAACTTCTGTATAAATATCGGCGAAGAGTCTCTTTTGCAAAAGACTCGCTTGACTGTGGCTTAACCTCCATCCACTCTGTCCGCATTCCGACACCACCGGATGCACCACCAACCTTTGTGCGCCAGTACAAAATTCACTTGGCATCCTTTGAACCTATTCAGGAAATCATAGAAGATCTTTTGGCGAAGGGGATCATTCGGCCATGTAACAGTACCTACTCAGCCCCACTCTGGTCGGTACTGAAACCAAACGGTAAATGGCGACTGACCATTGATTACCGTAAACTGAACCAACAAGTTCCCCTTTCCAGGTGGCCTGTGGCTCAGCTCCAACAAGATATGCCAAAGATCACTGATGTGAGATACTTCTCCACTCTTGATGTGGCATCAGGGTTCTGGACGATACCAGTACACGAAGCTGATCAGCACAAACTGGCGTTTACTTTTGCCAACAGGCAATACACCTTCACTCGATGCCCTTTTCGGCTATGCCAACTCGCCAGCAGAGTTCAATATCTTCCTCAACAAAGCCTGCCCAGATGCTAGTGAGAGGGGTACCCTCATATATGTCGATGACATCTTAATGAGGAGCCTAACCCTGGACATGCATCTCGCTGAGATACACCAGGTCCTGAACCAGCTCACGAATGCCGGGGCAAAGATATCCCTGTCCAAATGTCAGTGGTGCAAGACCGAGGTGAACTACGTTGGTTTGCTTGTTGGTCCAACAGGTGTCGAACCGCAGCTGAGTCGTATTCAGGGACTGTCCAACCTTAAAGCTCCCACAAACATCTCAGAGCTTCGCAGCTTTTTGGGAGTGTGCAACTACTCCCAACAGTTCATTGAGGACTATGCAAAACCCCTCACCAACTTGGTGAAAAAGGATGTTCCATTCACTTGGGGATCGTCCCAACATCACGCCATGCAAGCTTTGAAAGACAGACCTTGTGCAGCTCCTTTTCATGCCTTTCCAGACTGCAACAGACCGTTCTATATGGAGGTCGGCTTCTCTTGTCACTGCCTCAGTGCAGGACTATACCAGATCCATGACTCAGATCAATGAGTCGTCGCATATGCTAGCAAAACCTTGTTGGCTCCCGAACTGAAGTTCTCTGACTGCGAAAAAGCGCTTCTCTCCAACTGTGTGGGCTGTGAAGCATTTTTCAAATTATCTTGGAGGCCAAAAGGTGGTTGTGGAAACCAACCATCAGCCAGTGACCTTCCTTAACAGCCAAAGGATCAGAGATGGCGTTGTGACCAATGCTTGTGTAGCATCTTGGCTCAGCTCCAACAAGATATGCCAAAGATCACTGATGTGAGATACTTCTCCACTCTTGATGTGGCATCAGGGTTCTGGACGATACCAGTACACGAAGCTATCTCGTCACCGGTACTTTGACGACAATGTTTGCAAAGACATGATTACAGCTTATGTTGATGGCTGCTCATACCATCACGACACTGTTATCCGAGCAGGCGTGGGTGTTTTTTGGGTCAACCACAAACCGTGTCAACCACTCAGCTTCAACCTAGGGTCCCAAACGTCCCATTATGCTGAAGTGGCAGGCATTCTGATTGTTTTGCAACTCAAAATCCACGCCTTGACGATCTGTACAGACTCCAACTATGCGCGACTCAGCTTCTCATGCCATCTGCCTTTGTGGAAGCGCAACGGTTTCTTGACCTCAAACAGAAAGCTGGTCAAACACAAAGAACTGTTCCTGGCGGCGACTTCTTGACCACTAAACATGATCTTCAGGTCTACTGGAGGAAAGTTAGGGGGCACTCTCGTATTCCTGGTCCAGACAAGATGTTTAATGACCAAGCTGACTTCTTGGCCAAGCAGGGAGCCTTAACTGGCTCAAACTGGCCCTCTGTTTTTCCCCTCCCACCCGAACCCCTGGTTTGTGCTATCACCAGAGCCCAGCCTCAAGCTCCGCCTTGCCCGACTCCCTCGGGCCCGGTCTCCACCACTATAGCTCCGGCTTTTTCTGACTCTGACTTGCTGGCGCTCCAGGCTTCGGACCCAGCCATCTCTGCCATGACGCAATTCCTTTCGCAGCCTCCTGACTCCTCCATTTCTCCTGACTTACTTAACTCCATCACTGACCTGCGCCATCTTTTGCCTCGCAGCCACAGGGGGGTGATGTTGACATACGCCCATAACGCACCGTGCACAGGACACAGAGGAAACAAAGCCACGCTCCACGCACTCCAACATGTGGCCTATTGGCCACACATGCAGAAAGATGTAGCTGACTACATAAAAGGGTGCCTGGTTTGCTGCCAATTTCAACTGGCAAGTCCACTTCACCGAGCACCTCTACAGCACAGAGGTATCTCCTTTCCTTGGTCAGACCTCCAGATCGACTGGGTGGGTCCTCTCACCAAGTCAGCGAGAGGAAACAAATACTTCCTCACAGATGTCTGTGCATTCACCAAATGGGTAGAATGCCTACCAGCCCCAAATGATACAGCTCAGACCACAGCCTGCCTCTTGATGAACCACATCTTCTTGCGGTTCGGACTCCCGATTCGTGTCAACTCTGACAGAGGGACACACTTCACATCAGAGGTCATGCAACAACTGTGGGGACTGTTGGGCATCAAAGCCAACTTCCACATCAGCCACCACCTTCAGTCGTCCAGAAAGATAGAAAGGGCAAACCGAACAGTGGTAACCATACTGAAAAAGTATGTGTCGGCCAACCACTAGGACTGGGATGTTAAGCTTCCCTTGGTCCTGATGGCCATCAGAGCAACTCCACACGAGTCAACTGGGTTTTCACCCTTCGCGCTGATGATGGACAGATACATGACACTGCCTCTGCACCTGCTGTATCAGCCAAGTAAGGCCAGCATTGCGACAGCCTACACGACTCATCAGTACATGACTGACCTACACCAGCACCTGAAGGCAACTTTTGCCTTTACCCAAGAGCATCTCAGTAAAAGTGCAAAAGGACGCAAGTCTTCTTATGACCAAAAAGCCTCCCAACAGAAACTCCAGGGGCCTTATGTATCAACGCTTGCGGCGCAAGAAAACCTTGCGTATGCCAAAATCGGCGCACACGTCCAGATTTATCATCGCAAAACGAGCGTTGGTTCCAGCGCTAATCAACGCAAAGTCAGGAGGTGGTGTAGAAATTGGCGTTGAGCCGATACTTGCGTTGACTGTGATTCGCACTTTGGCGACGCTGTGTGGCGGTGTTTGGTGACTCACTATGTGACAAGCGTGCACCACATCCCCGTGGCCGAGCAGCACGTCGCCCCACATGACGAACCAGCAGCAGACGGAGGTATGCAAGCTGATCCCTGCCGGGCCGCCGTCCTCGCGCAGGAGAATCTCATCGCCACAGTGTGAATGGGTAAGAAGTGAATAACAGTTCAATGAGCCAAATTAATTTATTTTCTCCACCAGACGCTCGAGGACATTTACGAGCCGGTCCAGCCGCTCGTTGATCCCCGCGATCCCCCTGATGATTTCTTCCTGCGATTGCAGGACCCCCTCCGCGAGGACCCTTCCACTGCGTCCGGGTGGTCCAGCGGAAGCGCCGCGGCTGGTGGACGCTCCACCGCTTGTCGGCGCGCTGATGCTGGTGCTGGTGCTGGGGCCGGGGCCGGGGTGGCCAGAATGCCGCTGGTCCTGGCCGACGACTCCGAGCCGGCGGACGGGCTGCCGCGGGCCGGGGTTCCGCAAGCCGGCGACACGGCCGACACATTGATTTCTGTGACACAATAAAAATATTTGTTCATTTCAATTCCTGCTTCTGTGTATCTGTTGCATTTACATCTCTCTCCACGGTATCATAGGTAATGTAATCCAGTATTTAATGGTCAGTTATGCACATTACAGTTGTTTATTGCATAAAAAGTTATCGAAAAATGAAGTTAAGGGCGAAGTATAAATCACGTCTAAAAATAGACTGAATCCCGACGTTGAAATGAAGGATAAACTTAGACTAGACGTCTAATATACGTCTTTTGCTCAGTGGGATGACAAAGCATGTGGACATTTGTGTGACACGCCACTTACCCTATAATAATAATCGCCACCACCCGCTGCTCAAACGGTGTGAGGGTCTCCTCCCCCGGACCCCCATCCGTCTGGTCAGTACTCCTCCGGAGGGCAGCTGTACGCCACTTGACCTCCACCTTGAGGTCCGACCACTTTTTTTTAATCGTCGCGGGGGTGCGTGTCTCGGAACCCACCGCATTCACCCTCTCGCAAACTTTCTCCCACTCCAAGCGTTTTTGTTTTGCACTGACGCCACTGGACAGGCTGCCAAACAAAACACGCTGTCGCTCCTCCACCTCCGCCACCAGCACCTCCACCTCGCACGCCGTAAATTTAGTTTTTCTTGTCATTTTGTCTGCGTGCGAGGACAGGGAGACCCTATTTAAATAAATCTGCATATTTATAGGAGGGCGTAACGGGGACGGGCCCAGTCACTCCGACATCTGCGCTCAATTCCACGCTGATTGGGATTTATCAAGGAAACACACGTGGATTTCGGCGCCCGCACACATTGATACATACGGATTTTTTTCAGCGTGACGGACCTTGCGTGCGCTCGTTTCTGGTATGAGTTCCACGCAAGTATTGATACATAAGGCCCCAGGTGAGTGACAAGGTGTGGTACTACCTGTTCACCCAGCCTACTGGAGACAAAGCCCCAAAGTCTGGGAGACTGGCACGAAAGTTCCTGCCCCGCCGGGCAGGCCCCTACCTGATCACTGTAAAGCTCTCTTCTGTTGTGTACCAAATCAAGATCACAAAGAGCCGACCCTTAAATGGGTCCACCGCAACCAGATCAAACTTCACCACAACCCCATGGGACTTGTCGGGGCCTCCAGCGCCACCCTTGAGTTATAAATTAGAACAGTTCTAAGCTCTCCTGATTAACGTCAGGTCCCCTAGTGCTTTGATATATTGTGTCTACGTGAAGTTTGTCCTATTTGTACATCTGTATTGGTGTTGAATTGTTGTCACTGAGTTGCCCTCGGGCACACTTTGGGTCACAAAGGGGGAGGAGTAGATAAAGTGATTTGATTTGGGACGATTTGAATTTTAGATTGTCTAATCTCAATTTATCCTAACGATGTCCACCCTCTTCCCCAGGATGATTTGGTTGATAGCGCTTCTGATTCTCTGCTTGGTAGCTGCTCCAGCTAGCCCCAAGATCGTAGAGCCAGGACCGGACTCTGGAATTGTTTTAAGGGATCAGCCTGGACTCCTTAAACGGACTGTCGCCTGCACACGCAGAAGGTGTTTGTCAGGCTCAACCCTAAGGAAGTCCTCAAGAAAAATGTTCCAGTAACGGCTCAGCTGACCAGTTGGGCCGGGACATATTGGAGCAAGGAAGTCGTGAATCACGCAGAGTTGGACATTACTTACATGTTAGAGCAGCTTCAGAAATTCACTGTCACCCAAACAGAGTTAAGTGGTACCAACAGAAGGTTCAAACGCTTTATCGGAGCGCTGCTCACCGCAGCCTCGGTTGTTGGCTCTTTTTTTGGTATTGGGCTCTCCTCTGTTAATGCAATTAGTTTAGCTACTGTCAAACGCCATGTGGGTGAGCTAGAAGCCGAAATTCCAGACGTCAGGGCTCATAAACAGACAGCAGACACAACTGCAGACTATCGGTCAAACACAAGGGCACCGTCCTGGTAGTTAACACCCACACCGAAGTCCTGAATAAGACGCTGCGTGCTGTAAATTCCTTGTTGTCGGTGGTCCGGGTCAACTATGCTCATACAATGCTGTTGAATATGTTCATGTCAGACATGTTGCAAGAAATCTCATCACCGATAGACAGCCTGGCTGCAGGCCGGATCCCTCCATATTTGGTACCTCTCTCATTAGTCCAGGATTTACTATCAACTGCAAGCAGAGAGGCCATCACTCCTTTACAAGCCCACCTCGCGTATACCCTAGGTAGCGCTGTGCCGATCTACGTTAATCCCGAAGATCGAGAAATTGCTTTCCTTATCAACTTGCTAATTATAGCATCAGGAAGCATCTATAGGTTAAAGGATGTAGTCAATGTCGGCTTTTGGAAAGGGGACACACACCTCCAAATTCAGACCCCACCAGTGGTCGCTAACCATGACAGCAATCCTGATCTATATCTAGCTCCTAACTTGCGCATGTGCACGCTAACCAAAGACATCCACTACCTCTGCCCCAGTAAACCATTTGTGTGGGATAGTACCAACGGCCTCTGCGGTGTTACACCCATGGTGCCCAACACTCGATGCCCCACTACAGCAAGACACCGCTCACTAGTGACTGTAAAACGCAGGCAGAAAGGGTGGGTCACCGTTGGTTAGTCAACACCCCCACTAAGACTGCCATTGTAAATTACGACCAACACGACACTGCCACACACATTTCTTTACTGGATCAGACCATGTGGATTGAGGTGCCACCGAATGCCATTCTCCATGTAGATGACATTGCCCTCTATTAACTTAACCCTGATCAAATTGAAACAGAGGTTCAAGGGCCAGCATTTTTCAGCAAGCATACGCTCCAGTTAGATCCAAGCACCATTTTTCAGATCCAATATGCAGGTACTCAGACCATTGACCTAACGTCTGTTGATGACATCCTTATAGACACAAGATCTCAAGAAAAGTCCCCGCTGCAACCCATAGTCCATGTCTGGTCCACCCCAGACACCTTGCTAGCCGCCGCCATAGGGTTAGGGTACCTCTTCACCTTTGGGTTAACCTTCATCTACGTCAAACGTGGTAATTTCCCTGCAGTACAAAATAGACCAATGAGTCACTAGGTTACAACTCTGTAGACAACCAGAAACGGAGCAGCGAGCTGAGGATCCAGAGGAAGACCAGGTGAGCCACATGCTCGAGGTGTAGTCAGTTTCCTGTAACCCTGCACGCATATACTGTATTTAGTAGACTTAACATGTACAATACATCTAACTAAGTAACTAGTTCTGAACGAGACACATCACCCTCCTTGGACTAACTGCCGCTTCCACATGGTCATCTCATCTCATCGTCCCAATGGCTCCTGAAGCTGCCACCGAGACGAAGGGGGGATTTGTAACAAGACGACTGCTTTCTGCTTTGTCCATCTTTAATTCACCCACTCAAAGGAATGCAGGCTTCCCTGATTAGGGGAGGAAATGGGGGTAACGTTTCACACTTAACTGATGGCCGTTTACGATCCAGGACAGAACCAAAGCGGGGCCTCGTCCCAAAAGGTTGATAGTGAATCTTCACGCTTCAAAGAGACAAGTTGCTTATCAACCACATGACCCCCAGACCGAATAAACATTGAGCCTCTCACCTTGGCTGGAAAAGGTCATAGTTGAAACCTCAGAGTGACCCAAAAAGAGCATGAGAACATTCTCCAAGGCTGCATTTTGGCGCCAATCCCTGGAACAGGCCCCTACCATAAATCCTTTGAATGACTGTGTTTTTCAATGACTCTCTCTAAGGTGCAGGAGGAAGAGAATGACTGAAAATGGTTTAACTTCAGGTTTAATGGACACTTCACTAGGATTTTCTATCTGTACACCACATCATCAATCAAACTGTCTTTTTCCCAGTTTTCTAGCATGTCTACAAGCCAAACTGTTAACTTCACAAATTTATTCCAGGTTTTCCATGGACCAAGAGCTCCTCCTAGTGGTGTTGCCTAAATATGGTTTGGTCAGAACCAAATGTGTATTCAGTGAATTTAATTATGTGCATTTCTTCTTTTTTTTTTTATACACTTCGTAGCTTAGTAAATGGTATTCCCAAGATAGGTCAGCAATTTTAGAAGTAGTAACAGGAAACTCTTTTATACTCAAGTTAAGAGTTTTTGAATGTATAAATACTATGTTTTTTATCTACCTCACCCGAATATGTATGTTAATCATCAATGAAGTATCGATTGACAAGGTTATATTGTTGTCAAGTATCATCACGTATGTGTTTCTTATGCTGGATGGTGTTTCTGTTCGAATAGATAATTTGGTTTTCTGTCCCTCTCTAACTTTCAAAAAAGTCGTTAATCCTCTGTTATTATCAAGAAAACGGCTGATCAAATTTACTTTTCATTAAATGTCATGTTTTAATGCATCTGCTCATAAGAAACAATGAAGTGAAATGTGATCATATGTGATGTGATAAACAGTTTTAATCATAGTGAGTGAGTAAATTAGATCTAGCTCGCATTTAATATCAAGTTAAGTAAATTCGCTGCCAGTCGACGGGCCGCATGGGGAACGATTGCATAAGTATTCCCCCCGTTGGTTCACGCCCCATGTGAACTGCTTAAAAGAGTTGAGCTTTTGCCGCCCTTGGCTTCTTCTGCTTTTTGCGTCTTTACCTTTTCTTGCTTCTTCTTTCTTGAGTTCTTTTGTCTCCGTCCATCGTCTTGCAATATTTCTCTGCGTTTTTATTATTTGCCTTAAGCTCAGACTTTTCCAGAAACTTGGATGAAACCATGTCCAAGTTTCTTTAACGCATCAGAAATTAGCTGCGGGCATAACCTCAGTCTAAGCCTTTTATTTTATTTTAGTTCGCTAAAGTGACTCCTGAAGATAATATCGGCTGGCCAGCGAAATTATTTTCTTAAGTTATTGGCGCAAATTGATCTGCAACAAAGCTAGTCCTGAACGCCTGGAGGACCAACCAGCATCATCTGCCGAGCTGCGTTTGCCACCTGGTTCCGAGAGGCCAAGAGAACTGAAGTATCCAACGACGCTGACACGGTCCTGAAGCCTGAGACCATTCACGGCGGAGAACTCCCCTCCGAACCTTCAGCATCCGGTCCGGTAGACACAGAACTTCAGCTGATCCATTCCCAGAGTGCCGCTGAGAACCGACATCCAAAGTAGGCAAACTCCTCGAAACTGCTGTATCAACTGGGTGATGCCATCAAGCATTCAGTAGCTTACTTTCCTAGTGATAGTTTAGTTCTCCAAATTCCTTTTTAAAATTTACCCTCATAACTCTGTTAACGTAGGCTAAATTTTCTCTTATTCACTCACCATCATTAACCTCCAGTCTTAGGTTCAGTTCAAACCATTCCTTCATTTATTCATTAGATGTTCTTTGATTTTCTCATTATTTGATCATCATTTATTGAAGTTTTGTTATCATATAGCTTGTTAATAAATTGTCCATTTAATTTTAAGTTGTCGTCTCTTAGTGGTCTTTCCGGAAAGAAGAGTCCTTGAATGGAGAATTCCGGCCTCAGATGAGAGATTGATTTAAATCTGTTTAAGACTGATTCAACGTTTGATTACTCAATTGAACTTTGTTTCGTCTTTTTCCCACCAGAAAGGTCGGTGGTGCCCCTTCAACGAGTGCATAAATGTCATAATTTAATTTAAAAAATTTTGGACATTTATTCTGAATTCAAATTGCTACGCCCAGTTTTTCTCCATAATTTCCCAAGTGCTGTTCAACAGATTAATGATTTTTTTACACAGCTTTTCCAAACATTCTAGTTTTATTTTGGATCCTTATGTTATTTTACTTTGCACACAGAAACAAAACTATTTCACAAAAAACAAAAACTACCAGGGTCAAAAATATTAGCCCTGCTGAGGCTGACGGTCAATTGTGTGTCCTTTTTGCTGGATAACAGTATACAGTTGGTTGCTGTAGTTTGTAACAAGGCTCTGGCACATCTCCTGAGGAATCCCAGCCCATTCCTCTTTGGCGAATCTTTCAAGCTCCTCCAGATTTGATGGTCTAATAGCATGGACCCTGGTCTTCAGTGCAGCCCACAGATTTTCAATGGGATTTAAGTCAGGGCTTTGTGCAGGCCAGTAAATAACGTTCACTTTGGTTTCCTGGAGGCAGCTCCTCATCAGGAGTGCTGCATGTTTTGGGTGGTTGTCATCTTGAAAGACAAAGTGACGACCCAGACCCAGTTTTGCTGCTGGCTCCTTGAGGTTTTCTTTCAAAATCTTCACATATCCTTTCTTCATTATTCCTTCAATCTTGACAAGATTCCCAGTTCCAGATACACTGAAACATTTGTATTTTGTATTTTGTATATTTAGCACAGATTAAAAACAGTGCAAGGAGGGAACGAAGCCGATGGGCTTATACAGAGTTCCACTCCCGTCAGGTCAGAGAAAACATAAGGTGCGGACAACTAAGTACACAGACTGGAACACAGACAAATCAGCAAACAGTGATAAAGAAAATAAAGTATTTATAAAAAGGAAAGAGATATGATCATAACAGATAATGATGTATTTAAGACATGATCAGATGAGATTTTAATGATATATTAAAGGAGTTAAAGGATGATATTGATTTTAGAGATGCATCAAGATTATTCCACAGTTTCGGACCTCTAAAAGTGATGTTAGACTGATGACTAGAAGTTCTACATGAAGGTAACTGAAGATGGCCATTTTGTCGTGTTGAGTACGAATGAAGGTCGGATGAAAAGGTAAAAAAGTTTCGGAAAGTTTCAGGAAGGGCTTGTTTGTTGTTGATGAATTTGTGGACATATAAACAAGAGTGAAGGACATTGAGTTTGTCAACTGGTAAGATGGAGTATTTAGAAAAGAGAGGAGCAGAAGGTTCGTGTTTGCTGGATCGTGATATCATTCTTATGAATCTTTTCTGGATTATTAATATTTTCTTGAGGTAAGTTGGATACGTTGCACACCATACAATGTTACAATAGTTCATGTACGGGAATAGAAAGCTGTAGTAAAAAGACAAATGAGCAGAGGGATTGATCAGGGGACAGACCTTACTAATTATACCGAGGCTCTTCATTGACCTTTTGCATACTTGGCTGATATGAATGTTCCACTCTTGACCCTCATCGACGACAACACCCAAAAAAAGTGGTGTGGGGTACTTGAGGGATTCCAGTACCATTAATTGATATTTTGGCTTTTTCTTTTGGATAAGATTTGTTTTTGTTGCTGAAGATCATGAAATTACATTTTTTTATATTAAGAGTTAGCTTATTAGTCAGGAACCAGTTAGCAACAGAGAACAATTCATCATTCACACGGGCAATGAGAGTCTCAAAGTCAGCATGGACATCTATGAAACAGGTGTCATCAGCAAATAACAAGGGGAGAAGGTTATTACAGGACATAGGTAAGTCATTGATTTAAATTAAGAATAACAGAGGACCGAGGATTGATCCCTGAGGGACCCCAAAGAGAATACTGGATTTAGTGGATGAAGCACCATTTAGATGAACAAACTGTTCTCTATTATCTAGATAACTGATCAGCCAGTTGAGGGCAATATTCTGGATTCCATATCTGTTAAGCTTTGAGATGAGGATTTTGTGATCGACAGTGTCGAAAGCTTTGCTTAAATCAAGAAAGACACCAAGGGCAAATTTTTTCCCATCTAGAGCAGAGGAAACAGTATTAACAAGTTGCAGCAATGCATGCTCAGTTGAGTGTTTTTTGCGGAACCCGTATTGGTGATTATACAAAACATTATTAACCGTCAAGTGGTCGGAGATTCTCGCATAGACTAGTTTTTCCAAGATTTTGGAAAAACAGGGTAGAACAGATATTGGGCGATAGTTGCCAAAATCTCTTGTATTGCCTGATTTAAATATTGGAGTAACTTTGGCAATTTTAAGATCTCGAGGGACAATACCAGACAGAAGGGATAAAGAGAGAATGTGGGTTAAAGGGTGAATGATGTAATCTATAGATTCTTTGACAAGACTGCTTTTAATACCATTGTGACCCTGAGCAGAGTCCTTTAAATTCCTAACAATGTCATGGACCTCTTCTAAACTGGGAGGATCAAAACTAGAGAGTGTTGAAAATGTGCCTTTCATGAAACTTGTGGGATTTACATCTGAGTCTTTCATGCTAGAAGCCAAGGAAGTACTGACGTTTATAAAGAAATCATTAAAACTCTCTGCTATGTCACTCTGGTCATGTAGAGGCCCATCCTTTCCCATCATTTCAACAGCTACAGTAGCAGTAGTTTTTTTTCGATTAAGTAATTGGTTGATGAGGTTCCAGGTTGACTTAATGTTATTGGCAGCTTGGGTAAACTTATCAGCATAATATGTTTTTTTAACCTTCCTTAAGGATGCAGTAAATTTATTTTTATATTTCTTATATTTTACAATATTTTCAGGAGTAGGATTGTTAATAGCTTTCCGATATAGTTTGTTTTTTTTACGAGAGTACTTTTTTAGTTCACCCGTCATCCAGGGTTTTCCTTTGGATGAGTTACTCTTCATAGCGGTGACTAGTGGAAAGCTAGCTTCGAGAATTGATTCAAATGTAGTTAAAAATAGCTGGTAAGCTTCATTAACATCTGATGAGTTGAGGACCTCATTCCAGGACACTGTACGGATGGAAGATTCAAAGGATTCCATGTTCTTTTTATTGTAGATGCGAGATTTGCTTTGCAGGTAGTCAGAGTTTTTGCGTTTATAATTTCCTTTAGTATGTATGATCTGGAATACGGGGAGGTGGTCGGAGATGTCAGATATTAACAACCCAGAGGTGATTTCATAGTCAAGTGAATTGATTATGATATTGTCAATGAGAGAAGTTGATGATTTGGTGATTCTGGATGGTTTGAGAATTAGTGGAAAGAAGAAGGTTGAGTAAAGATTGTTCAGAAAGTCAACGGTAGAGGGTAATTCACTCTTAAGCAGGTCGATATTGAAATCACCCATAAGAACACACAGTTTATGCTCCTTGGTTATAAACTCAAGGGAGGAGTAAAGAGCCTCATTGAATGAAATTGGGTCAGTGTCAGGAGGTCTGTAGACACACCCAATTATAATATTTTTCCCATGAAGGGGACGACAAGAAGAGATTTCGATAAATACAGATTCCACTCGTATGTTTTCTAGAGGTTCTGAGATTTCTTTTCTAGTGGTAAAGTTGTAGTCTTTGAGCACATATAGGGAAACTCCTCCTCCGACCTTATTTCTTCTGCATGAATGAATAGCATTATACTGAGGTATAGGGTAAAGATCTGTGATATCATCCTTAAGCCAGGTTTCTGAGAATGCCATTACTGAGAAAGAAAAAGTTAGGGTTAGTATATTTTTAGGTTGTCAAAATTTTTTGGTAAACTGCGAACATTTAAGTGCCACGCTGAAAAGTCATTTAGGATATAAGAGTCATCAGGAGCAAGAGTACGGGACAGATCATTGAACTGATCTTCAGAATAGTATTTACATGATCGAATTACATTGTTTGAGTTTGAGAGATTTATATCTGGGTTGAAAAATTCATCGTAGATACCTCTGTTATCTGAGTTTAGGTCAAATGGGTTAAAGGCTAGAGGATCCGTATCATGGGGGGTAGACACCCCATCAGCATAAAGATGGTTGGACATAATGCACAATTTGTAAGATTATGCAAAGAAGAACACAGTCATAGATCATCATTCAGGTAGTATGGCGCGGTTACAGGTGGACATCTAGTTCAGTCAGATCTCTAATGATTTTGACCTTAGCTTCTTCTGGTGAGCCATTGAGCTTTATGAAAATCTTGCAGCTTTCTTTGCAATGTCGGCATTTCTTTTGGTCAGGTGTTCATTTACATATACATTTGTTCCTCTTAATTGTTTCCATTGCTTTAGTAGCCATATCTTATGGTTTCTGTTGGTGAATCTGAGGATAATAGCTGGAGGTTGGATGGAATTTCTTTGTGGAAGAGGATGACATGCTTCTATAAAACTACGGTCTATAGTAATCTTTCTGGTTTCCAGAAAGGAAACTACCTGCTCTTCTACTGTTGCCCGATCTTCTTCTGACATGTTTTCCTCTGTCACCTTCCCCACAGATTTGGCATAAGATATGGGTTTAGTCTTTAGACCTGAGATCACAACATCATTGATCCTCGAATACTGTTCGAGATCAGCCACTCTATGTTCGAGATTACTAATTCTTTTGTCCTTTTCTGCATTTTGTAGTTTCAGTGTTTTGACATCGTCCATCAGTTCAATTATCTTTTTTTGTTGCTCGGTGATGATTTCAACATTGTGATGCAGCATTTCTAATGATTTCTTAATGTCCTCCATTTCTTTTTTCATGGCCATATTAACCAGAATAAGTTCACTAATTCCTCTAGCACAGATCTAGGCTACAGGCAAGCCACACTGAGCAAAGAGGCAGACATTGAGGACGACTCTGGGTTCATGTGTCAGTCGTAAAACAGAGCTGTGAACCTGAGATAGTACCTGAGGTGTAAGCTGCGGCCGGGGCCACCGGTGATGTTAGCTGCCGCTGGGGCAACCGGAGGTCGCTCAGCCTCTAGCCAGCGATGCTTAGCAGTCGCTGGGGCTTCTGGGTGTGTGCATCTGTTGGAACTACCGGAGATGTTAGCTGCCGCTGGAGCTACCGGAGATGTTAGCCGCCGCTGGAGCCACCGGAGATGTCAGCTGCCGCAGGAGCCACCGGGGATGTTAGCTGCCGCTGGAGCCACCGGGGATGTTAGCTGCCGCTGGAGCTACCAGAGATGTTAGCTGCCGCTGGAGCTACCGAAGATGTTATCGGCCGCTGGGGCCACCGGAAATGTCAGCTGCTGCTGGAGCTACCGGAGATGTTATCGGCCGCTGGAGCTACCGGGGATGTTACCTGCCGCTGGGGCCACCGGAGATGTTACCTGCCGCTGGGGCCACCGGAGATGTTATCGGCCGCCGGAGCTACCGGGGATGTTACCTGCCACTGGGGCCACCGGAGATGTTAGCTGCCGCTGGAGCTACCGGAGATCATCAACCGCCAAACAAGAAAACAGTTTGACCGACTTCTTGACCGACTTTTAATCCAATATCCCTGAAACTTAGTGTGCTTCCCCAGCTTACACCAAGAGGGGAACAGTATTACCGAGCGCCACTGTCACTCACTGTTGTGAGTGAGTCCGGCGATCCGCAGAGGACTTATTGGTCGATACGTGCTGAGTCGACCAAAATTCCGATTGGTTCACAGCATGATGCTCCGACCACCGTGTTTAACTGTGGGGACAGTGTTCTTGGGGTTATACGCCTCTCCCTTCTTTCTCCAAACATAAGCTATGTCTCTGTGACTTAAGAGCTCTAGTTTGATCTCATCTGACCAAAGAGCACATCTCCAGTTTGAACAATCTTTCTCCAGATTGTCTTTAGCATACCTCAGTCTGATATGAAGGTGTCTCTTTTGTAGAAGTGGAGTTTTTCTTGGCTTGCATCCTCGCAGTCCATTTCTGTTTAGGGCTCTAGAGACTGTCTTGTTTGACACCACAATTCCTGACTTGGTTAAGTCACCAACTTCTGTTTTGGTGGTTGTTCTAGGTTGTTTAGACACATCTCCCACCAGTTTTCTTTCCAGTTTCTTTGAAAAGTTTTCGCTTCCTACCTCTCTCAGACTTGTTCTGTGCTATGTGACTCTCCTTGAATTTCTTGATGATACTTCTCACTCCACTTCTACTACTTGGAAACGCCATGATACATTTTTATATCCTTCTCCTGCTTTGTGAGCATCAACAATTCTATTTCTCAAGTCTAAACTGAATTGTTTTGTATTTGCCATGATGCCTTCTCAAGTGACAGCTCGCTTCACAAGGTTTTTATACAGAGTGTAAAGTGTAGGACAACCCTTTGTTTTCACTTAATTGATTGATTGATTACAAGCTGTGAGCACTCGAAAGTGAAAGCACATGATTGCACAACAGTGGTTTTTGTTTTGGCTCAATAAAAACATCTATTCTTAAGGGGGATAATAATTTTGACTCTGGTAGTTTTTGTTTTTTGTGAAATAATTTTGTTTCTGTGTGCAAAGTAAAATAATGTAAGGATCCAAAATAAAACTAGGATGTTTGGAAAAGCTGTGTAAAAAAATCATTAATCTGTTGAACAGCACTTCGGAAATTTGGGAAAAAACCTTCAAATTTCATTGAGGGGCTAATAATTTTGGCCTCAACTGTATATACTGTTTATGAAGTTAGGTGCTGTTCTGAGCATTATTTGTGGCTATAGAGTGGCATTTTGGTTGAGTACGTGGCTCTCTTTATTGCTATCTGCGGTCATTACTAAACTTGGTATAACTAGAGAAGCAAGCGGTCAGCAACATTCATCTCTGGAGGGGGTGTCTAACTCCGTGTTACGGTGTGTTTGACCGTGAATTAATTTTATGCCGGAATATCCCTTTAAATGACAAAAGCAAAACTTCATATTCTTTCTGTCCACCATTCTTTTCTTATCATGGGGAGGAAAGTGAAATATCTGCGGCCTTTGGTCTGAATTTGATCAGTTTGGCTTGGCGTGGAACGAAGGCCATCAGCCTGTAGCTCCGCTGAGGTGTTTCTAAAGTCAAGGTTCCTCTGATAGTGGCCTTCATCTGGTCTGTATTTTCTCTACTTATATACTAATCCCATTCACACAGCCGGATGACTGACCGTACCACAGAGCCACAGCCAACCCTTGTATGTGAGTGTGTGTGTGTGTGTGTATTACCTGGGTTAGGTGTAACTGTTGGTCTGACGGCTTCTTTCTCCAGGTGGATCTCTGGCAGACTGAAGATGGAGGTTGCTGAAATGAGCGTCACAGGTGACATGGTGATCATCAAACACAGTGATGTCATCAATTACGAGCAGAGTCAAAGGTTAAGTCAAAGCTTACTGTCAGGAAGTGACACCACTCTGTTTCCAAGGTTACTGAAGTAACGATGACTCATGGACTCGTCTGCTGAGATCCTCTTCTTCCCTTCGAACTACGGTTTAAATAAAGTTCACACTAACAAGGTCATATATAATGATATCACTTTCTGTCTGATTTCTGTTCAAAATAAATGATCTCACCTGGGATTTCCACCACGTCCAGAACGGCAGCGATTTTCACTGTACTCTAATTCCTACCAGATCCATTTGTGAGGCGAATTTCGTGGCGGATTACAGACAGCGGGAATCGCGAGAACTCACAAAAAACTTTGGATTAACATGCAACCGTGCGATAACGAGTTGTCTCTATAAAGACAGCCACATAGACATATAACAGGCATGAAAATGGGTCAGGGGTTGAAAAGGTGAGAAGGGTGCAGAGGAAATACGTTCCGGTACACTGTACAACCCAACAAAATATTGAGCTCTGTCCACCCACACTGTGTTTCAGTGATCTGCAGGAAGCAAAAAACACTCCAAGTCTCACAAACACACACACACGCGCACGCACGCACGCACAAACACGCACGCCCGCGCGCTTGTACTGGCCATATTTTATTTAGAAACAAAGTTTACTTTCACAGATGCTAAATGAGTTAGATAAGTCAGAGAGAGGTGTTCAAAACTGTTTGTACAAGGCCATATGAACAATAATAATTTAAAGAGATAAAAGAAAACAGAATGAAAAATAATAATAAATAAAGACTTCATATCCTGCACTTTAGATCAATGTATGCCCTGCCAGACTGGAGAACAATACATGCAATTCCAATAGATCCAATACCAAGTCCAATTGATCACTTTTTCTTTTTGCCTGGGCCGCCAGAGTCTCCATGGCCTTTTACGCTGAGTGGCCACATGCCTCAGCCTTGCCTGCTTCTCACTTTCAGCAGCCTGCTTCTTTACTTGCTGAGCACTCCCAGTTTCTTGACAGCCATATAAAAATAAGAGCAACATAGTGATTTACACAACAGCTTTAGTAGCTTTTGGTCTAAACACACGGCAAGCCTTTCGTGACACACTCTTCCCTGTTGTCTTCTCCTAAGCCAATGTCGCGCGGAAAAAAAGATTGACGCCTCATCTTGTCAACAGATGGAGCCAGAGCAGTAAACGCGAGACGCCTGCTTTCACTATTTTAGATGGCTCAAAACCATTACGTTTTAATAAATCAATGAATAACATCAGCGGCGAAAAGGAGTGTTAAAAAGACCAGGGTTCACATGTTTTTGTTTTGTCACAAAAGGCTTCAAGCATGGGCCAAAGCATTTCAGCCCCTCACGTGAATATTATCCTCACACGTCCCCAAAATACCAATTACAGAGATGTTAGAAAGAAGCTTGTGTTTCTTCTTTTATGTTACCGTTAACTACACAAGCTTGACGCTAACTTAATATCAAGCAAACAGGAGCTATTTTTTCACCTGAGATTTGGCTAGCTCTGGCAGTGTTCAACGCAAGCTGTAGCGAACAGCAGTAACTTTGTTATACCTCAAAATATGAAAATGACTGAAACCATTACTCACCAAATTCAATCTGCTGGTAAATGCAAGTAAATGTGTACACTACGCTCTGGTCTGCCTTGTCCCCGGTGTTGTGCCGTAGAATGCACCCCTGCATCCCGTCCACTCATTAGCTTCTTAAAGTGGAAGAAAATGATCTCATATTTTACAAAGACACAAGTATTTAGCTCATGACTACTAGCAAACTTTCGTTCTGTTTTAATGTGTCTCAAAAATGCAAATACCGAGGTGTACTTGGGTATATAAACTGTACAGTAAGATGTCAAGGTAGAGAACAATATACTTTCGGGACAGCAAATATTCTGAATCAGAGGGCTATTGTTTTCGGCTTATCTGAATAACCTGAATGAAATCATTAAAGGCACACGCTTTTGAATCTGTTCAAGGGTAAGGAAAACTTGGATTATGTTGCCTTGTTATGTACTTTCAATCACGCTCCTGTCAGGGGGGGGCATTCTACGGCAAGGGTGAATTCTACGGCACAACACTGGTGTGGATAAGTCCTGCTTCTCGTTCTCGCAGCTTTGCAATGCTACCACAGGCTCTCCAAGCACTCCAAGTACACATGAAGAGTGTGCGCATGATTGGAATAATGAAGTTTGGCCTATGATTGGTTCTCATCAGCGAAGCAGCCAGGAGGATTTGCTGACCGTCCAAGTGTCATTTAAAGGGCCGATTTCTGAAGTGCTCAGTTTGCGTATTGAGTCAATCACATGAATTTTGTCGAAAGGTGACAGATTTTCATGCCTGTATAAGCAGTAGATTGTGTCCTCCCAGAAGAGGAGGAAATCTATTTCTGGACTTCTAGAATCACTTGTTCGTCTCCGCCGTCTGCATGGTGTAAAATATGATTCGCCTGAAACACGGAGTGTTTTGTTTTGAAAAGAAGCTGGATGTTTTATTTTGTCTGTGCCTGACTTCCTTTCCAGCACGGGTTAATCTGTGCTGAATTTATCCCGCATGCTCAGGCGTCAGGAAAAAATAGAACTCTTGCGATCAGCTGCGGAGTCCGGCGATCCGCAGAGGAATGGCAAGAAGCCAGTGGAAATTGACACATTAACTTGAATGGTTACGATCAGCTACAATCAGAGGATACAGCCTTTTCGTAGCTGTACCAGATGCGGTGGAAATTGGGGGTCAGTTAAATGGTTGTAAAAATTGGGGAAAGAAATGAGAGTAAACCGAGAAGAACTTCCTCAGACAGATGGAGATATGAGACGTTTACTGACCTGCAGGAACTTTGACAACAGCTCCACACCTTCACTGCTGAGCCTAATTACACACACGAAGGCACCCACACACACGCACACACACACACAAACACACACAGATCAGGCTGGTTTTGTTTTTGTTGAAGAAAAGTCACTCTCAGGTCAGAGTGATACTGGGGACGACGCACCTTAACAAAAATACCCTGAACAAAACACACAATCCACATCAGAGAGAAAAACTTGAAATAACAGAAACACGACCACAGCACTGAACAGACAACGTGCTTATTTTTCCCTGAGTAGATCAGCAACACTCTCCATCTGGTCCAGGGACCTGTACTACATACCCCTGTTTATGAAGACAGCGCTTTGTAAATAAAATGTATTTCAGCTGTGTACCTAGGAGTGTGCGTACTCAGTCTCTCGGCTCTGTATTGTGGGTAGTTATATGTCACAAACTCCTCGTTTGAACTGATCCCAGGCCAGCTCTGCTCTGTGGGAGTGCCTGCACAAAAAACACAAAACGTGTACATGAAATGCACAATATATTCAAAAACATATGCATAAAAAAACAAGCCATGCAATTAAACAATCGCAATACGAACAGCCCTCAAATCTAAACAGGTAAAAACAGAGACCTCCATTAGGTCACTCAGTATCAGTACAGCTGCTGTTACTTTGAGTTCGAAGTTTAAAGCATTTTAAAGACCACAGCTCTGAAAAATTTGAAAAACTAATGAGTGAAGTTGGATGAAGAACTTCTGATCCTACTACACTGAACTTGTTTGGTTGTTTCTCTATAACAACTTTATACAAATATATATTTGTAATATATAGATATTTATTTTTCAGCCTCATCATTTTGGATTATTTTCTTTTAAATAAAGGCTTTGAAAGGGTCCTACTCTTATCCAATCACAGCTGTACACACACACACACACACACACACACACACACACAGGTGAGAGAGAATAATCGGAGCTGATTGGCTCACCAAGGAGTTTAAATATAAAGTGAAGCTCCTCCTCCACCGTCGAACCAGGAAACAGAGGGCGACCTGTCGCCATTTCATAGAAGATACAACCAACACCCCTGCAGATGGACAGACAGAGAGACAGACAGGCAGAAGAAGATGAGACAGGTCAGTAGAGTCTAGATTAGTTCTTTTGATGTTCGTCGAATAACTGATCAGGTCAGACAGTTTACATAAAACTATCACTGAAGTGCAAAATACTACGACAGTACAACAATACTACAGAACTGACCACATATCAATATGGGTGGAGTAATCGGTGCTGCCCAACAGGATGTCTGGCGGTCTGTACCACAGCGTCACCACCTCGTTGGAGTAAGTCTTCGTCGGGATAGACTTTGCCCTTGCCAAACCTAAAATAAGAAACCAGAAACCTGAGTGACATCACCACATCATTACTACACCTGAGTGACATCACCGCAGAAATAACTACACCTGAGTGACATCATAGCAGTAATAACGCTGCGTTTAAGTTACCTTGGAAGTCAGATGTCGGAGCGGAAAATGGCTTCACACCCAAGTTACCAGTGTTTCAGTTAGTAAGTAAAAAAAAATCAGAGGCGGAAACAAGATGGCTACATCTACGAAAGTTATTTTAGCGCTTGCCTTGTTCGAATATAAGGCAAACGCTAATATAACTTCCATACATGTAGCCATCTTTTTTCAGGCCTCTGATTTTGCTTTTATCCAACTTCTGACTACATCTGAGTGACATCAAAGCCTGACTTCTGGAGAAAGCTTTTTTTTCTTTGGTTAACACATTTAGCTCTCTCACCAAAGTCGGCCAGTTTGAGCTCTCCTCTCTCGTTGATTAGCAAGTTTTGGGGTTTCAGGTCTCTGTGAAGAACTTTCCTCCGATGACAGTACGACAAACCACGAAGTAACTGGAAAAGAAAGAGCTGAGGAGAACAGGTAAGTCACCACAGAGCAGGAATGGGTTATCTGGACAAGCACTGAGAGTAACCCAGTTATCGTCTTTGCATCATGAGTGACCGAGAAATCCAAACTGGTGACCCACAAAGTGACCCTAAGAGTGACCTACACAGCAAATAGTAAAGCTCACATCTCAGCAACCAACAAACAGAAGCAATCTGACAAAGATACCCAAAGGATGAAGAACTGATGGGCCAACAAATCCACCAACAGAGGGATTCATACAGTGACCCACATACAGACCCAGAAAGAGCCAAAGAACTAGAGTGACCCACATAGAAACCAACTGGAGCAAAAGACTGACCAACAGAGGATCCCACAGAGACTCTATCAGGCGAGGTAACCCACACTGGGACCAAAACAGGGTAACCAACAGCAGGGCTGCCTAACTATTCTGACTGGTGTTAATGTCAGTACTATTAAAAAAGGAATAACCCAGGATTTAACATCTGCATCACATACAGTTAAGACACTTCAAACCTTTCGAAACCCCCCCAAACTCTTAATTCTCTAAAAACACAATAAATGGTCAAAATAACAGTTGAGCCTCCTTATGTGTTCTCTAAAGCACGTCGGACTGGATGATTTTTAAAACTCATATCTACGACTTTAACTTCGTTTCTGTGAGAGTACTTACCGAATTAAGTAAAAGATTGAAGTATTTTTACACCATCATAAAAACTGAAGGATCTGAGCTCTTTTACATTTTATCACAGGCTGCAGATCCAGGCTCCCCTCCTCCCTCCTCTCAGCTCTCACTCAGTGTTAGTCAGAGCTGTTCTGGGGTGAGGGGCCGTGCCCACACAGTTAAAGAGGAGAGGGAGGGTGCACTTCATTTTACGTCAAGACTTAGACTTTCTTTATTTATCATTGCACGGAATAAAACACAGCAGTGATTCCTCTCTGCAACGAAATGTCGTTGTTTGGCTTCCATATCACATCATGGTGGTGTTAAACTTAATACACAGAAAAAAAATAAAAACAATAAAAACTAAAAGTAAAATAGCAGCATGGTGAGTGATATTGCACTTTCTGGAGGAAGAGTGGTAGTGGAATAAAAACCAAAGAAACAAAAGTATATATAAAAAGATATGTTCTTATGTTCAAATGGACGTATCAGGGGCAATGCAGCAGGTGGCTTCTACTGTTCAGTCTGAATTATCACAACATCTAAGAAACTTTCAGAGTGCACATCAAAAAAGATGAATTACAAAGCCATAAAAGTTAAAAACTAAGAATTAATCTGCACACAGACTACCCATGAAAGGAGCAAACAGAGTGACCAACTGTACAAATGGTCACAAAAAGCAGCAGAGTGACCATGAGAATGACCACGAGAGCAACCTTAGTACACCTAGACCCTCTTTAAATACAGACATTTCTTTATTATACCCAAAAATCAGTCTGAACAGCTCCAACAGACATGTTTCTAGGAGTCTGCTCTGGGTCATCAAACAGGAATATACAGGTGAGCAGAAAGTACGAACAAAAAAGTTTCCTTACTTTGACATTGTGGACATTGATGCAGTTCCCGCAGTCGTCCAGGTACTGTTTTAGATCTTTGTCCTGAAAAACCGCAGACAGAAACATCTTCAAATGATGACCCCGCCAAATTACAGAGACCTGTGTTTGTGTGTGTTTGAGACTCACCAGATACTCAAACACCAGGGTTAGGGATTTCTGCGTGTGGATGATATCATGAAGCGTGACTATGTTGGCGTGTTTCAGATCCTTCAGTAGAGACACTGCCATAGAAGACACACATGCTGATGCTGCTGCAAAAACTTAACTACAGCTGTATTTAAGTTTGTTTATGATCAGGAACAGTGCAGCATCACTTCAGGTTGTACAAGGATCTACTCTAGTACAACCACTGTAGTACAGAGTCAGTATTCTGCAGTAGTACCTTCTCGGATTGCAGTACAAGGAGCTCCTTCTTCGTGCTCAAGACGAATTTCTTTCAGAGCAACAAGGTTCTCTGTGAGTTTACTGCGACCTTTATACACTGTGGCATAAGTTCCCTGCAAACAGTCAGGTGACAACCAGACAGGCAAGAGAAAGACAGGTGAGAGACAAGAAAGGTAAGAAACAGACAGGTGAGAGAAAGACAGGTGAGAGACAAGAAAGGTAAGAAACAGACAGGTAAGAGAAAGACAGGTGGGAGACAAGAAAGGTAAGAAACAGACAGGTGAGAGAAAGACAGGTGAGAGAAAAGAAAGGTAAGAACCAAGAAGAAACAGGTGAAAGGAATAGACCAGTAAACAGGTAAACAAGCCACAGGTAGGACAGATAGGTGAAAAAAAGACAAAGTTAAAGAGAGAGACAGGCGGAGAAACTGTTAAATCGAGGAGGACAAGTAGAACCGACACCTGAAAAAGAGACAGGTGAGACAGTTAAAGAAGAGACAGTTAAAGAAGAGACAAGTGAGAAAGTTAAAAAAAGAGACAGGTGAGACAGTTGAAGAAGAAGCAGTAGAGACAGTTGAAGAAGAGACAGGTGAGGCATTTAAACAGACAGATGAGACAATAAAAAAGGAGACAGGGGAGACAGACAGGTTAGACAGATAGTAAAGGAGAGACAGGTGAGATAGTTTAAGAAGAAACAGGTGAGAGAGTTAAAGAAGAGTCAGGTGAGACAGTTAAAGAAAAGAGAGGTGAGACAGTTAAAGAAGGGAAAGATGAGACAGTTAAAGACGAGGAAGGTGAGAACGTTAAAGAAGAGGAAGGTGAGACAGTTAAAGAAGAGACAGGTGAAACAGTTAAAAAGGATACAGGTGAGACAGTTGAAGAAGAGACAGGTGAGACAGTTGAAGAAGAGACAGGTGAGACAGTTGAAAAAGAGGCAGGTGAGACAGTTAAAGAAGAGACAGGTGAGACAGTTGAAGAAGAGGCAGGTGAGACAGTTAAAGAAGAGACAGGTGAAACATTTAAACAGACAGATGAGACAGTAAAAAAGGAGACAGGGGAGACAGACAGTAAAGGAGAGACAGGTGAGATAGTTTAAGAAGAAACAGGTGAGAGAGTTAAAGAAGAGTCAGGTGAGTAGGTTAAAGAAGAGTCAGGTGAGACAGTTAAAGAAAAGAGAGGTGAAACAGTTAAAAAGGATACAGGTGAGACAGTTGAAGAAGAGACAGGTGAGACAGTTGAAGAGGAGACAGTTAAAGAAGAGACAAGTAAGAAAGTTAAAAAAAGAGACAGGTGAGACAGTTGAAGAAGAGACAGGTGAGGCATTTAAACAGACAGATGAGACAATAAAAAAGGAGACAGGGGAGACAGACAGGTTAGACAGATAGTAAAGGAGAGACAGGTGAGATAGTTTAAGAAGAAACAGGTGAGAGAGTTAAAGAAAAGAGAGGTGAGACAGTTAAAGAAGAGGAAGGTGAGACAGTTAAAGAAGAGACAGGTGAGACAGTTAAAAAGGATACAGGTGAGACAGTTGAAGAAGAGACAGGTGAGACAGTTGAAGAAGAGGCAGGTGAGACAGTTAAAGAAGAGACAGGTGAGACAGCAACACACTGTAAAAAAAGTCACAGCCAAAACTTTCAACCACTCCGAGTTGGACCTCGTTGGCGAAGTTTGTCCTTTTTTCTGGACCAAGTGTGATGGTCACATAAATCAGACACATCCTGTCTCTTTGAAAAACTAGTCCATGTATTTGTCACCTCTCAGCTGTATTACTGTTATTCCTATTTATCATGCTGCACTAATAACTCTCTAAAGACTCCACAGATGGTCAAAAACAAACTTTATTCTGGGTCATCAGATTTGTCCTCACCTCGCCCAGTTTGTCCAGTTTGATGTACGTCTCCAGTTTCCCAAAACCGATCTCGGACTGCAAAGACACGGACAGGTTTCATATTTGAGCCCTTCTTTGCCGTCAAAAACAGGAACATTATCAGATAGTTAGAACAGAGAGGGACACGATGCATGATGGACGTCTTTTTAAGAAGTGATGTTAGCATGGAGCAGCTGCTAGCTTACATTATCCGAAACTATCCAAATATCCCGTAGCTTTGTGAATGAAAAACCTGAAAATATAAACAGTGGGAGTGAAGGCATACAAACCAGGGAAACTCTGCGAAGCCGCCTGCTGATTGGCTGCTCAAACAGAGCCGGACCAATGACATTGAACTTCTCCAGGTAGCCGTCAGGAAGACGGATGTCAGCTGGCAAAGACAGACGCTTGTTTATGTCCTGAAACAGCAGAGAGGGAGACAAAGAGAGGACGTCTGTCTTTAAGGTGTGTGTGTGTGTGTGTGTGTGTGTGTGTGTGTGTGTGTGTGTGTGTGTGTGTGTGTGTGTGTGTGTGCGCGCGCATGTGTGTGTGTACCTCGGTGGAGATCTTCTTGTTCCTCAGTCGGACTCTGACTGGACTCTGAACGTCGTCTGATGAAGAAGCTGGATCACTTTCACCATCAGAACTCATCTTTACATCCTCGTGAACGATCTCTGAAGGTGCAAAAACACAACACTGAAACACCTGGAAGTATTTGGGTGAGCCCTACGGGTAGTATGGTTGTATCATCTTTAATATCTGTGTATGTGTTTGCGGTGTATGTACCCAGGCGGGTGGTGTGGTTCAGGTACGAGCTCAGGCTGCGTCCAAGGTTCCGGGGTTTTCGTCCGTACGTCTGAAGAAGAGATGAAACTGAAGAAGAAGAACCTCGAACCTTTAAACCAGCAGATGAAGAAGAACCTCGACGAGACACCACCTCTAATGGGGTGAGAGACACAAGAGAAGGACGAAAACAGGTTGGATATCATTCATCGATCGTTTTTTTAGTCACTACTCACAGCTCAGGGTTATTGGGGACATCGCTGCACCAGACTGTAAACCCCGAGGTACTTGAACTCCCTCACATGGGACAAAGACTCGCTTTAAGGGATTTTTAGATTTAAGGGTGCTGACTCTCATCCCAGTCTCTTCATACTCTGCTGCAAACTACCCCCCTGCCTGCTGCAAGTCCCAGCCTGAATATGCACTGAGAGTGTGCTGCTGAACATATATCAATATCATTTTCATCAGTGAAATTACAACTGTTTACAAACTCTCCTAAACTAAAGAACAAGTTGTCTCTATTAGGACAGCCACATAGACATATAAGCAGTAGATTGTGTCCTTCCAGAAGAGGAAATCTACCTCTAGACTTCTAGAATCAGCATCTCCTCATCCATGGTGTCATCGGGGTGAAATGACGTCTAATAACCTTTCACTTGTTCCTCTCCACCCATCTGCATGGTGTAAAATACGATCCTCCTGAAACACGGAGTGTTTTATTTTGAAAAGAAGCCGGATGTTTTATTTTGTGTCTGTGCCCGACTTCCTTTCCAGCACGGGTTAATCTGTGCTGAAATTATCCGGCATGCTCCGGCGTCTGGAAAAAATTGAACTCTTGCGATCAGCTGTGGAGTCCGGCGATCCGCAGAGGAACGGAAAGAAGTCGGTGTAAATTGTCACGTTAACTTGAATGGTTACTATCAGCTACAATCGGCGGATACAGCCTTTTCGTAGCGGTTCAGGATGTGGTGGAAATTAGGGATTAGTGAACCCGTTGGTTTCTGGGTTCAGAGTGCTGGAGCATTATGTTGGCGTGTGCCATATTTGAAATGGTCACTTGTACTAATTTTGGGTCAAGTAAGCAGCAGGTAAAGATATGGCGTTGAGGCCGGTGAGTTTTGCGAAGAGAGAAGCAAGATATTAAGACCAAAATTGCTTTCTTCATCATCCTTTTTACACTCTTGACTTCTGCTTATTGTGAATGGATAAGCATTTTGCAACAGGCCTCTAGAGGACACTTGAGGGACTGCTGCTTTTTAAACACTTCTTCTGGCCATGTGGTGTTACCTGAGTCACTGTGTGATGTCACATCCTGGTTGACTGTATCACTCAGCTTCCTGTCCCCTCCTGTGGCACCGCCCCTCCCCAGGGTGAGCGACAATTGTCGTTTGATCTTCCTCATCCTCTCCATCAGGGGAGCCCTGGAGGGCAGGGGGGGGCGGGATGCTGAAGGTGGTGGAGCAGCCAGCCTTGGGACCACACCTGGACACACACACACACACACACACACACACACACACACATAAAACTAAGGCAAGAATTCACAATCAAAGTCCAACACAAGGATCGACCACCAGTTGCTCAGTGTTGTTCACTGTTGTTGGTGACGAATAGTGTTTTTCATCATTTACACAGTTAAACTCTGCTCGATTGGGCGATTTTGCTGGACTACTCTCTTTGACCCAGCTTACAAGCACCAAGCAAGAATCAAAATCATATTTCACATCAAGCCGAGCGCGGGCTGTCAGCTCTGTACATCGAACAGAACATTACAGAACATTAAAACAACCCCCCACCATCAGGTATGTTAAGAGGTGGTCTGAGGAGGCCACTGAGGCGCTGCAGGACTGTTTTGAGACCACAGACTGAGATGTACTGTGCAGCAGTGGCGATTGCTCTAAGACTGCAAGGGAAGCTCGGCTTCCCTTAAAATGACACCCCCCAAAAAAAGAAAAAGTGGTGAAATACGTACGGCTGTGTGTACATTTCTTATCACACTGTGATAAGAAGCTGATAATCACAGGTAACCGGCACAACTTCGTTCTCATTCATCCTCGCAGCACCTCAGCGCTTAACACAGCCGGACGCTCAGCGTCTCTGGAGTTCTATGACGAGAGGGTGGTCCCAACTTTCTCCCGGACTCCGAGCTTCTGCATCCATGATTGGATGAGCTGTCTGAGGTGAAATCCTTTTTTGATTGACAGCTAAACAAGCGAATCAGCGATCTTGAAGAATAAAACATCTACCAAAGCATTTTCCAAGTTAATCATTCTGTTGTTCTTAACTGCTCCGGAGACTTTACCGATCCTCAGAGACTTTTGTCTTTGTTAAAAACGACTGCCGTTGTGTTTGGCGACGCTGTTCTGTTACATACAAATAAACAAACACAATTATGATGTAGGCCAGAAAAATGAGCTTCCCCTCCTTGAAAGACCAGCAGCCGCCACTGCTGTGCAGCCCACATGGTGATGACACAGACACCATGACAGATTGAACCACGGACTATATAAACTTCTGTGTTGAGAACACCGTACCCACCAGGAAAGTACGGTGTTCTCCAACAGCAAACCCTGGGTGACCCGGAACTTAAAGTCCTCCTGAAGGAGAAGAGGAGGGTCTTTAAATCCGGGGACAAAGAGGAGACGAGGAGGGTGCAGAGGGAGCTGAAGAAGAATATAAGAGAGGGGAGGTCCAGCTATAAGACCAAGATGGAAAACCTTCTGCAACAGAACAACGCGAGGGAAGTCTGGAGAGGCCTGAAATCCATCTCAGGTCACAGCTGGGGCCACGAGAGGGGACCTGAAGCAGGAGACAGGGAGTGGGCCAACGAGCTGAATTTGTTCTTCAATAGATTTGACTCTGCTCCCACTCCTCCACCGACTCATCAAACCAACAACCCGTCTGCTGCTTCTTTACACCACCTCAATTCTATGGCATAGGTAAGGCTGCACGATATTGGAAAAAACTAACATTGCGATTTTTTTCAACCCTGCGATATACACTCACCGGCCACTTTATTAGGTACACCTGTCCAACTGCTCGTTAACACTTAATTTCTAATCAGCCAATCACATGGCGGCAACTTAGTGCATTTAGGCATGTAGACATGGTCAAGACAATTTCCTGCAGATCAAACCGAGCATCAGTATGGGGAAGAAAGGTGATTTGAGTGACTTTGAACGTGGCATGGTTGTTGGTGCCAGAAGGGCTGGTCTGAGTATTTCAGAAACTGCTGATCTACTGGGATTTTCACGCACAACCATCTCTAGGGTTTACAGAGAATGGTCCGAAAAAGAAAAAATATCCAGTGAGCGGCAGTTCTGTGGACGGAAATGCCTTGTTGATGCCAGAGGTCAGAGGAGAATGGCCAGACTGGTTCGAGCTGATAGAAAGGCAACAGTGACTCAAATAACCACCCGTTACAACCAAGGTAGGCAGAAGAGCATCTCTGAACGCACAGTACGTCGAACTTTGAGGCAGATGGGCTACAGCAGCAGAAGACCACGCCGGGTGCCACTCCTTTCAGCTAAGAACAGGAAACTGAGGCTACAATTTGCACAAGCTCATCGAAATTGGACAATAGAAGATTGGAAAAACGTTGCCTGGTCTGATGAGTCTCGATTTCTGCTGCGACATTCGGATGGTAGGGTCAGAATTTGGCGTCAACAACATGAAAGCATGGATCCATCCTGCCTTGTATCAACGGTTCAGGCTGGTGGTGGTGGTGTCATGGTGTGGGGAATAATTTCTTGGCACTCTTTGGGCCCCTTGGTACCAATTGAGCATCGTTGCAACGCCACAGCCTACCTGAGTATTGTTGCTGACCATGTCCATCCTTTTATGACCACAATGTACCCAACTTCTGATGGCTACTTTCAGCAGGATAATGCACCATGTCATAAAGCTGGAATCATCTCAGACTGGTTTCTTGAACATGACAATGAGTTCACTGTACTCAAATGGCCTCCACAGTCACCAGATCTCAATCCAATAGAGCATCTTTGGGATGTGGTGGAACGGGAGATTCGCATCATGGATGTGCAGCCGACAAATCTGCGGCAACTGTGTGATGCCATCATGTCAATATGGACCAAGCTCTCTGAGGAATGCTTCCAGCACCTTGTTGAATCTATGCCACGAAGAATTGAGGCAGTTCTGAAGGCAAAAGGGGGTCCAACCCGTTACTATCATGGTGTACCTAATAAAGTGGCCGGTGAGTGTATATTGCGATATTAAAAATATAGGAATTTTCACCAGATGACCTGAATAGCATTTAATGTTATGCTGCACTGCTGAAATCTTGAGGACAGTTAACCTTTCCTTTTCTTTTTGGCAACAAATCTTCATTTTCGGTGGTTTTCTCTTGTTCGTTGCTCATTTTGAAATCGTTGTTGTTGTTAGCGGTGTTGTGCCAAGAAACGCATGTCCTCCGTCAATTGCATGCACCTCGCAAAACGCGCACCGCTTACAGTATAGTGGTCCACGGAAATATACAAACCCATACAGTTCTTATTTGTTTGGGCTTAACAGTCATGAGTAAAGTTCCGAAAGTAATTCTCAGCGGACACGCGTTTCTCGGCTCAACACCAGCAGCCAGTGAGTAACTCCATGTGCAGAACATGTGCAGGGGTGGGTTTCCTCCTCTCTGATTTTGATTGACAGCTGGCAGGGTAGTCTGATTGGCAACTGAGAACTGAGTCTGATTGGCAACTGAGTAAAGGACGAAGGTGATTGGTGGATCGCTGAACAGCACATGCAGAGTCACATGCAGTGTATCTTAGTCAGCAACATACAAAAAATTTAATATGATTAACTGTGGCCTCAGATAACCTTTACAACTAACATTTATCAGATCTGCAAGTGGGGTAGTTTACACAAACTAACTTCCATCTCTCTGTCTCTTCACTCCACTCACCTTAGTTTGAAGCAACATGAAAATATTAGTTTATTGCTGTACAAATGTGTACATAGCTCAAAGTCTCCTATCTGCAATTTTTAAGGTCTTCAGTTTTCACATGGGATTATAATAATTATAATTATTATAATTATTATATTGTGCTGAGAAACGCATGTCCGCTGACAATTACTTTCGGAACATTCTTCATCACTGTTTAGCCCAACAAATAAGAACTGTATGGGTTTTAAATTGTACATTTCCGTGGACCACTCTACTATAAGCAGTGTGCGTTTTGTGAGGTGCATGCAATTTTCGGAGGACATGCGTTTCTCAGCACCCTGGTAACAACAACAACAATCGCAAACTGAGCAACGAACAAAGAAAACCACAGAAGATGAAGACTTGTTGCCAAAAAACAAAAGGAAAGTCAGTTATCTGGAATTATTTCGGTTACAAGATGGATAATGTCGACCAAAACACGTCTTCTGTGTTTATCTGTTTCCACAATAACGTCCCAGCACAATAAAAGCTAAAAATATCTCTGAGACAGAAGCCGTTCTACTAACATTCACAAAAAGAGGTAAGATCAGAGCAGGTTAACTGTCCTCAAGATTTCAGCAGTGCAGCATAACATTAAGTGCTATTCAGGTCATCTGGTGAAAATTCCTATATTTTTTAATATCGCAATATATATCGCAGGGATGAAAAAAATCGCAATATTAGTTTTTTCCAATATCATGCAGCCTTATTAGTAGGGATGTTGCAATCACTCAATTCAGAGAAAAGTGCAGCAGAATTAGCATGTGCTTCACATGTCCAGAGATTATTAAATAAACTCCCCGTAAAGGTAGTCTCAAACTTTGCAAGACATGCCCGCTCAGTTTCCCCGACCTTTCATTATAATATAGTGGAATTTTCAGTTTGGCTTGAGGGAGAGGCAGAACGTCAAGCTATGGTAGCACAAGCCAGCAGTCTCCAAATCAGCACACCTCAAACTCAAAGAAAGGAATCAAGCTACAGGCTCAAGCATCCTACCACGATCCACCATGGATCTGACCAGAGGTTTACTCACTGCCCAAGTGCTTCTGGTTATGAACAACAGCCTGAAAGAAGGTACCCATGTGCCTTTTGTCAATCTACCTCCCACTACCGAACAAACCAGTAGCGGCTCTAGGCACGGGCGAACAGGGCAGCCGCCCGGGGCGGCATTTGTGTCATGACTCTTGGGGGGTGGCACGAGCACTTCCAAAAAAGAAAGAAAGAAGATAATTATAATAAATCTGCACCGCAAAGCGGTTTTGTATTAACTCTTGTCGTCTTGGAGGGGGTCTCGCCCGGGGAGTAATTTAGTCTAGAACCACCACTGTAACAAACTGTGAAAGTTTAAAAGAATTAGAACCCGAGAAAGTGTCTAAGTGGCTAAAAGAAGAAAATAGATGTTGGAAATGTGGAAGAACCCATAAAGCAGCTAATTGCACTCTAAAAAAAACCCTGTCCCAAATGTAATGGCCTTCACCTAGGTGTACTACATAATGTAAATAAAACCCAGTCAGCATCTAGAGTGTTGTATCTGAACCCACGAAGCCTAGCATCCAAAGTGTTGCTAAAAGCAGTAAAAGTGAGTCTTCACCATAACAATAGACTGCTTGACACATATGTCATCTTAGATGATAGATCTGAGCATACAATGCTACGACCAGGTGCTGCAGAGTAACTTGGGCTGGATGGTGAAACAGAAAACCTTGAGCTGTGAACAGTGAGGCAGCAAACAGAAACTTTGAAAGGAAAAACTGTTAACCCTAAAATCTCTGCTGCATCAAGCCCTGAGAAAAAAATTCTCAATTGACAGAGCCTTCACTTCTGACATGATAATGCTTGTTGAGCAAAGTTACCCTGTGGATAAACTCAAGCAACGCTTTCCCTATTTGCAAGGTTTCCCACTAAGCTCCTTTTCCAAAGTCCAGCCACACATCCTCAATGGATTTGACAATCCTTTCCTGATCACACCTATAGAGAGAGTCCAATATGGATCAAAGGGAGCTCCAGCTGCAGTGAGAACACGTCTAGGATGGGCTCTTCAAGGATCAACCTTCCTCTACCCAGTGCTTTTTAACATCAGCAGTTAACCCCTACTCAGAACTTAAACACCACGTAGAACAACTGTGGCAAACTGATATCCTTCCCTTTAGAAATGAAAAATTAATCACAAGGTCAAAACAAGATAAAGACACCATAGACCTCCTGGATAAGAAAACTGTGAGAGTTGAAACAGATGGCACCAAACGCTATGCAACCCCTTTACAAAGAGAAAAGGATGCACCTGAACTAAAAGCCCCTGCAGAATCTGTTATGCCCCTTCTCCGTCCATCTGAACGCAAACTTCAAAATAATCCTGAATTAGCGGACATATACAATAATGAAATCACAGGGTTTTTCCTGCGTTCAAAATTGCGTGGCGGCCGCCTCCACCTAATTTTGTGCCGCCCCCAGCCAGAGCCATTGATTTCGCTCAACACAGCGTAAAGCTCCAGCTGTGTTGATTGAGTGTATGATGTCCCTTTGCAGCAGCAACGTATTTTAACTGCAGTTGCAGCGTTGCGCCACTATAAAGGCGCTATATCAACAGCAGTGCACCGGAAAGACCTGAAGCATCTACCGAAGAAGAAACGGATCGAATCATGTTTTTTCAAGTTTTTTTCCCGCTAGTTGGTGCTATCGGCGACCTGATTTTCCCCGGCGGCTGGTACAAACAGGTAAATACTGCTTGTCTTTTTTGCATCCAAGCATGACGTGTTTATTAAAAAAAAAGTTTCCTCCGTTTTTTTAGCGTTGCAGATATGACAGGCAAAATCAGCCAGTACTTTAAAAAGCGACCTCACGAGGAGGAAAGTCAAGAGTCCAGGTGAAACACAGCAGAGAAAAAACGTAACAGGCAGTTAAAATGCTATAACTCATGGTGGGGACAACGTGGACATTTGTGTCAGGTCTGAAAGTACTTCACAAGGGACTGGTGATCGCGAGGGTCAGAATGCAGGACAGGACGAGTCGGCGAGGTGAGGGTAATTAATTAATTAGTTTCCAATTAGGAGCATAACAACGCAAAACCAACGTGTACGTGGTTTTTATTTCTCTTTCTAGATCTTCTCAAAAACACAGAGCCAGTGGCTTTGACAAGCAGTGGCTCAATCAATTTACCTGGCTCAGGCATACTGAGGAAGGTATGCACTGCTATTTATGCCAAAAGCACTGTGCCCCAACACAGCAGGCAATTGCTGCCTCCTTAGTGAGACAGCCATCAACCAACTACAGGCTGGACACATTAAAAAGACATGAGGTGACAGCCGTTCACAAAGCAGCAGAAGAGAAGGAGAAGTATATTAAAGATTGTAGTACCTAAAAACACTCAACTAATAAAGTTACAAAAACTAAAATAACATAGTTTAGATAGTTTAAGAAATAATTGGTTGTCGTTTTTTTAGGGAGGACACTGCAACGTATACATATATATAATATATGATTAAAACACTATCACTCTTCATGTCTGTATCAGAATAAAAACAAAAATACTTAATGCATGATGAATTGTTTTGTTTAAGGTGAAGACACCTCTGCGGAACAGACTGAAGGAAAGGCACTTCTGTCTGTTGTAAGGTGGCCGTTGATGGACCAGACCAGGAGGCCTTGGACTACAAGGAGTGCATGAGGAGGTTCTACAGAATGAAAAAGAGGAGGCTGAAATGTTCTGTCTGGTTGTGAGATGTGTGGATGAAGTGTACTTTCAATTTAAAGTTGCCAGCTGATTTGTGTATGTATATAGTTTTAATAAATGAATGCTTTAACATGATAATGGTCACACTCTTTTTTGAACTCTTAACTTAAAGTATGTTGCCTGTAAAAGAAAATGAGTCAGTTGAATTTACAAATACATGCACGTCATGGCGCATGGTCAGGATGGTGCCACCTCTGCCTCAATTTGAGCCAGGAAAAACCCTGAAATCAGTAAACTAAATCAAGCTGGTTATGTGAAAAACTCAAACCTGAACAAGTCTCACAGACAGAAGAATCATAGTATACCCCTCATCACCTTGTGGAGCATAACGGTAGAGATGCACCGATTGCAATATTCTTGGCCGATACCGATTTCCGTTTTTAAAGGAGGTCTGACCTGCCAAAACCGTTTTTTCCGATACCGATTTTCTATCTAAGAAATAATTATAATCATATAATAGACACCATATTTGTTTGGCTTGAGTACCCTTTCCCAATTTTAATTTAAGTACCCCTCTCCCAGACAACATTTTGCTTAACTGCAATTAAAAGCACAACTAATGGTAGGCTATATGCTATCATAACCCCCCTTTTCAAGAATAAAACCTCACAAATAAGAGATAGAGTGAGAGTTTCAACAGTGCCTCCTGAGCAGATTTATTTTCAACACTGACCATAACATTCAGTCCAGTTTACAGGTCAATAACTAACTTACATTCAAACAACATTCAAAAACGTCCCAGCATTTGCCTGGTACAATGTAATTTATTGACTACCCCTCCAGTACCTCTCTCAAACGACTCTGGCAGCGCTGTGTCAGAAAAGTACCGCCTACTTGGTAGTTTGTACCAATCAACGCCTAAGACATTTGGAACAACAAACTTAATACGCCACTTGGAAAAGAAGCACCCGGGCTTGTTTAGCAAATATAAGGAATACACTGCCGCTAAGAGGAGGGATGCAGCAGAGTCGCAGCGACCACAACAATCCTCCGCCGTGGCTCCAATGTTCGACATCAACACTGAAAAGTCCAAAGCCACCACCAGGAAAATAATGGAGTTCGTGGCACTGGAGGACCAGCCGTTTAGCGTAGTACAGGATAAAGGCTTCGTAAATCTGATGAAACACCCTACTTGGTAATTTGTATCGTGGACTCAGGTGTGTGAGGGGATCATGTAAGCAGTGCTTAATTTGTGCCGGAGCAAGTCGGAGCGCGCTCCGGGACCTCTCTTGATCGGACCCGGGACCTATTTCAGCCGCTCTGGCACCTGTTTCATCTGCTCCGGCACCTGTTTCATCTGCTCCGGGACCCTCCCTGTAGAGGATGACACTTTTCGGGAATTCCCGTGGGTCACGTGATTCCCGCGGGAATCCCACGGGATGGGAGTCATTTTTTAATTAATCCCTTGATCGGGACGGGAAAAAAAGCAACGGGAGTGGGCAGGAGCGGGAACAACATTAAAAGATGATCATTTTCAGCCGTGTCTAACAACCAGATGAACAGGTGCATCCATTTTTGTAGTCATCTCTCAGTGAGAGCCAACACTCTTGACCGCGCTAGCAACACAAAAGAACTACAACAGTGGTTTGACTTCCTGTCAGCTGGGAGCGCGGCTGCGCATTTCTACCCTTCAAGCCAGCAGCGAGGAAACGTAATTTTGTGACATTCTATAGTTTTTCAATCATTTCTGGAGTCGTGGCGAATCATATCACCTTACCTAGTGCTGGGCGATTGGACGATATATATCGTTGGCACGATAGAAAATGTCTATCGTGCCATTTTTATTCTTATCGTTTCGGGCGATAGGTTGTATTTAATCCATAGAGCTTGTGCCATCAGATGATTCATAGTAACAACAACAATAATTGCACATTCAGTAAGTGTATTTGGTGTCGAACGGGAAAGAAAACAATATTTTCTTACAAAGAAAAGGATGCGTTGACATGTAGGCTTGCATTTCTCTTTCGATTTTGCGACATGACGCCGCTTTACGTGCCCTCTTTATGTCCAGCGCCTCCCGCCGTTGCGGGTTACCTGGGTTACACACGTGAGGGGATCATTGTAAGCAGTGCTTAATTTGTGCCGGAGCAAGTCGGAGCGCGATCCGGGACCTCTTTTGATCGGATCTGGGACCTATTTCAGCCGCTCCGGCACCTGTTTCATCTGCTCCGGGACCTTCCCTGTGGAGGATGACTTTTTTCGGGAATTCCCGTGGGTCACGTGATTCCCGCGGGATGGGAGTCATTGTTTTATTAATCTCTTGATCGGGACGGGACGGGAAAAAAAGCAACGGGAGTGGGCAGGAGCGGGAACAACATGAAAAGATGATCTTTTTCAGCCGTGTTTAACAACCAGATGAACAGGTGCGTCCATTTTTGTAGTCATCTCTCAGTGAGAGTAAACACTCTTGACCGCGCTAGCAACACAAAAGAACTACAACAGCGGTTTGACTTCCTGTCAGCTGGGAGCGCGGCTGCGCATTTGTACCCTTCAAGCCAGCAGCGAGGAAACGTAATTTTGTGACATTCTGTAGTTTTTCAATCATTTCTGGAGTCGTGGCGAATCAAATCACCTTACCTGTCTGCCCCTGATAGGCGAATAAAGCGCTCGGATTCATGCTCGGGTCTTGCTACGTGCTTCAAGAGTAAAGTAAACAATGATGGAGGCAGAGAGCAGCTTTGGAGGAGAAACATCTAGCAGTGTGAACAACCTCTTCAAAAGAGCCCTAAAGACCTACCTTTTTAATAAAGCCTTTGGTTAGTTTTCCTCTATGCTTTATGCTTTTACTACCTTGCCTCTTACATTGCAACTCTATATATTTTATTTTTTTTAAATTCTTTTTTATGCTAATCTGTGACTGTCATTCTATTGCTTTTTTTTTATTGTTGCTGCTCTTTTTTTACTGTGTACTGTAGCACTTTGAGATTTTTTTGTAAATGTAAAGTGCATTACAAATTAAATTTATTATTATTATTATTATTATTATTATTATGGAGTGCTTCGGCTCACACCATCAGCGTTTTCTGTAAGTGTTACATAACTTTGGGTGAGCACAGACATGAACGCACTTCAGCCACGTATTTGTTTATTCATTTTTCTAGTTTTAAGTGCTGGTCTTGTACTGGTACTGTACTAGTGCAGCTGTATACACTTAAATTTTTCATAGAACTGAAAGCATACCATAGCTATATCGTGATATATATCGTTATCGTGATATAAAATGATCCATATCGTGATATACATTTTTTTCCATATCGCCCAGCACTAACCTTACCTGTCTGCCCCTGATAGGCGAATAAAGCGCTCGGATTCATGCTCGGGTCTTCCTACGTGCTTCAAGAGTAAAGTAAACAATGATGGAGGCAGAGAGCAGCTTTGGAGGAGAAACATCTAGCAGTGTGAACAACCTCTTCAAAAGAGCCCTAAAGACCTACCTTTTTAATAAAGCCTTTGGTTAGTTTTCTTACTACCTTGCCTCTTACATTGCAACTCTAAATATTATTAATTTTTTAAATTCTTTTTTATGCTAATCTGTGACTGTCATTCTATTGCTTTTTTTGTTGTCGCTGCTCTTTTTTTACTGGGTACTGTAGCACTTTGAGATTTTTTGTAAATGTAAAGCGCATTACAAATTAAATTTATTATTATTATTATTATTATTATTATTATTATTATTATTATTATTATTATTATTATTATGGAGTGCTTTGGCTCACACTATTGGCGTTTTCTGTGAGTGTTGCATAACTTTGGGTGAGCACAGACATGAACGCACTTCAGCCACATATTTATTTATTCATTTTTCTAGTTTTAAGTGCTGGTCTTGTACTGGCACTGTACTAGGGCAGCTGTATACACTTTAATTTTTCATAGAACTGAAAGCATACCATAGCTATATCGTGATATATATCGTTATCGTGATATAAAATGATCCATATCGTGATATACATTTTTTTCCATATCGCCCAGCACTACAGGGGAGTGATACTTCCTTCAGGACTTGGCAAATGAACGACATGTGTCACCCAGTGAACGACGCTGTGACTTCAGCAGCAGGGGAGGGGCTTGTTCAATGAACAAACTCGCCGCTGTGTCACCTAGTGGTTTACTGCACCGGCAGGACGGGGCTCCGAAGCGCTGACTGATTCTGTGAACGAATCATTTGAACAAATTGTTTTAATGAACGGATTCTAAAGATTCAGTACAGTCAAAAGGACAGTTCTTCCCATCACTAATGTATATCAGGCCTACACCAATAAAAACATTAATAGTTAGTTTAAACTGTTTCATTTAATTCAGGTGTGCAGGTGTTAAGCTGTAAAGATGGGAAAATGAAAAATATTGTCAACTGTTAATATCATACCTGAGACACTGAGCGAGAAAAGAGGCAAACAGGCCCCAGGTGGAGGATGAACACTAGAACACCTGAATCTATCTACCTGTATAATGTACACATGAACACAACAATTTCACTTTTATTTACCTCAACACAAACATGCTAACCTGACTAACTGTGTCACACCTGACGGACAAGCGGGTGTGTTACATCTCTGCTCATTTCCGGTAACGTAAAGTTAGCCTGGATGGCCCAGCCAGTCTAACGTAAAGTTACCTGTGTGTGTTTCACTTTGACTAACAGCTAACGGCTAACGTGTATGCTGGAATGACTTAAAGGCACCGTCTTTGTAACGGTGTCTATATGGTGCGTCCAGATTCTGATGTCTCTGTTTTAGTTCGGTTGTCTCTACGGTACCGTTCATTTTCTGAAGCCTCTACAGAACAATTCGTGTTCAGTTATCTTCGCGGTACCGTCTATGTTCCGTGTTTACCATCTATACGGCGGTGCATATCAGAGTGCAGAGGACGGTTCCGTCTATCTCCAGCAGTGAATGTCATCAGCGTTATTAATAGCAGCGGAAGCGGAGCTGGTTATCTGCTGCTCCGGTAACGGCTCTCCCGCGGTGAAATAACCCGTCCCCCGGTGTCATAAAAGGCTCAAGGGTGTGTAGTACTCACCGGGGTGGTCTGTCCCGGTCTGTCCCGGGTTCTCTTTAGCTCGGCTCAGTCTGACAGGGTGTCAGGTCGATCTGGCTCCCAGTAATCAGCAGCCATGTTGCTGCTCCGCTCCTCCGGTGTGTCCCGGTAGACAACCCTCACCGCACCGTCAGTGACGTCACTTCACGGATATTGAAAAAATAAAATAAAACAAATTAAAATGAAAGCAGGCAACCGTTTTTTTATGAGTTAAATACATCAAAAATAAAAAACTATTAATAGGAGGGTCTGTTCACTTGAAAAAATGGCCAAATTGTTACGCGGTGGATAAAAGCACTAAATTTGGTACACAAATTCTTTAGGGTGTATCTCATCATCTCTGAAGGGGTGCCCAAAAATTCGGACCCATTAAATGCCTTTTAAAGGGGAAAATCCAAAATGGCCGCCAGAAATGAACCATAATTCCTAAAATATGGTCTAATTCTGAAATTTTGGCTTTGAAAGACATGGCTTCACACATTAATCCTTCTGTGAGTGATATATTATTGATGCCAGATTCAAAATTGTTTTTCAAAAAACTTCTAGTAGGCCCTATGAATGATTATATAGGTAATATATTGTGACAACTTTATATGACCATAGATCCAGCACTCATATACTGTATAGGCACAACTTATTTTTAAGCTGAGACATAGCAGGTGACTAGTGGAATCAAAGACATTTGCATTACTGGAAAGATACACCTGTGTTCTGTACGACAAGACAACTGACATTGAAAATGTCAATGACCTAAGGAAGGACCTATTTGCTAAGAAATCTCTGTGAATGGAAAACATTCCTCCGACACAGGCTGCATTGCTACAGCATGCACATCGAGCAGTTTATCAGTCTAGGATTTTGTTCAACAGCTTAAAAGCTATCTAGTCTCTACCATCTCCTGACAAATTTGGATGGACCAAAGTCAATGATTTGTGGAGACCGCTATGGACACGATTGCCAGAGGCTGCCAAAATTTGCAGAGAACTCCTTAAGTGTGGCTGCAAAGCTGAGCCCCTCTGTTCTCGGAAGTGTCAGTGCTGGGATGCTGGATTACCTTGTACAGCATTATGCCAATGTGCTGGTAAATGTGAATGGGACATGTGAGTCACTTGGCAAAAAGATAAAGAATAAAAGACAAAACAACAGACAGACAGACAGACAGACAGACAGACAGTAGCATGCCCACTCAGGATGGATGGAGATGGGTGGAGAGATGGAGAGATATGATGACAGACAGACAGACATGAAGATGGATAGATAGATGGATGGACTGATGGATGGATGGATGGATGGGTGGATGATGGACAGATGATGGATCCAGCCTCCATGGGACACAATTAAGATAGATAGATAGATAGATAGATAGATAGATAGATAGATAGATAGATAGATAGATAGATAGATTAGAAACATAGCTTAGATACAGTAGATTAGTAGGTAGATGGATGGATGGATGGATGGATGGATGGATGGATGGATGGATGGATGGATGGATGAATGAATGCAGCCTCAATGGGACACAAGCCAGTGTTCTACTTGTGCCGGTCCCAAGCTCGGGGAAATGCAGAGGGTTGTAATTCAAATAGTTTTGTATGCATTTATAAAAATAATGCCTGCACCGTGAGCGTCATTTCCCTTTCTTTCTGCCCCTTCATTTGCATCATCTATCAATTTTATCAATCACTCCCTTCCTGTTTCAGATTATTTTGGGCACCCTTTCTAGGATGTTTAGGATAACCCAAGGTACACATGTGAGAAACGTTATAGTTTGATGAGATTCTTTAGATGACTTTTGAGTCAATCAACAACACTGTAGGCCATTTTCAATTTAGTCAATGACTCACTTCCTGTTTCAGATTATTTTGGGTCCCCCTTCTAGGATGTATTAGGATGACCCTAGGGACATATGTGCCAAATAGTATGCTTCTCTGAGATTCAATAGGCTATTTGAATCAATCGGTAACACTTTAGGCGACCATTTTTAATTTCGTCATTAATCCACTTCCTGTTTTTGGCCACTATATCTAGGATGTCTCAGGATGACCCAAGGGTCACGTGTGCCAAACTTTATGATTTTTGGACATTCTTTAGGTGTTTTATGAGTAAACTGTCACCTGTTTAGGAGGCCATTTTGAATTTTGTCAATAACTCACTTCCTGTTCGACATTTTTTTGGGCACCCCTTCTAGGATGTTTTGGGATGACCTAAGGGACATATGTGCCAAATTTCATGCTTTTATCCACCGTGTAACGATTTTTCACTTAACAGACCCTACTATAATGTAATATATTAAAGGAAATTAATTAACTCCGTGTGGCATCTATGGAGGACTAAAAGTGCCCAAATTAAATAAATATATCATTAAATAATTACTTAAACGTACCATTAAATGATTCAAAGTGTGAATAAATAAAAAATATGTATTATTAAAAGTATCACTAATTATGTCTATATATACTGTATATGTATATATATATATATATATATATTGCCTCAAAGGGTGAAAGAAAAGTAAGGCTTAACATATGCCTGATTTACATAATATATGTAGACCTGTGGTAATATTATATGTAAATACTATACATTACAGCTGAGCTGTTATTCTTTATGCATTGTTGTATTGTGTATTTTTATGTATTCTGTTTATTTATTTATTTTTTTCACATGGAGCATATCTTACATTGAACCAGGACCTGCCGACCCGGAGCACTTTGCTGATAACATTGAAGAACTTATCGAGGTTTTGGCGTCTTTGGAAATATTAAATATTTAAAATCAGGAAAACAAAAAAAAAGAAATATCCATATTTACTTTATAGGTGGTTGAATTCTTTTAAATGAAGCAGAGATTTTTTAAGATTGCTTTTTCTTGTCCTCTCCCTTTTTTTAACCCTACGTTAAAGAGGATAAAATTAGGGCCGCAGAGACTGTTGACTGTATGTCAGTTCATCATTCTGGAACCCAGCACTCTACATCCCTCCTCCACTGTTGCCATTCTACAAAGCCCCCTATACTGAGTTTATCAAATGAGTTTTGAATTGCAACCAAATTTCATAGTGGGGAGATAAAATCCTTGTGAAACACCCGAAGAATTGCCAAAACAGGTAACAGTTTTTAATTATCCTGAATTTATCCTGTTTCCTGTGAAGAAGCGGTTCAACCTGATCAAAATGCTCTTGAATTCATTGTGAAGCTTTAGACCAAGTTTCTTGAAAAATTATTTGTTAATATATAAAATGAGAAAGAAAAGAAGACATGTATTTATTCATCAAAGAAACACTTAGGAAAAACCTGCTGAAAATTCATTGTGTAAATCTATCACGTAAAACTGTAAAAAAATAGAGTTTAAGACACTGGTGTGTTAGCAGGACAGGTGGGGAAGGAGCTAATTAAATAGAAGTAGTCCAGTCACATTGAAGAGATTTATTTACAATATTTTACACAGAGGTTTAAAGTTGCTCTGCTCTGACATCCCTCACCTGCACAGGTAAGTCTGATTGTGAACTGATGTCAAAGGTCAGTCTAGCAAGCTCATTATGTCCTCCACAGCTTGTTTGCCAGAAAGCGAAAAATGGAAATAAGCACAGAAAATGATTCTGTAAACTCCGCCTCTTTCCCAGGCTGTCCCGTGATAGGTTGGTTGGTGCTTTTCTGTGACAGCAGTTTTGCCAAACTGCCGATTCGTTGTTTCTGTCCTCTTACTCTGATTTGTTTGTGTTAAAAATCTTGGCCAGCAGTGAGATGTTTGATTGGCTCTTCTGCTGTAGGAGGTGGGCCTTAGCTAGGTGCCTCTGGCTAATAGAGTTCTTTTTCTTTATCTGGATCTCATCCTCTGTCTGACGCTGCGTGAAGTCCCATGTCTTCTCTTCCACCTGAGGACCACAAACCAAACACATTACAGCAAATATCCTGTGAAAACACCTAAAGCTGCAGGTGAGTCCAGATGAGTTTACCTGTTGACCATCTCTCGTCCTCTTCTTCTTCACATTGTCCAGGTGAGCACTCCGTTCCACGTTGTTCAGGTAGAAGTTTGTCTCCCGCTTCGCCTGAGACACCTCAGTCCTGAGTCTCTGCTGCATAACTGTCTGCTCATACGCCAGACGTTCACTCAGGTGAGTCCACTGGAACCTGTGCAGGTACTAAAATCAGAAAGACCGCAGTGAGACAGACAAGTGAGTCCACTGGAACCTGTGCAGGTACTAAAATTAATATTCTAATGCTTCATATATTGGGAGGTAAACCTGAGAAAACTTTATAAATATATATATATATATATATATATATATATATATATATATATGTGTGACAGTGATCTAGACGGTACTTTTTGCTTCATATCCTGGAGAGAAATGCCTCAATGTCTCATATATTTGAGTACATTAACTTTTTCACAGTTTTACTGAAAAAATTTAGGTTCGAGATATTTAATGGCTACAAGTGTCATGTTCCCGCTGTCAGGACACCCCAGAACCAGAGACCATGTCCAGCGTGTCCTGTGGTATGACTGTGTCGACTGGTCTGAGCTTACAAGGTGGTGAAGTCAGGATCTGAGTTAGTTACAGTTTTTTGGGAAAAATCTTGAATGTAAACTCTACCCCTCCCAACCAGTTTTCCCCTCAGCTCCTCCTCTCCCCTCCCTCTCTGCTCCAGCAAGCCCCGCCCACAAACAGACGCTCCTGCTCGCTCGTATCGTTCCAATTAAATTCAGATATAATGCAGATAAATACTTCAGATAATTACAAATGGGGCCCAGTCAAGGTGAAAGTCAAAAGCATTGGTGCTACAACAACACAATGTTTGCAGGACTTCTACAACTAGGATAAAGTGACATAGTCCAGGACCCGAGGGAGGACAGTTTAGCGATGGCGCTACAACACGCTACAGCAGGTCCGTTTGACAAGAAACACTTCTGTTACTGACACTTGTCTTACTTTGTTAAAGCTGTTTACCTGTCCAGCAGAAAGGTTACAGGGTCACCAAGATCCCGAAGCGTCCCCCATCGTTTATGTTGACCCGTCTTTTTAGCTCTACCTCTGTTTTAAGCGCCCGTTATTCTGCCAGAGTCTCCGGTATTTACTTCATTTTCTTGCTTGTGTTGGCAGTCGTGGCCAAAGGAGGATTCAGACAATTTTCTGTACTTTTTGGTTGGTTTCTACTGTCTGATGTTGTAGAACGCTAACTTTGTTTAGGTTCATGAACGAAACAGGGGAGCAGCGTCTGCCTCACAACCAATCAGGCCGGGGAGGTGGAGAACGGCTTTGTTTACAGTCACAAAGAGTGGGCTGCTCAAAACATGTTAAAATGTTGACTACACAGACATAAGAGAACACAGAGATATCTTTATATTACCAAATGTCATCAATAACTAAGAACTATTGACTGATATTAGAAGTTCTTTTGTCAATACGCCACAAAAAAGATGCTTCTTTAACGTAATTCCTGCCTACCCCACCTTTAACTCTGTAGAGGACCTGGGGTCCGTTTCACGTAGCAGGTTTAATGGAAACTCCGAGTTTGTTAACCCTGAAATCAGGGAAACTCTGAGTTTTCCGTTTCACAAAGGAGGGTTAGTTAAACCAGGGAGAGAGGGGTAACTCTAACCTGTTTCACAAAGAGAGGTAACTCAACCTCGCGGTCAGTTACCACAGTAACAGACTCCGTGAACCTAACCTGCTCGGGAGCAGGTTTAACTCAGTAAACCCAGAGTTTCAGGTGAGACATCGGCATTTTCTCATTTTGATCATGTTTTACATTGTCAAGTAAGTATTAAGTGGCAGTTTGATCCCTTAAAAAATGCTCTTTTCACACTCAAAACTGAATTTTACTCTCTTATTATGTTCCGTTAAATGATTAGGAATATTAAACTAACACAAAAACGGGTGGTGGTCCAGCAGCCCCACCTTTAACGGAGGCAGAGGAGCTGCCCCCCAGCCCCCCCCCACAGACACACACACGCACACCAGTCCGACGATCGCTGCTACGGGGTGAGGGTTGCGATCGTCGAGGGGGGGGCAGCTCCTCTGCCTCCGTTAAAGGTGGGGCTGCTGGGCCACCACCCGTTTTTCTGGCATCTGCCCTCTTTCTGTTTGCTGAGTGAAAGTCTAATATTGAGTGTAGTGTGTGTTAGTTTAATATATGTACATATACATACTGAGAGTTAGTTTAATATTCCTAATCATTTAACGGAACATCATAAGAGAGGTAAATTCAGTTTTGAGTGTGAAAAGAGCATTTTTAAGGGATCAAACTGCCACTTAATACTTACTTGACAATGTAAAACATGATCAAAATGATTCAAGCAGTTTCCCTGCAACAGTCTGTCATTGTGATTGCACGAGACTAGATTTAAAGTTACGCATTGACGCGAGCAGCGATTTCCTCCCAAGCCCTCTCCCTCTCCTTTGCAGCTGCTGCTGTATTGCACTTTCTTTTACAAACGTGCTGTAATTCGCTGTTGGCTTGCTGCTGCCCCCTCCTTCTCCCTGTTTCCATTGGTTGATCATTGAATCTGCGCTCCACAGATGCTGGCTGTTTATGTCTGGTGTGCACGTGCTTAACTCCAGGTCAAACTACTCGGAGTTGTTAAAACCGTCTCAAATCAGGTGTTGTGAAACCGGAAACTCAGAGTTTCCTAACTCAGAGTAGATCAACTCAGAGTTCAGGATTTAACTCAGAGTTTGTTGAACCACCTACGTGAAACGGACCCCTGGACCTTCACTAGGACAGACTTACCTTCATTGACCACAGGTCGGAGGAGAAGTGTTGGCGTTTCCTGGTTCCCATCAGCGTGTTGTGCAGAGATGCTGCGACTCGTTTGGCAACTCTTTTGTCAACAAACTCCACCCAGCCCTCAGTGAAGTCACACCTCCTTAAACCTGACCTCTTCTTCCTCTTCCTCACCTGACCATCTGTGAATATAGGAGGAAAGAGGAGACGAGGGGACAAGGAGACAAGGACAGAGGAACGTCACAAAAATTATTTACAGACTTAAACTGATCAGATTTTGTTTCATGAAACACTGACATCAGTGTATGTGTATGTGTGCAATAATAAGGTACCTTCAGGTTGGAGGAAGATGCGTCCGATCTCTCCGTACACTGACAGCAGATTCCTCAGGTGTTTTGGACGGAACCTCGGTGGAATGTGTCCCAGGTAGATGATACCTGGGACACATTTCTTCTCTGCACCTCCAACACATTTCTTTACAAAGCTTTTCTTCAGCCTCACACCATCATCTTCATCATCGTCATCGACTTTATCTCCATTTTTCTCTGCAGCAGTGTTCTCCTCCACCTCTCCCTCTTCTTCCTTCTCCTCCTCTTCTTCTTCGTCTTCCTTCTCCTTCTCCTCCCTCTCAGCTCTCAGCTCTTCCTCTTGTCTCTTCATCGTCTGCAGGTCAAACAGGAAATAAAACTCAGATTTTTGCTCAGATTTAAATCAGAATCACAGTCAAATCAACCACCAGATTGAGTTTAAATAAAGCTTCATTTATATCCTGTATGATTGGGTCCTGACTTGACTTTGCACATTTTCATGAATGGCACAAATGAAATTAAAATGAAAAGCAAAAAGCCCCAGAGGCTGATATTGCAGATCAAATCCAAAATAGAGAGACAGACTCTCCGCCTCTTCTCTTCTTCGTGTTGAGCTGTATGTTGGTCACAGCGATAAACTGTTAATCCAATAGGTGCTCAAGGCTCACTCTTTTGTTCATCTCATTCAAAATCTCACAGCAGTCAGGAAGGTGGACTTAATGATACACAGGGAACGCATGATTATTAAGAGGATAGTGACATTCCAGTTAATCCAGGTGTAACTGCAGAGGGGAAAAGAAAAACAAAAATGACAACCCAAAAGTTCCTGGCAAAGTTTTATACGTCCCAAATAGCCTCAAGTGGCAGAAATGGGAAGACAGAGTGAGTATTTGTGTATCCCAAAGAACATAAAGAAAGAAAGAAACACATCTGAAGTGGTGTTGTCAGCAGGAAAAACTCTCCAGATTCACCTCCAAAGTTTGACCATCTTTTTTTCTTTGAGGCATGAAGCTAAAAAAGTACAAGATGCAGTCAGGAGGATAAACACACAAAAAAGGTGCATGGGGAATGTTTGTAATCGGGGTGCCTAAGGAAGGTAGAAACACATGCTCGGATGTGCAGGGAGTTGATTTGACAAACAACATAAAACAGTACTGAATGATATAGTCAGAGTTATACAACATTGATCCATTATAGAGTCCCTTAGAGGAGAGCAGGACTTTGGAAAGTGGCAGGAATTAAAAGTTACTAATTGGTTTGACGTCCTGCTGACACTCCTAAATGTTACAGGCGCTTTCTCTACTGGTTCATCTGCACTCAGCCTGATGCCCATTGTCTTTATGTGTGTATGCGGGCACGTTGGCGCGCGCATGTGTGTTTGTTGTATGTGTGTGTTTGTTTTTGTTTTTCACTTGTAAAGCACTTTGAGTCACATTCATGGAGAAAAAGCGCTTTATAAATAAAGTTTGATTTGATTTGATTTGATTTGATTTGATTTGAATTGATTTGATTTGAATTGATTTGATTGTACCCAGACTGCAGTTGGCTTTCTATACTGATAAACTGTACACACACAAACTCTCACACACATACTTGTCCGTGCACTCTGAAGTAGATGCACATGTCTCAGTTTTGTGAGCCGGAGTTACAGGTTCTCTCCTGGCTGGTATTGAGGCTCCGTGGAGGTGAAAAAAGAAATATTTGGTTTACAAACAAAAATGATCCCACAGTCTGAACATTGAAGCAAACTAAAATATGATTTCAATTAAGGGGAATCACTCAGATACAGTTGAAACCAGAAGTTTACATACTCTATATAAAAAAAGCACCTAACCTTTTTTTTCTCACCGTCTAACATTAAATCAGATTGAACTTTTCCTGTTTTTGGTCACTTAGGATTACCAAAATTATTTTTATTTGCTAAATGCCAGAATAATGAGAGAGAGAATATTTTAGACAATTTTTTATTATTTTCTTGAGAGTCAAAAGTTTACATACACTAAGTTGACTATGCCTTTAAACAATTTGGGAAAGTCCAGATGATGATATTTGGGGGTTTGGAAGCCTCTGATAGGGTTATTGACAACATTTGATTTAATTAGAAACACACCTGTGGATGTATTTTAAGGCACACCTGAAACACACTGCTTCTTTGAGTAACATCATGGGAAACATCAAAAGAAATCAGCCAAGATATCAGGAAGAGAATTGTGGACCAACACAAGTCTGTTTCATCTTTGGGTGCAATTTCCATATGCCTGAAGGTGCCACATTCATCTGTTCAAACGATTATACGCAAGTATAAACACCATGGGAATGTCCAGACATCATACCGCTCAGGGAGGAGACGGGTTCTGTGTCCCAGAGATGAACGTGCTTTGGACCGAAATGTAAATATCAACCCAAGAACAACAGCAAAAGCCCTTGTGAAGATGCTGGCTGAAACTGGTACGACTGTGTTGTTATCAAAAGTGAAACGAGTCCTGTACCAACATGGACTGAAAGGCCATGACTCCAAAAGAAACACAAAAGCCAGATTAAAGTTTGCAAATGCACAAAGGGACAAAGACCTTAATTTTTGAAGACACGCCCTGTGGTCTGATGAAACTGAAATTGAACTTTTTGGCCATCATTCATAACCATTGTTACATTTGGAGGAAAAAAGGGGAAGCTTGCAAGCCTGAAAACACCATCCCAACTGTGAAATATGGGGGTGGCAGCATCATGTTGTGGGGTTGTAGGGACTGGTATACTTCACAAAATAGATGGCATCATGAGGAAAGAACATTATGTGGAAATACTGAAGCAACATCTGGAGACATCAGCCAGGAAGTTAAAGCTAGGGTTAAATGGGTTTTCCGAATGGATAGTGATCCTAAGCGTACTGCCAAACTGGTTACAAAGTGGCTTAAGGATAACAAAGTCAATGATTTGAAGTGGCCATCACAAAGCCCTGATCTCAATCCTAATGAAAATTCATGGACAGAACTGAAAAGTCATGTGAGAGCAAGGCGGCCTACAAACTTGGCTTAGTTACAACAGTTCTGTCAGGAGAAATGGGCCAAAATTCATGCAAACTATCGTGAAAAGCTTGTGGAAGCATATCCAAAGCACTTTTATCTTGAAATCGCTTAATTCTTGTGAAGTTTCTTTTAACAGTTATACATAGGGTTGGGTATCGAGAATCGAGTATCGATGGGGACCGGGACTAACATTTCGATTCTTCTGGTATCGTTCGAATACTAAAATTTTGATTCCAAGTTTCGATGCCGGAGTCCGCCGACCGGAAGAAATAGCCGCCGAAAATCAACAAAGAAGAAGCCGCTTAACACCAATGAGGACGGAGCGTATGAGACGAAGCCCACAGAAAGTGAAGAGAGACAGAGAGAGAAAGTACATTGCAACCCACAGCAATGCAGCCGCTGTGGGTTACAATCTCTCTCTGTCTCTCTCCTCTCTCTGTGTGTGGCTCCATCTCATACGCTCCGTCCTTGTTGGTGCTCGGTGGCTTCTTCTTCATTGGTCAAAAGTTTGGCTAACTTTAGCAGGAAAAATGAACTCTTATCTCAATGCAACATTAGCAATACAATTAGATCATGCAAAGGAGGGTAAACGACCACCATGATTTAACACCTCAGGATTCATGGAGGAGAAATACCCGAGTGCTCGTCTTTGACGCGCTTCGCCGGTGTTGTGCCATAGAATGCACCCCTGCCATAGAATGCCCCCCTGACGGGAGCGCGGTTGAAAGTACACAACAAGGCGAAACAATCCAAGTTTTCCTTACCGTTGAACGGAATCTAAAGCGTGTGCCTTTAATGATTTCATTCAGGCTATTCAGATATGCCGAAAACAATAGCCCTCTGATTCGGAATATTTACTGTCCCGAAAATATAATGTTCTCTACCTTAACAGCTTACTGTACAGTTTATATTATATACAGCATTTTTGAGACACATAAAAACAAAACGAAAGTTTACTGCTCCATTTGACACGTTTTCATGATCTAATACCCGTGTTTTATTAAATATGAGATCATATTTCTTCCACTAAGAAGCTAATGAGTGGAGGGGAGGCATTCTTCGGCAGGGGTGCATTCTACAGCACAACACCTGTCTTCCGCTAACCAGTCAGGATCAGATAAGTGAAACAATAAATTACTTCTGTCCTCTGCTAACTTTGAAACGGTAAAGAAATTGAACTGTGTACGGTGAGTAAACTTAAATATCCATCTAACGTTAGCCCTTGTGCTTTTTCATAGACAAACGACCTGACAACAAAAATTGATATTTATATACTGGTTGAAAATAGCCCTGTGAGAAATTCATAGTAAAGTTCTTAAAAAGTTAATATGATTTAAAAATTCATGGGGAAGTTCAGAAATTTCATCCAAAAAGAAGAGCTCCGGTTAGCACCCTCTTTCAAACCATGCTTTTTTAAAAATTTTTGGATATCCTGCCTTTTAAATGAATCGAAATAGAGAATTGATAGGAATCGGAATCGAAATGAGGAATCGAAATCGAAATCGCTCAAAATCAAACGATACCCAACCCTAGACTTAGCAGACCACTTCAGAAGCAAGATTGATACCATCAGAGCCAGTCTTTTATCTCATCAGAATGCTGTTCTTAATACACCTGGATCACTGCTTTTACCCGTGGAGACACTGGAGAGTTTTAGTCTGGTTGATGCGAAGGCCCTTGGTCAAGTATTCTCCCAGGTAAACCCCACAACCTGCCTTTTAGATCCAATTCCCACATCACTTTTAAAGACATTTTATGAATTCTTCGAGGAACAGATTTTAAATATAGTGAATTGCTCTCTTCAGACGGGTGTCGTCCCCACTGCCTATAAAATGGCGGTGGTGAAGCCCCTTCTGAAGAAGAGCAATCTAGACCACAATGTCTTTAACAACTACAGGCCTGTATCTAATCTACCATTTTTAAGTAAAATCTTAGAAAAGGTAGTTTTTAACCAAGTAAATTATTTTTTAACTAAAAACAATATTTCTGAGAAATTTCAATCTGGCTTTAGGATGAACCACAGCACCGAGACGGCTCTTTTGAAGATTTTAAATGACACCAGATGTAATTTAGATACCAAAAAACTACCAGTCTTGGTCTTACTGGATCTTAGTGCTGCTTTTGATACCGTAGACCATCACATTTTATTAAACAGACTGAAGCATTTGGTTGGCCTCTCTGGTACCGTTTTAAAGTGGTTCCACTCCTATCTCATGGATCGATCTTTCTTTGTAAATATGGATACATGTTCCTCCAGAACACATAAAATTAAGTATGGGGTCCCCCAAGGGTCAATTTTAGGCCCACTTCTTTTTAATATTTACACACTTCCTTTGGGGGATGTCATCAAGAGGCACGGCATCAGTTTCCACAGTTACGCTGATGATACGCAGTTGTGCATTGCTGTGTCTCCTGATTACACAGGGCCAGTTGATGCCCTTTTTAACTGCATTTCAGATATTAAGTCATGGATGGCAGATAATTTCCTCCAACTCAACCAGAATAAAACAGAGGGTTTAGTCATTGGTCCTGAAGGCCTGAGAGAGAAACTTTTACCAAAACTACAAGATTTTAAACCCTCACAATGTGTTAAGAACCTGGGCGTTATTTTTGACTCCGAGCTCACTTTTTGTTTGGGGGGGGGGGCTCTCTGCATCAGCTGTGTGCTTGGCCGACAAGTGATATTTGAGACTAGACGTACTCCGGTGGTAACTAAATTCAGCTCGACAGGAAACACAAATGACTTTTGTCCTGTCAAGAGAGCCATCTGGCAAGGCTTTGTAGCTGAACTTTCTGTTCAAAATCGTGTTCTTATCCATTATATCCTAGTTACTGCTCACGGGGATTTGTTTATGTCTGCTGCGGTATCAGTCAGTGCTCTACTTCCTGATTCGTGAAACTACGGAGTGCCCCGAGGCTCACATAGCCTGGACACCTCACCAACTGTTCCTCTACCCTTTTACAACGGCAAGAATATCCACGCAGTGTGTGTATAGTTTGGTCAAGCCAGACTAAGGTTTGCGTTAATCGTGCGCCAAAAAAATTAGTGGCGATAAAAGTCACTTGAGTTAACGCGACAATAACGCGTTAACTTTGACAGCCTTAATTTATACTGTATATTCTCGACAGCAGTCCTGAAGTCCGCGTTTTAACCTTTTACCACCTCTTTCTTACCTGTTTTTTTTTCACCAGTTTTGACTATTTATTACCTGTTTCTAACCTGTTTTAACCCTTTCCCTTTAAAAGATTCCCTAAAGTAATCAAAATAAGGTGTGAACTTACCTTCGGAATCATTTAAACCCTCTTCAGTCCAGAACACTGCTCCTCTTTTCGCTCACGTGTGGGCAAACCTGACGCGTCTTGATGGCGTCGATGGGTATGACGATACATCCTGGTTATGCCTTCAAAATAAAACTGAAACGAGTTCTGAAATATTTTACTAGAGAAAAACTTACATAAAAATTTACCCAAGTAGAGGATTTTTTTTTTTTTTGCTTAATTATATTGTACTAAGAAGAAAGTCCAGCGAGAGAGTTCCTGAGAGCTTTAAATGAACTCTCATGAACTTTTACTTTTTGTTAAATACTAAATGACATTTATCCATCAAACCACTTCCTACATGTAAAATTTAATTGGGAATAATAATATGTGTGGATTTTGCGATAGCGACAATGAAACAATAGAACATATTTTCTTTGAATGTGAGCATGTTGTACACTTTTGGACATTATATCAAAATTGGTTGTTATCTAAACAAATTATTTTGCTCTCATTAAAATAGATGTCGATGAAGATTGGACTGCAGTTAAATGAAAAGAACTTCAGGGTGAACATTTTAATTACACTTGAAAAACATTTAATTGACAGATGTAAACACCTCAAGATGAAGCCCCACTTCAATAGATGGATAAACATACTCAGAAAATACAAAAAATCTTTGAACTACATGAAAAACAAAAATCTATACTCAACTTATTTACTATCCTAGAATAAGACCCTCATATTCTCTTTTCTTTTTTTTCATGTTCTTTTGATAATCTAAAAAGCTGGTTCAACACTTTATACTCTAAGTATCACTAATGTGCCTTTATGATGTTTGTATTTTGACAAAAAAAAAAAAAAAAAAACTTTTACTTTGGGAATTAAACCGGAAATTATATTGGTCCTTGTTACAGTTTGAACGGTACGCTGCGATATTAGTCATGGCGGGATGTTTGGAGTGAATTTAGCTTCAACACTAAAGATGCAGAGATCGGTGAGCAGTTTGAACCTGAACCTAAGTGTGAGAGCGAGGCTGATAAGCGCGGGAATACAGTCCACTCGAGACCTGCTGCACGTGAGCCCGAAACAGCTCAGCTCAGGTAACACACACACACACACACACACACACACACACACACAAAATGGGTTAAGATAGGCACTGATGTTGGTTACATTTTTACACCTTCAATTGTGAGTGAAGGTTAACAATAAGGGATCAGACTCTGTACGTGTTTGTAGTAAGACTGATATAAGGGGTTTACTTTTTTGCAGTAGTTTGCGGTTCAGTGCTTAAAGGGATATTCTGACGTAAAATTAATTTAGGGTCAAACACACCGTAACACCGAGTTAGACACCCCCTCCAGAGATGAATATTGCTGACCGCTTGCTTCTCTAGTTATACCAACTTTAGTAACGACCGCAAGATAGTAATACAGAGAGCCACAAGCTTAACCAAAACGCCACTCTATAGCCACAAATAATGCTCAGAGCAGCACCTAACTTCATCAACAGTACATGGGTCAATGACGTGACGCCTCAATATTCTGTCCGGCTGTATTTTCTTTATATTACGAAGAGTTTTAAAGGGGACCTGCCACCAAAATTTCATACCCATTTTTATCATTTTTTCATAATCCTTAATGTCCTCTGATCATGTTCATCAGGCAACATTCATTTCTCCAGGGGGTGTCTAACTCGGTGTTACGGTGTGTTTGACCCAAAATAATTTTACGCCAGAGTATCCCTTTAAAATAGCTACAGAAAGCCACTATTGATGGTTACAAACAGGTAACTGTAACGGGATGTTACAGTTAGGCACAAAAAAGGGTTCCAGTGAGGAGCTTAAAGTAGTTTCTTATTCGGCCCTAAAAATGGAAAGTTAGGGACCAAAATTCATTTCATCTGTTCATATGTCCAGACTGTGGACCAGGACTCGCTGATCCATTATTTCTGTCTGGTGTTGCAGAGACCGGCCTATCCCAGCAGGAGGCGCTGGAGGTGCTGCAGGTGGTGAGTACAGGTCTGGGTGGAGCCTCTATCAGCGCTCTGGAGCTCCTGCAGAGAGAAGAGGAGGAGCCAAAGAGCATTGTTACCTTCTGCTCACAGCTCGATACTGCGCTCGCTGGAGGACTTCCTGTTGGAAAAACCACTGAAGTCTGTGGAACGCCAGGAACGGGAAAAACACAGCTGTGGTCAGACACACACACACACACACTCACGTTAAACTAGTTTTTGTTCCACTGATCAATAAAGCTATTGATGATCTCATCACTCAGTCTACAGCTGGCTGTGGACGTTCAGGTGCCACCTTGTTTCGGGGGGGTCGGAGGTCAAGTGGTCTTTATTGACACTGAGGGGACCTTCCTGCTGCAGAGAGTCACTGACATGGCCGCCGCCGCTGTTCAACACTGCGCCCTATTAGTTGAGGATGATGAACAGCGAGTTGCCATGACAACTTTCTCTGTAGAAACCATCCTGTCTAACATTTTCCTGGTAATTATGAAATCATCATTAATCCATCCTCCAATCACTGCTGCTGTTACTGTGATGTCATACTTTGGCAACAGCAGAGGTAACTCTGATTGGCTTTTTGTCTCACAGGTGTGTTGTCATGACTACTTGGAGCTGCTGGCAGAGCTCCACTTGCTGCCTGACTTCCTGTCTGAGCATCCGAGGGTCCGCCTTTTGGTGATCGACAGCTTGGCATTTCCATTCCGGCAGCATTTTGATGAGCTGTCTCAACGTACACGCCTCCTCAACGGCCTCACCCAGCAGCTGATTGCTATGGCAACCAACCAAAACTTGGCTGTGGTGTTGACCAATCACATGACTACGCGTCTGCAAGGCAGCAAATCACAGCTGGTCCCAGCCCTTGGGGAAAGCTGGGGTCACGCCCCCACCATCAGACTCCTCCTACAATGGGCAGGTTCAAGGCGGTTGGCAGCCATCTTTAAATCCTCTGGTCACATGGACTCCACCATCCAATACCAGATCACCTCTGAGGGATTCAGGGACGCAGACCAATTAGAGCAGCCGTAAAGCAAAAGGCCTAGGACACACAGCAGCCAATCAGCTGCCAGCATCATAGAACTAATCTCCTAATTGGTCAAAGACTGTAAACTGATCAGAGATGGGTCTGTTTGTTAAAAAACTAATTTATGCTTTGCCTTTTTTTGAACTGATATTTAAACCTTTATTTTCAGAGAAAATTTAAAATGAGGACTCACTACAGGTTTTGTTTTGGAAAAACAGCTGATGAGCCTTTGGAATAGTCAGACCAAGTAGACCAATCAATGATCAATTAATAAATAATAAGAAATATTTTTTAAAAGTTTGTATTCAATGAAAACCTGGAGATTGAATGTGTGTGTATGTGCGCACGATAGTGTTCAGGGCTCGACAGTGCGACCGTTTCACTCGCATTTGCGACTAAAAGTAGATGTGTGCGAATTGTAAAATGTATTTAAGGTCACTTACGCATAAAAAAAATTCACCAAGGCAACAAATGTTTTTTCCTGTAAATATGGCAGTGAAGTTAGTTTTAGGTTGGATATTTGACAGACATTCACTGAGGATCTACCGGTGTCTTCTCACTCTCCATAACCAGGAATAACAACAGCAGTGCAGTTAAATCTACTCGGCACCCTCACTGTCAACGTCGGTGTTGAATAAGGGACCATCAATAAATTACCGGTTGATGTTCTCAAAAAAGGCTGTTTTCCTTCAATAGCTTCCATGTCATGTCATGTAACCGATTGACCTAAAAATGATTTCAAATCATAGTACTTATGTCGACCAATAAGTCAATTATTATTTGATCAATTTTCATTGTGCCCCTAAAGTTCTACTTGTGAAAAAAGTTAGCGTCGAGCTCTGGTGTTTGTTCTGTAACAGAATAATCTGGACTAAGAAATCTATTTTTGTTTTTCAGGAGCAGATTTTTTTAAATTTCAGTTTTTTGACGGCTGGTCTGAAACATAAGGACCTGATCCGATTCAGACTTTTGAAAGTGGATGAATCTGGATTAGAAGAGCCAAGACCACAGACTGGATGTTCTCTGAGTTCACCTAATTTTCCGGTCTTTTTCAACAGTACATGTCTGCAGAGCCATAGAGCCAAGCAGATCCACACCCGTGACAGATCATAGACTGTATATAGAATGGACAGAGTCTGCCTCCTCGCTAGGTGAAGCCACTCCGAGAACAGCACCCTCTGTTGATGGGCTGCAGTATAGGTCATAAATCCCGCCTCCAGCTTATGGAGCTGTGGACAAACTTCAGAAATTTATTACACAGAACATAAATTTTTCTCCCCCCTGCTTGTGATGTTGACATGTAGTTACTGTCAGACTGGTTTGTGCTCAAGTCCTCTTTTTTCTGTACAGCTCCGTTTTTAAAAGTTATTAGGGAGTTCATGTTTTCTATGATTGACACCTGATACAGCCTATGGGCGTTCAGGGATTTCATAGCTCATCCGGGGGATAGCTGAGCGTCACCACAGCGACTCTCGGCGACTGCGCGGCCGAATGTGCGCATCCCTACTGCGCAGCGCTGGTTTCAGGAAATGAAGAAAAATACCGAGAGCTTTTTGGCTTCAAATCCATATACAGGCGGGAGGCGGAACCAAGTTGTCCATAGTATATACAGATCCACAACCCTCTTTGCGCCCCTGCTGGACGGAGTAGGTCATTGCATGACAAATCCACAACCTGAAACCTGAAAAAGTCATCCGCTTGAACGTCATGATCGAATATTAACCTGAATCACATAATTTTTAGTCATTAATAAAACTGTTGTTTTGAATTTAAAATAAATGTAAATGTGACAGACTCCGTTTATGACATTTTTCCCTATCCATTTTCTGTGATAGTCTGAAATGCACAATCTCGGTCAGGCTAATGGTAACATTAGCTTTTCGGAAGTCGGAAATGTACGATTTGACCCTACTAGGCTACTAGCATTGTAGTAAATGAAACAGAAGTGCGATTACTAATAATGTGCATGAGATTGCACATGAAAATATATGAGAAAAACACACAAAATTTCAGACACATACTATTGCATTCAGGGGGTCAAAATCATCGCCAAGGAATGAATAGTATAAAAGCAAGGCCAATTCCTATGACATTAGGATAACTTAATATTTTGGGAGAATAAACCCAAAATATTATAAGTAGGCAGACAATACATAAAAAGATGATAAGTAAAACACTGTAAAATTAATGAAATCTAGATTAATATCTAAATATGTGACTGTGGGCACTCTTATTTTTAAAATAAATTTCAAATCCTTGAAAGGAAGTGGGCCGAGTCCCAAGAACTGAACACTTTTTACAAATTTAAAAGACTTTTTAATTTGATTCAATAATAATATATTACTGCGGTCACTTATTTATTTATCAACCTGTTCATTAAATTAAGTTTCTGGGCACAAAACGGATGTGGAACAGCGGTCAAAAAGAGAGTTGTGGATCTGTCATGCAATGACCTACTCCGTCCAACAGGGGCAGAAAGAGGGTTGTGGATCTGTCACGGTCGAAGATCTGCTGGGCTCTCCGGCTCTCGATATTTTTATGGTTATATTTTATGGTTGGGGAAACGTCATCACACGCTAGAGCCAAACTCCGACTGTCGGCTCTGTACAACGAACAGAACATTACGAAAATTATATCAATTCTGAATCTCCTATCCCTAGCCCTCATCCTAACCCTAACCTGACAGACGATGACGTTTCACAGTCATAAGGAATAACCAATCGGAGCTCAGCACATAAAGGCAATCAAAAATCGCCTCCGGCTCTGCGGGCACCCCCTTATCGTCCTTTTTGGCCTTGGTCAGTTTACTCAGCACACCTGTCAGACACCTCAACACCTGTGCGGACAGTTATGGTTGACCATTACCACCAGAGGGCGCGCTGTCAACATAATATACTGACAGGCTGACCGTCGAAGATGTTCTCTGAGACAGATGATACACTTTGAGTAAAATCTCAGGTCCGAGTGCGCGCGCACACACGTTCATGTTTTAATTAAGCAGAGAGACAGACGGGTCCTCGCTGATTGGAGCAGGAGGATTTGAACGGGGCTTTCTCTGGGACTGATCACCGGATCAGACCGGCTGGCCAAACAGGGACCGGAACCAGAGTCTGGACTGAGTTCGGAGTGGGTGTTGACCGTTAGGAGATGGGATCTCGCTCCGGTAAGTTCTGCTGTGATGACCGGAAAAAAAAAAGTGAAACCATAGGACCGGAGATGGTCGATGAGTTTTTCGATGAGAAAAAATTAATGAGAATAAATGAGAATTTCAGGAAAATTAATCTAATATTCTAAATTAACGAAGTAGCGGTCTCTACGTGGGAGTTCTCATGTGGAGGACACCAACCCGCCCGGTGGGGTTTGGTTTTGGTCTTCAGAGAGGACTCACGGTTTAATATCACAGTATCTTCAGAGTTTGGTGTTGCAGATAAATCGTGGGGATTCACAGCCTTTTTTGGAAAACTTTGTGCAGAGTTTCTCGAGATCACAGAAGTTGACAATAGCGTTTAATGGAGACTTTCACTAAAAAAATTCTAATGTTAAACTGTAAAATAACCTGCTTTAAGCTGGTTAAGCTTTAATTTAATGAAAAAGGAGTCAAAAATATATTCAATTATGTGGCAAACCTTACAGGATCTATGTCGAGAATTATAAAGAATGATTTATTACATAAAAATATCAAGTTCACATTAGGGAACTTCTCTAAGATTCATAATTTTTTTAACTGTTATTATTATTGTCATTTTTACACAAGGAAGAAATAAGAAAATCACTCTCATAAGAAAATCAAGACATATTGTAAAATTTGGAAGTCATATTACAAAAATGAAGTCGTGGTAGAGTCATAGTAATAATGGATTATAAAGTCGTCATGTTATCTGAATGAAGTGTCAAACAGCATTATGCTGCTAATCGTTATCGTAAATTAACAACTGTGAATAAACAGCTTTATTCTCACAAGAAGAAAATTTGTATTTTTTTTCTTTAAGGTGGCCATGTGAGCAGCTTCGTGAGAAACAAACCAGAATTATTTTAAAATAAGGAAATAAATACGTAAAAATAAAGTGGTTATTTTACACGGAGAAGTCACAAATTACAAATTAAGAAAGGATAATCTTGAACGATTGAAGTTAACTCCAGAGATAATGTCATGATTTGATATATATTTGAAGGTGTAAAACTGACAGATACGTTAAAATATTTCAGAGAGACGAAGACATCAGTTTTATTGGTGAAGTCACAAATACATGCAATAAAGTCAAATTTGTTTCAGGGGTCCGACCTATTTGCCTCCCTTTGCCTAGAATAGAATAGAATATTCCTTTATTGATCCCCCATGGGGGAAATTTTTTTGTCACAGCAGCATCACAGACAAAGAGAGCAAAAATGCAGTTATAAAAATAAAGGTCCACATATTAAGAACTTAAATAAATGTAATAATTAAGAAAACATTTAGAAAAAAGGGAGAAGAAAAATAAAACTAGCTACAATATACACAATTTAAATGCCAGAAAAAAGTGGTGGTGTAAATCCAGTTATTATTACAGTTCGTTGTAAAGTCTTATTGCAGAAGGGAGGAATGACCTGCAGTAGCGCTCCGTCCTGCAAGGTGGAAGTCTCAGTCTGCTGCTGAAGGAGCTGCTTAAAGCCCCCACAGTCTGGTGCAGTGGGTGAGAGGGATTGTCCATGATGGATACAAGCTTTGCTAACATCCTCCTCTCACCCACCTCCTCCAGGGAGTCCAAAGAACAGTCCAGGACAGAACTGGCCCTCCTGACCAGTCTATTCAGTCTCTTCCTGTCCCTCTCAGTGCTCCCTGCCCCCCAGCAGACCACTGCATATAAAAGTGCAGATGCTACCACAGAGTCATAGAAAGTCCTGAGCAGAGTCCTGCACACTCCAAAAGACCTCAGTCTCCTCAGCAGGTGTGGACGACTTTGGCCCTCCTTGTACAGGACGTCTGTGTTTGTTGACCAGTCCAGTTTATTGTTGAGGTGGACATCCAGGAATCTGTAGGACTCCACCATCTCAATGTCCAGACCCTGGATGTTCACTGGAACAGTCTGAGGTGTCCTCCTCCTGCGGAAATCCACGACCATCTCCTTTGTCTTACTGGCAGTAAGAGTACTGGTAGTCCACGGTTCTTGCAGCTAGGTGACAGTCCACTCCCGCCCGCTCGAGCTTCCCCCTGAGCAGTGAAGGCTGGATGGTGTTGAAAGCACTGGAGAAGTCAAAAAACATGACCCTCACAGTGCTGCCGGTGTTCTCCAAGTGAGCCATGGACCTCTGCAGCAGGTAGATGACTGCGTCGTCCACTCCAATGTTCGGCTGGTACGCAAACTGCAGAGGATCCAGATGAGAGCTCACCAGGAGGCGGAGGTTCCTCAGCATGATCCTCTCCAGAGTCTTCATCAGGTGAGAAGTGAGGGCCACAGGTCTGAAGTGGTTGGGCTCCCTGGGGTGTGCTGTCTTGGGGACAGGAATCACGCAGGAAGTCTTCCACAGTGTTGGGACCCTCTCCAGACCCAGATGTGCAGTAGCACCTCACAGAGCTGGTCTGCACAGTCCTTCAGGAGTCTGGAGCTGATGCCGTCAGGACCCGTGGCTTTCCTTGGCTTCATCTTCCTCAGCTCACTTCTCACCTGGTCAGCTGTTATGGAGAGGCTGGGGGTGGTGCTGGAGGGGGTGGTGGAGGATGAGTGGAGGGGGGGTGATGATGCCGGTGCCATGGGACTGAGGTGGTGTAAAGAAGAAGCAGCAGATGGGTCACTGGTTTGATGAGTCGGTGGAGGAGTGGGAGCAGAGTCAAATCTATTGAAGAACAGATTCAGCTCGTTGGCCCACTCCCTGTCTCCTGCTTCAGGTCCCCTCTCATGGCCCCTGCTATGACCTGAGATGGATTTCAGGCCTCTCCAGACCTTCCTGCCGTTGTTCTGTTGCAGAAGGTTTTCCATCTTGGTCTTGTAGCTGGCCTTCCCCTCTCTGATCTTCTTCTTCAGCTCCTTCTGCACCCTCCTCAGCTCCTCCTTGTCCCTAGATTTAAAGACCCTCCTCTTCTCCTTCAGGAGGACTTTAAGTTCTGGGGTCACCCAGGGTTTGCTGTTGGAGAAACACCGTACTTTCCTGGTGGGTACGGTGTTCTCAACACAGAAGTTTATATAGTCTGTGGTTCAATCTGTCATGGTGTCGATGTCATCACCATGTGGGCCACACAGTACATCCCAGTCTGTGGTCTCAAAACAGTCCTGCAGCGCCTCAGTGGCCTCCTCAGACCACCTCTTAACATACCTGATGGTGGGGGGTTGTTTCTTCACCATAGGTATGTAAATGGGCTGCAGTCTCACCAGGTTGTGATCTGAGCGGCCCAGTGGGGGGAGGAGGTGTATGTATCCTTGGTGTTTGCATACAGTAAGTCCAAAGTTTTATTGTCTCTTGTTGGGCAGTTTACATACTGGCTGAAGGTAGGGAGAGTGGAGGAGAGCGATGCATGATTAAAGTCTCTAGAGATGATGATCAGAGACTGAGGGTGTGATGTCTGTAGCTTGGACACTTCACTGTGGAGGAGTTCACAGGCTGCAGCAGCATCAACCGAGGGGAGGATGTAAACAGTTAACGCCTAATGGTAAAGTCTGCCACTGTAGGTGTTATGACAGTGATAATTAAAAGGTGATAATTCCATTAAACTGATCATATAAACAATAAAATGATCAGTATAATGAAATTATCACCTTTTGAGAAGCACTTTTTATAATATGACTTCCAAACTTTACAATATGGCTTTAGGTTCTTTCAAAATCAGATTGTGAAGCTCTGGTAGATTAAATCAGATTATTAAAACAGGTTTTCAGTAAAGAGTCAATTATTATTATTATTATTATTATTGTTATTGATGTTTTGCCAATAAAACTTTTTGAAATTGAAAATTGAAAACACACACACACACACACACACACACACACACACACACACACACACACACACACACACACACACACACAGATACAGTGAACTAATTGGTCGATCTCTCCTCAGGAGTCCACAGCAGGATGAAAACTCTCACCTGAAAAAAAAAAACCTCAGTATGAAATCATCAAGCCCCGCCCCCTCCCACCTCCCAGAGCGCTGTTGTTATGATCACAGTCATCATCATCATCATCAGACCATCTCATTCAGGACTGGACAGAGCCTCAGTCAGAGCTCATCGTGGCCCCGTCTCCTCCTTTACCTCTGGCTCTTCTGGATTGGTGGACAGATGTTCCAGGTGAGCGCCTCCCATCAGCACTTCCACCCTCACTCCATCAAGATACCTGGTGACATCACTCTGGGGGGTCTGTTCCCGATCCACGCCCGTGGCCCCCACGGTCTTCCCTGTGGCGAACTTAAAAAGGAGAAGGGGATCCACCGCATGGAAGCCATGCTGTACGCTCTGGACCAGATTAACAGCGACCCAGAGCTTCTGCCCAACATCACGCTGGGCGCCCGGATCCTGGACACCTGCTCACGAGACACCTATGCCCTGGAACAGTCACTCACCTTTGTTCAGGCGCTGATCCAGAAAGACACGTCTGACATCCGCTGCTCCAATGGAGAACCGCCCCTCATCCGGAAACCTGAGAGGGTGGTGGGCGTGATTGGGGCGTCTGCCAGCTCTGTGTCCATCATGGTGGCCAACATCCTGAGGCTATTCGAGGTGAGAGACACAAAGGTAACAGACAGGTGATATGCAGGTGATATACAGGTAACATACAATTCTATAGAGGTGATACATAGATGATGTACAGGTGAGATACGGGTGTTGTGCAGGTAAGGACAGGTGACATTCAGGTGTCATACAGGTAAAGAAATACTTATACACAGGTAATATGCAGTTGTATTCAGATGACATATGCTGTGAAGATCAAATACAAATCAAACACAGGTGATATATAGGTGGTTTACATGTGAGGGATAATGTATTAAATGAATGAAAAGATAATGCTGATAATGTTAATTATAATGAGGATGATGATGATAAGTTAATAATGACGTTGAAGATGCAGGTGGTACTGAAGTATGAAACTAATAATAGTGATATTGGGGAAAAGATAGAATGATCATTCTGACAAAAAACTGATGATATTGTCTGATCACGGTGGGAACAATGATAATGATGGTGAGGATAATGATAATGGTTGTAACCATGATAGTTATGATGAGGACTGAAATAATGGTTAACGATAACTATGATGGTGGTTGTTATGATGATAATCAAAGTAGATTGATAAAGATAAAGATGAAATAATTAATAATAATAATAATAATAATAATAATATATTTTATTTGTAACGCACTTTACATTTGAAAACAAATCTCAAAGTGCACAACAAGACAACAATAACAGTAAAATCAAGCAACAGGGCAAAACAATAAAAACAGTCAGCAGATAAAATCAGATAAAATTAGGCCCAAACTACACGAATGCGGATATATTTCAAACCGCACATATTTATGTCCGATTAGGCCTCCCTACCACACCAAAACGGGAGTTTGGAGCACTCAAACCGGATAAATCTGAAACCGGAAAAACAAGTGGAGAAATAAAAAAATATCCGTATCCCGTATCCGTATCCGTAGTGGATTCGTGTGGTCGGACTTTTACGGATCGATGACGTCAAATCGCAGCTCGCGAATTAAAAAGAAAAACAACAACAACAACGATGGCGGACAGACAGGGTATTCTTTACGTTTGTTTTGCCCTTTTGGGGCTAATTTCAGCCTTTCAAGTGAACCATGTTTTATACAATTACATCCACCAGTCAGCCAGCTCACAGACGCGTCTGCTGCGGCCAATACTTTTATTGGTCACATGGTCCGTCACATGGATCCGACGCACTAGCGTAGCTTCCGCAAACAATGCATGACGTATCACGCTGTTACGATTCATCGGCCAATCAGGTAGCTGCACCAGATAGGATTGAGTTTGAAGGCTACGTGTGGACGCAGATATTTCTGAGAACGAACACGTGTGGACAGATACATTTATTTAGACGGGAGAACAAAAATATCCTGATCAATAAATATCCATATACGTGTAGTTCGGGCCTCTGTCGGCTTAGGTAGGCTTTCCAAAAGAGGAAGGTTTTGAGTGAATATAGTGATGATGGTGTTGGTTTTATTTTAACCAGGTATAATTGTGGTACATGTTTTTGAGTTTACTATGGCTCCTCGGACCAATCAGAGTGTAGAATCAGTGTGATGTCATAGATCCCCAGAGTTCAGCCACAGATAGATCTGTGAACTGAGGCATAAAGACTGAATGATGATGATGATGATGATGATGATGGGGGGTATTTAATGTGTGGTCCATTAATTTACCTGCACACACCCACACATACACACACACAGGGAGAGAGAGAGAGAGAAAGAGAGGTTTATGTATTAATGTGATTGTTACTGGTTTGCTGACACACATACAGCTCTGGCTATTACACACCACTAAGCCACTGTGTGTGTGTGTGTGTGTGTGTGTGTGTGTGTGTGTGTGTGTGTGTGTGTGTGTGTGTGTGTGTGTGTGTGTGTGTGTGTGTGTTGCTATTTATGGTCATTTAGGGTCAAACACCATAACACTGAGTTAGACATCCCCTCCAGAGATGAATGCTGCCGACCGTTTGCTTCTCTAGTTATACCTCAACCAAAACGCCACTCTATATCCACAGATAATGCTCAGAAGAACATTTATGATCATTTCTTCATGGAAATGCAATAATGCAATCAGACCAAGACACTAAGGCAGAAGAACTACCGCATCTGCAGTGCAAAATGATTAATATGATAATTATTACTTCAAAGAAATGATCATAAATGTTCTTCCTTGAGCTGCGTCACCCCGCTGTAGTCTGTAATGGACTGGCCTGAGGTCTCACTACAAACAAGCGTCTGCTGAAATAGAGTAGGTGAGTTGTGTTTAGTCTCTTTGTTAAAGAAATGAGTCAAAGTTAAAAAGATGTTTGGTGTCTAGTACTATGGCTGTGACCCTATATGTACTGTTGATGAAGTTAGGTGCTGTTCTGAGCATTATTTGTGGTTATAGAGTGGTGTTTTTGTTGAGCACGTGTCTCTCTGTATTGCTATCCTGCGGTTGTTACTAAAGTTGGTATAACTAGAGAAGCAAGCGGTCTGCAACATTCATCTCTGGAGGGGCTGTCTACCTTGGTTTTGCAGAGTGTTTGACCATAACTTAAATTTTATGCTGGAGTATCCCTTTAAAGGGCCGGTATCTTTACCTTTTTAATTCTGATCTTTTTGTGGTGACTGATTTATAATTCTTTATTTTTAAATATGATTTCAGATCCCTCAGGTGAGCTACGCCTCCACAGCTCCAGAACTGAGCGATAATAATCGGTACGATTTTTTCTTGCGGGTGGTTCCTCCAGACTCATATCAGGCTCAGACCATGCTCGACATCGTGAAGGCTCTAGGATGGAACTACGTGTCCACGCTGGCATCGGAGGGAAACTACGGCGAGAGCGGGGTTGAAGCCTTCATGCAGATCTCCAGAGAGGCCGGTAGGTTCGGTGTCCACGATTCAGGTGTTTTGGAGGTTCACTATCAGATATACTTTGAATTCATCTACCAGTTTTACTCTTGGGAGATATTTCCATCCCATCTCCATGCAGAGCAGGTGTAGAGCAGACTCTTTGTTCCATTATTCACAGAGCCAACATTAATCCAGCATGAGACAGGGACACCTCCTCCAACAGGCTGAGTTATTACAAACCCACTTTTAAAACAAGTTAGTGCCCAGCATAACAGAATCTGACTGGATGTAAAATATTCACACACTATATTTGACTGCAATTAGCCCAAAGACGACATTTCAGATGTTCAATCCAACAAGTGTGATTGTTTTATTTCAATATTTGCTCATCTTAAAGGTGGGGTCGACAGGAATCCATTAAAGAAGCATCTTTTTTTGTGGTGTATAAACAAAAAAGCTTTTAATATCAGTCAATATTTATTAGTTATTGATGACATTTGAGAATATGACAATATCTCTGTGTTCTCATATGTCTGTGTCGTCAACATTTTAACATTTTTGAGCGGTCCGCTCTTTCTGACTGTAAACAAAGCCGTTCTCCACCTCCTCTAACCTGATTGGTTGTGAGGCAGACGCTGCTCCCCCGTGTCGTTCAGGAGCCCAAACAAAGTTAGTGTAACCCAGGTTACTAGGCTCTGATGAAAGGATCATCAATTTATTAAACAAATAAATACATAAATATCGAGGTTGGTTAAATAAACACGCCTAAAATGATTCTACATGGAATAAATAAATCAGTTCATGGTTTAAAAATATTAAAAGGTCAATAAATAGGTGAAAACCAGTAATAATACACAAATTATTACATCTATTAAAAAGGGTATTTTAGTTCATTTGAATGTGTTTTTTTTTAAAAGAAAAAAGATGTGTACAAGATTCGGGTGACATGCGGAGTTCACATGACGCAACGTAACCGATCAGACGTGATCGGGGTCAGGGGTCTTCTTCCGGTCTCTCTCCCGCGGACTTGGACAAAGTAGCTGCACGCTAATCTTTCACCGCAGATTAAAAAACTGACTTTCAGTGCAAGAGAGCAAAATTTTAGGAAGACGGAGGCTGTTTTAATTCGGCACGGAGACCGGAGTCTTTTCTTTTCTTTCCTGTGGGTCGGGTTGCGGACCGTTAAACTTGAGAGCTGGACTGCTGATGATCCGTGTGGGTGACATTTGGTCTGAAGAAGTGTGTGTGTAAATACTGCTTGAGTTTCTGGCCGGGTCTTTTTCTTCCCTGGATTCAAGAAACGAAGAATTCTTCTGCTGGGTTCTTCCCTGTTCTGTAAGGTAGAGGGGAGGCTCAGTGGTTGTGGCGGGCCACCCAACAAGGACTGTGATCTTCGATTTTGTTTGGAGTTTATTTTGTGAATATTGTCACTGAGCTCATATGTAGATGAATACTGTTCTCTGTTTTAAGGGTTTCTATTTTTTTTCTAACGGTTACTTATACAATTCAACACAAAACCTACCTATTGTCATTTGAGTCCTTTACTCTGTCATTCATTACAAATTTCAAATACCCCTTTCTCCTGTAGCGAATTTAGTCTTCTGATTTACTGGTCCATTGAGTTGTTAATATTATAAAGAAACATATCTGTATCATCTAGCTATTGATAAGGACAGTCAAGGCTGAGGTGGGTTACAGAAACTTGGCGAGCCAGCCAGGAGAAAGTGGAGTATTATTGAGTGGCGAGAGTAAACGGAAAAGATAACAGTACAATGGATGTTGTGAAAAATGAAGGTGTAAATGTTCGTAACTCAGTTCTTGTTAGTGGGTTAACTCAAACTGAAGTGGATGTGGAGCTTGAGAGGTACCTTGAACGTTATGGCTCCGTTAACAGAGTGTTGGTTATTGATGATGCAGAATCAGAGCATCACCTCTGCTCCATTGTAGAATTTGCTAATAGCGCTGCAATGCAAACACTCAGGCCCACACTGCCCATAAAGTATCAGAGCTCAACAGATACAAATGCTACCTTTCATGTACGCTCACTAGATAGTGTATACACCAGCATTGCTAGCAGTAGCGCCACCAAAGGGTATCTTGAGGAACTGCAAGCTATTGCTGACGAGAGTGGGAGATCAATTGAAAGTGTGCTGCAGGGAGAACTGATGAAGATAAGTTCAGAAAAAGGTGTCAACTTTCCTGCTGAAACTACACCAATCAAAGTCTCTCAAACTGATGTGACTGATCGTGAGGTTGAGACTATTAAGGGGTCAACACCTGCAACGCAACAGTCTTCTCTTCTGCTCCGCTCTGTCTCACCTGAGGTGGTCAAGAACCTACCAACTGTATTCCCGCCATCTCCCTCACCTAGATGTGTTCAGCGTGGACTGAGAGGTGGTCCTCAGGCTGCTAACACGAACACTCATCGCCAAGGGTCCCCGCCGACCAGAGCCAGTAGTGGTGACGCAGCCGCATCAACACATTCAGTCCTCACCGTGGACGATGTAAATCCTCCAGCTGTACAGAGAGTCGTTGTTGAACATGTCATGCGAACTCATGATGCTATGTCCCCCCTGCACTCTTCAGTTCGCCTCAGACCCTTCTCTGGGAAGATGCCTCGCCCTAATAGTGAACTTGATTATGACACCTGGAGAGCCAATGTGGACTTATTCTTAACTGACCCCTCCATGTCTGACCTGCACAGAACACGCAAAATCCTAGACAGCTTACTGCCTCCGGCTACTGATGTTATCAAACATGTTAGCCCCCAGGCTTTGCCATCGGTGTACCTTGAGCTACTTGATTCAGTCTATGGTTCTGTGGAGGATGGAGATGAGCTGTTGGCCAGGTTTATGGGGACACTGCAGAACAATGATGAGAAGCCTTCTGACTTTCTGAACCGCTTGCAGGTTGCTCTGAGTGCTGTAGTTAGACAAGGTGGCGTAGCCGAGAGTGAGAGAAACCGCTATCTCCTAAAGCAGTTCTGTCGGGGCTGCTGGAATGATGGACTGATCGCTGATCTTCAATTGGAGCGAAAAACCAACACACCACCCTCCTTCGCTGAGCTCGTGCTACTCATCAGGACGGAGGAAGACAAACAGGCAAACAAACACAATCGTATGAGAAAACACCTTGGACTACACAAATCAAATCCTGCTGCCCCAAAGCTGAGAGCTACAGCACAACAGTTAGTTGCATGCGGTTGTACTACACCTGAGAGAGAAGTTAGTGAAACTGAAGTCTTAAAGAAACAGCTTAATGAAATCCAAGCTCAGGTTGCTGTAATGCAGACCCCAACCCCACGTAAAGCTAAAGTCAGTGGTCCTGATACAACTGAAATCAATACATTGCAAAAACAAATCGACTCCTTGAAACGTGAACTTGCCTTTTTCCAAGCACAAGTGGCTCCACCTCAAGTCAAGAATCACCAAGTACCATCACCTGCCTTCTCCAAAGATTCCCCCATCGTAGCCCGTAACCAGTCATCCAGCAAGAAAGTAAGTGGACAGTACACTCCAGGGCTAGCAACACCCAGTAGGCCCCACCCATGGTACTGTTTCCGTTGCGGAGAAGACGCCCACTTTGCAGTTAACTGTGAAAGTGACCCAAATCCCCCACTGGTGGAGGAAAAAAGGCAACTGCTCAGAGAGAAACAGCGGCAGTGGGATCTACAAAATAACAACACTGTCGCCCAGCCGTTAAACTGCTAGAGGCCCCTGTTGCAGGGCAAACAGGGACTGAGACATCAACTAAACGCCCTAAAAGAACAAAAAGAGTAGCGAAGTGTAAAGCTAACATCCTATCAACCAAACTGCCACGGAAGCTGATTGGGACAAAATGCACTGCCCGAGTCTTTATTGACAACACCCAAGTCGACTGCTTGCTAGATACAGGATCTCAGGTGACTACTGTCCCACTGTCATTCTTCCAAACTCACCTGTCCTATCACCCCTTGAAATCTCTGGATGATCTTCTGGATGAAGAGCTGCAAGTACAAGGAGCCAATGGAGAGGATGTGCCCTATCTTGGGTATGTAGAGCTTGACCTAATGTTTCCAGAAGAGTTCTTGGGTGAAGAGACTGTGGTCCCTACATTAGCGTTGGTTGTCCCTGATTTGGACAGTGTGCCCCAAATTCTCATTGGCACCAATTCATTGGATGTCCTCTACTCTGATTACATTGACAGACATGAATGCCGCCCCCAGTCATTCCTTCCTGGCTACAGAGTGGTGCTGAAAATCCTTGAAGTACGGCGAAGACAGGCAAGCGCTGGGGCTCTGGGGTTGGTAAAGGTGCAAAGCAACACTCCTGAAGTGGTGCCAGCAGGCTGCACAGTTGTCGTGGAGGGGCAGGTCCATGTGAGCAGCGCTTATCAGGAGAAGTGGGCTGTCGTGGAGGCTGCTTCTGTGTCATCTCTTCCGGGTGGATTACTAGTTGCTAGCTCCCTGTGCACCTTACCGGACAAGCGGCCTACCTCGTTGTCAATCCTGCTGAAAAATGAGACTCAACATGACATCATCATCCCGCCAAGAACAGTGCTGGCCGAGGTTCATGCTGTACAACAAGTGATGGGAAAGGAACCCCCCACTAATGTGACCACTCAGGAGACCCAAAGGATGGAGTTTGACTTTGGGGATTCCCCCCTACCGTCAGAGTGGAGAGAGCGAATCACAAAGCTGTTAAACAGTATGCCAGAAGTTTTCTCCCAACATGACATGGACTTTGGTCATACAGACAAAACAAAGCATCATATCAAACTGAATGACAACACCCCCTTCAAACACCGACCCAGACCCATCCATCCACACGATGTAGATGCAGTCAAGAAACATCTCCAAGAGCTGCTTGACTCTGGTGTCATACGTGAGTCTGAATCCCCCTTCGCATCTCCCATCGTCATCGTGCGGAAGAAAGATGGTTCCATGAGGCTGTGCATCGATTTCAGGAAACTCAACTCACAGACCATAAAAGATGCCTATGCTTTACCAAACTTAGAGGAAGTGTTTTCCCTCTTAACTGGCTCTAAATGGTTTTCAGTCCTCGATTTAAAATCAGGCTACTACCAAGTCGAGATGGAGGAGGCTGATAAACCGAAGACTGCGTTTGTGTGCCCCTTGGGCTTCTGGGAATTTAACAGAATGCCACAGGGGGTTACTAATGCGCCAAGCACATTCCAACGGCTGATGGAGAGATGTGTAGGGGATCTCAACCGCAAAGAGGCGCTGGTCTTCATTGATGACGTCATAGTCTTCTCAGACACATTGGAGCAGCACGAGTTAAGACTACTACAGGTACTTAACAGGCTGAAAGAGTACGGGTTAAAGTTGTCACCAGAAAAATGCAAATTTTTCCAGAACTCTGTTAAATACCTTGGTCATATCGTCTCCCAACACGGCGTTGAGACAGACCCTCAAAAGATTGAAGCCTTAAAGACCTGGCCAGTACCCAAGAACCTCAAAGAACTTCGCTCCTTCCTGGGTTTTTCTGGGTACTATAGAAGGTTTGTGAGGGACTATTCAAAGATCACCAAACCTCTAAATGATCTCACAGCAGGGTACCCACCTCTCAGAAAAACCAGTTCAGAGAAAGAAAAGACTCACCTGTACTACCACCCAAAAGAGTCCTTTGGGAGTAGGTGGACTCCAGACTGTCAAAAAGCATTTGAAGAGATCATCGACAAGCTCACCACAGCACCTGTCTTAGGGTTCGCTGACCCCAAACTCCCCTACATCCTACATACTGATGCAAGCACGACAGGGCTTGGTGCAGCTCTATACCAGGAGCAAGAAGGACAGATGAGGGCTATCGCCTTTGCAAGCAGAGGGTTGACTAAGAGTGAAGCAAAATACCCTGCTCACAAATTGGAGTTCCTCGCTCTAAAGTGGGCGGTCACTGCCAAGTTTAGTGATTACCTGTATGGCACAGACTTCACTGTCATCACGGACAGTAATCCCTTAACTTACATATTGACTTCGGCGAAGTTGGACGCCACGAGCTACAGGTGGTTGTCAGCCCTATCAACATACAACTTCAAGCTCCAATATAGAGCAGGAACCCAGAATCAAGATGCAGACGGACTTTCTCGTCGTCCTCACGGAGAGCTCCAGGATGATGCTGTCTCGAGAAAAGAGCGTGAAAGGATCAAACAATTCACATTGCATTACCTGAAGGATCAGAACACTTCAGATGCCATCCTTCCTGACGCTGTGAGAGCCATCTGTGAGAGGCATGATGTTGAGTGGTCTCACAAAAACTCCACATGTCCAACTCCATCAGTCACGCTCATCGAGTCTCTTGCCATCCACTCTGATGCTCTGCCCAGTGGTTTCCAACGGGAGGATGACCATGGTCTCCCTGTAATTGGTCATTGGTCTGAAGAGGAGATAAGAGCAAAGCAAAGAGCTGATCTTGATCTCAAGGTGGTCATTGAGTACAAGGAGTCTGGGGAGATGCCATCTCCTTCCCTGAGAAAAGAGCTCCCAGATCTCGTTTTGTGGCTCCGAGAATGGAAGCGCCTAAAGCTCAGAAATGGAGTGCTATACCGAACAAGACAAGAACATGGAAGAGTCACACATCAACTTGTCCTGCCGACTGAACTGAGAGCACAAGCGTTAAAAGGCCTACATAATGACCTGGGTCACCTCGGCATAGAACGGACTCTCGACCTTGTGAGGTCACGTTTCTATTGGCCCAGAATGTCCGCCTATGTAGAGCAGAAGGTCAAGATGTGTGAGCGTTGTGTGCGCCGGAAGATGCCAACCGAGAGAGCAGCTCCTCTGTGTAACATCAAGACTAGCAGACCGTTGGAGCTGGTCTGCATGGATTTTCTCTCGGTGGAGCCTGATCGAAGCAACACAAAAGATATATTAGTGCTAACAGACCATTTCACAAAGTACTCAGTGGCGATCCCAACTCGAAACCAAAAGGCGCAGACTGTGGCTAAATGCTTATGGGAGAACTTCCTAGTGCACTATGGATTTCCAGAGAAACTTCTGAGTGACCAGGGTCCGGATTTTGAATCGCGTACCATAAGAGAACTGTGCTCCATTGCCGGCATTCAGAAAATCAGGACGACCCCTTACCATCCCAGGGGAAATCCCGTGGAGAGGTTCAATCGGACCCTCCTCCAAATGTTGGGCACTCTGGAGAACAAGGACAAGGCTCACTGGAGGGAGTTTGTCAAGCCCCTAGTGCATGCCTATAACTGCACACGGAATGATGTTACCGGTTTCAGCCCCTATGAACTGATGTTCGGCAGGCAACCCCGGCTTCCAGTTGATTTGGCGTTTGGCCTACCTGTGAACCATGAATCCAAGTCACACTCCCAATATGTTCATGACTTAAAGGGCCGTCTAGAGGAAAGCTACAGAGTCGCCACAGAGAATGCTTCAAAGACTGCTGAACGTAACAAACTCAGATTTGACAAAAGAGTCGTTGAGTCCACTCTGGAAGCAGGAGATCGGGTTCTTGTGAGAAATGTGCGGATAAGAGGGAAACACAAGTTAGCCGATAAGTGGGAATCAGATGTCCACATTGTGGTCAAACGTGCTGGTAATCTACCAGTGTATACTGTCAAGCCAGAGAGTAAAGATGGACCATTTCGCACGTTACACCGCGACCTTTTGCTTCCATGTGGGTTCCTACCTGTGGCTGAGGCCAAGCAACTTCCAAAGCAGCCCGTAAACAGACCTAAAACAAGGGGACAATCAAGAATGGAGCTCGCAAATAAGTCTGAAAGGGCAGATGATAACTCAGAGCCAGAAGACGATGACTATGGTTACTACCCACCTGGAGAGACGGTAAATTCTGAGTTTGTGGAAACCTCAATTTTGACCCGGCCAGAGAGAATTCCCCCTAGAGAGAGACAGCTTGGAGAGACAACCCAAATAGCTGTGCCTTCAGTGGATACACTTCCTGTTCCAATCAACCTAGAAGAGAGAGTTAAGATACAGGCTGTAGAGCAACAAAGCAGAGAAAAGGAACGTGCACCTGAAAGAGAGACAGTAAGATGGACACCTGTGGAGGTCATTCCATCCAAGTCAGAGAAACCCCTACCTCTCAGGGCCTCAAATGAGCCCAGCTCTAACAGCCCAAACTGTTCTGGGTGGATGAGAAGCCCAGCGGTTGTTGACATGGAGGCTGAATTCACCCCACGATACAGAGAGACAGATCCCTCCAAAGTAAAAAAAGTGCTGTTTGGGAGTCCTCAACACCCTTCTTCAGACATTGCAATGCATCAGGGTGAAAACTTGCCTGTCCAGCAGCGGGAGTCTCCTTCAGAGCCTAACATTATGGATGAAAGCCTACCTGTTTTCTCGGACCTGTCGTTCAGTGACAGTAGTCAGGATGAAGGATCCCTTGTCAATGAGCCTTCTGAACAAGCGTCAGTAAGCAGGACCAATGAGGGAACAATAGCTGGGACATCTGGAGGAAGAGAAACCCCTCCAGTCATCATTGAAGAGGGCCCAAGTAACACTGTCCCCAGACGCTCACTAAGGCACAGAGAAGAAACTAAACGACTACAATATGGCCGATTGGGAAATCCCCTGTCGTCTGTAGTTCAGTCACTCTCCCAAGGCCTTAACCTTACCTTTGCAGACACACTTCAGACCCAGAGCTGTGCAAACAACCCCCAAGTAACGCCCATGTCAGTTTTTTAGTCCTGCGGGTGTAACGGGGCGTATACACCTTTTAGGAGGGGAGGGTGTAACCCAGGTTACTAGGCTCTGATGAAAGGATCATCAATTTATTAAACAAATAAATACATAAATATCGAGGTTGGTTAAATAAACACGCCTAAAATGATTCTACATGGAATAAATAAATCAGTTCATGGTTTAAAAATATTAAAAGGTCAATAAATAGGTGAAAACCAGTAATAATACACAAATTATTACATCTATTAAAAAGGGTATTTTAGTTCATTTGAATGTGTTTTTTTTTAAAAGAAAAAAGATGTGTACAAGATTCGGGTGACATGCGGAGTTCACATGACGCAACGTAACCGATCAGACGTGATCGGGGTCAGGGGTCTTCTTCCGGTCTCTCTCCCGCGGACTTGGACGCTAATCTTTCACCGCAGATTAAAAAACTGACTTTCAGTGCAAGAGAGCAAAATTTTAGGAAGACGGAGGCTGTTTTAATTCGGCACGGAGACCGGAGTCTTTTCTTTTCTTTCCTGTGGGTCGGGTTGCGGACCGTTAAACTTGAGAGCTGGACTGCTGATGATCCGTGTGGGTGACATTTGGTCTGAAGAAGTGTGTGTGTAAATACTGCTTGAGTTTCTGGCCGGGTCTTTTTCTTCCCTGGATTCAAGAAACGAAGAATTCTTCTGCTGGGTTCTTCCCTGTTCTGTAAGGTAGAGGGGAGGCTCAGTGGTTGTGGCAGGCCACCCAACAAGGACTGTGATCTTCGATTTTGCTTGGAGTTTATTTTGTGAATATTGTCACTGAGCTCATATGTAGATGAATACTGTTCTCTGTTTTAAGGGTTTCTATTTTTTTTCTAACGGTTACTAATACAATTCAACACAAAACCTACCTATTGTCATTTGAGTCCTTTACTCTGTCATTCATTACAAATTTCAAATACCCCTTTCTCCTGTAGCGAATTTAGTCTTCTGATTTACTGGTCCATTGAGTTGTTAATATTATAAAGAAACATATCTGTATCATCTAGCTATTGATAAGGACAGTCAAGGCTGAGGTGGGTTACATTAGCGTGCTACAATATCGGACAGTAGAAACCAACCAGAAAGTTCGGAAAATTGTCTGAATCCTTCTTTAGACCCAACTGCCAAACAAAGTAAATACCGGAGACTCTGGTGGAATAACGGGCGCTTAAAACGGAGGTAGACCGGACAAGAGCTAAAAAGCCGGGTCAACATAAACGATGGGGGACGCTTCGGGATCTTGGTGACCCTGTAACCTTTCTGCTGGACAGGTAAACCGCTTTAACAAAGTAAGACAAGTGTCTGTAACAGAAGTGTTTCTTGTCAAACGGACCTGCTGTAGCGTGTTGTAGCACCATCGCTAAACTGTCCTCCCTCGGGTCCTGGACTATGTCACTTTATCCTCGTTGTAGAAGTCCTGCAAACATTGTGTTTGTTGGTAGTCTGTTGGCATCTACAGTAGCACCAATGCTTTTGACTTTCACTTTGACTGGGCCCCATTTGTAATGATCTGAAGTATTTATCTGCATTATATCTGAATTTAATTGGAACGATACGAGCGAGCAGGAGCGTCTGTTTGTGGGCGGGGCTTGCTGGAGCAGAGAGGGAGGGGAGAGGAGGGGAGGAGCTGAGGGGAAAACTGGTTGGGAGGGGTAGAGTTTACATTAAAGATTTCTCCCTAAAAATTGGAACTTCCTCAGATCCCGACTACACCACCTTAAAATGGACTCAGGCCCAGAGGGGTTTATGTTCATGTCATGAATGATGGACTGGCATGGCTTAGAGTGAAATTGGTGGATACCACAAATGTTATTGGGTGTGAATTTGAGCCAGTGCGGTGATTTCCACGACAGAGTCATGACTTTTCTCAGTGCAATGATTCTCTGAGTTCTGAATAAACCCGTCTGTCTCTCAGGAGGCGTGTGCATCGCTCAGTCGGTGAAGATTCCTCGAGAGCCGACAGCCGGAGAGTTCGATAAAATCATCAAACGTCTGATGGAGACGAGTAATGCTCGCGGTGTCATCATCTTTGCTAATGAGGACGACATCAAGTAAGAAAACACTGACTCCGCCCACTCTGTGACATCACTGTACCAGTCTAACTAGGGGTCAAATAACTCATCCCTTTTGTCCCGGTAGGCGTGTTCTTGAGGCGGCAAAGCGTGCTAACCTTACTGGTCACTTCCTGTTTGTGGGATCTGACAGCTGGGGAGCAAAGAGCTCACCAATCACAGAGCTCGAAGATGTCGCTGAGGGCGCTGTCACTGTCCTACCCAAACGAGCATCCATAGACGGTAAAAACACACACACCTGGGGGGTATTCCATCAAGCTCGCTTAGCTCAAAGTCTGGCTTAAATGGCCAAGTCTCGCTTATTTTAGTGAGAGTTGAGTTTCACCAATGTGGCTAAGATAGCTCCAACTTGGTAACCATGGAAACATGGTTCTGGCTAAGCCGGACACTTGGAGCTAAGCTCTGACTTTCTGTTCCATCAACCTGAGCCTCAATTCTGTTCCATCAAAGTGGTTAACACGAATGCCAGCCTTGTAACCATGGTGACTTATGCTGCCGGCCAAACCAGGGGCCTGTTCTACGAAGCAAGTTCAATTTAGCGAGGTAGCCAGCGGTCTCGCTAAGCGGTTTTACGACGCTGGTTATCAACCTCATAAGTGGATCCAGCTTTGCTACGAGCGCGTGCACACATACAAGGCGGAGCTCGCCGCATCTGACCAATTGCGAACATGGACCAGTCTGGAGCGTCAGAGCAGGCCGGAGAGTGAAGGACCGCGGACTTTACAAACGAGGAGCAGGAGACGATCATGAGAAAGTCTGAAGAATTCAAAGCTATCATAAACCTCAAAAGCAACACCGTCGCTGCTGCAAAAGCACGGAGGGAACGCTGGCAGAAAAGTAATCTTTGATGTCATTATCACCCTGAAATAGCACTGTTCAACATGCGCTTTTAACTAAGGTGACAGTCCCCGAATTGGATGATCTGTCCCCGGATAAAGCTGTCCCCGAAAATGTCCCTGATTTAAGCGTTTCATGAATGAGAACAAAAATGTTGCATGTGGGCTAGAACAACGGTTATTACAGTAGGTAGGAAGCACAAGTAAGCAGTCCTGAACAACAGTATTTACGGGGTTATTATAAGGGGCGTGTGCTGCTACTAAATAGTACCGAGATGTTGTCTGTGATCACACAGCCCATGCCCATTCATTTTCAAGATGAATCATTCATGTGTTCATTCCTGTCGTGTTTACATGTTTTGTGTAATATGTCGGCCTTTCATAAAGGTGGTCATCCGGAGAAAACTCTCCCTGAAATCTCTCGCGAGCCGGAGTGCTCCTCCTCGGACAATGCGAGCACCGAGGTCTATAGGATCCTCCAAGAACGGACAAGCCGTTTTTTGAGAGAGCTCATTGGTCAGTGGGCGGGGTTTTTATACTCGGTGAGTTCAATCTGGAACCTAACCTGCTCCGGAGCAGGTTAGCCGTTCAGCGTATGTTGCCATGGAGACTCGCCTCGCTAAGAAGTGAACCCGCGTCATAGAACAGGAAACCCCGAACTTATCCTCGAAGTTACCTCGCTAAGCAGTAATCCTGCTTCGTAGAACAGGCCCCAGGTCTGGAGCAGGATTAAGGTGAAGATTAACTCCACTAATGTCCAAAAAATGTCCAAAAGACACGTCTGTTTTGCATTTACATACACAATGCACTGATAAAATAATTTGTGAAACCAAAACGTGCTTTCCATCCACTTTGTAACTAAAAGTGCATTTGGTAAGTATTATGATTTTGTAAAAAATAAAAATCAATCCGTTTTCGTTTATCTTGATTGCATCCTTATAGATAAAGATGAATAAAATAAAATAAATAACAATGAATAAATTTAAAGGTATGATTAAAACAGGTAGAGGAAGCCTACATCAGTCACCTAAAATGTCCTCCAATCGACTGCCCCTGACAGTCAATGATGGCAAGGTGTAGACTATTAAGCAGAGCAGTCAAGACAGGCAGGGGGACACACATTCAGCAGAGACAAAGACTAAGAGAACATGGCATGTCCATTCATTGAGGATGAGGAGCCAATTGATGAAGGGGCACAAATAAATCAAAGGGCCTTCTTCAGGCGACCACCAGCCTCGAGGGTCTTCCAGGAGAGGAGAGGAGGAACACAGTCACAGCTTTACAGTTATATTTACTAATACATTTCACATTATTACAGTTATTATGCATCACTGACCATTTGAAAGGATGTTTTTATATTTTATTTTGACCTGTTGCCAGGTGCGTTTCTGGCCTCCGAGGTTGCTTCTGTTTGGACAGTAAAAGGAGGTTAATAAAAGACACAGTGAATGCTGAGTGAGTTTTAGTTAGTTCCTCATCCTACTGCACAGTCATGAAGGTAAAATGAAGGAATTAGCTCCTTTTTATGCAACAAGAGAATCAATTAACCCCTGCAAACATTTAAACAGCGCTCCTCTGAATAGGGGGAATTAGGTAAATGAGATAATACATGATCAATTGTGTGATAAATGTTTTGCATATAAAACAATTTGATTATAGCCACTTCAACTCTGATTATAAAGCTGATTAAATCACTATCTGTAGCCTACAACTTGTCTTGTAGTGAATTTCTTTAATTTTACAGCCTAAATTACAATTCTGTTATGTCAAACAGGTTGTATCATTAACATTGAGATGGGATTATCATCTGAAATAATGAATGGATGAAACATCACTTACGCATTCAGCCTGTTGGCAGTTGTCTTCCATGCTGCCTCTCTGGCTTTGTTTATCTGAGCGGTGTTACCTTTTTTAGTTATGATATCACGGTAATCATCATAAAACTCCAGAAGGAGGTTTTGTTCAGCAGCAGAGAAAATCTCTGCCCGTGATTTTGCAGCATTCTGAGCCATTTTGCAACACTTTCAGCACTCGACTTGTTGGGTCTTTTTATATTCCGCTGGGAGACGCTCATTGTGAGGCTTAACAGGTGAGGCTAGAATTAGTGTCAAGTGGAGCCAGCTGATCTCGTTTGATGGAACGGGTTGGGGCTTGGTTTGGAGTGGCCGTTAATTCAAGCTTCAAGATTACACCGTAGTCCCGATTTTCTTAACGACTTTGATGGAATACCCCCCAGGACTCTGTTGTGTTTGTGTGTGTTTACCTCTGTGTGTGTGTGTGTGTATCTTGTCCAGGCTTTGATCAGTACTTCACGTCTCGTTCTCTGGAGAACAATCGGAGGAACATTTGGTTTAACGAGTTCTGGGAGGATGACTTCAGGTGCAAACTGACTCGACCTGGAATCAAACTGGACCCCGACAAGAAGAAGTGTACAGGTGAGACCACACCTGGGAGGTTAAGGATGAATCTGTCATGTGACCTGGTGTGTCACGTGACCTGTTGTGTCCCTGCAGGTAAGGAGCGGATAGGTCAGGACTCGCCGTACGAGCAGGAAGGGAAGGTTCAGTTTGTGATTGACGCCGTGTACGCGGTGGCGTACGCTCTGCACAGCATGCAGCTGGACCTTTGTCCCGGCAGCTCCGGAGTCTGCAGCAATATGGACCCCGTGGAGGGACGTCTACTGCTGGACTACATCCGAGCCGTCAACTTCAATGGTGAGACAGCGAACACTGAGGAAACACACGATAACATCAGACAACACTTCATTTCAAGCTCTAGTAAGCAGTTTTTCTCTTTGCTTTCATTGCATTATTTTGACATAAAGAAGGAGAAAAGTTTGTTAGCTTGGGCCCTGATGAGTCTTAAAGTCAGGGAGTCTGTAGAGTTTGTAAAATCTGTCCGGTTTCTGACTAAATGAGTCAAATTAAAAAAGTTGGGTGAGTCTTTAGACTGTGTGCCGATGAGAAAAGTGTTAGGAAGTCTTTGATCAGATGGAGACCTGATATGTGGTTCAGACTCTGTTTAGTCTTCAGAGAGAATTTCAGAGCAGAACAACAGCAGCGTTTTTTTCTCTTAGCTTCAGATTTATATTTTATAAGACGAGACGCTGCAGCAGCTGGAGAGAAGAGCATTAAAGAGTCACTGAACTGCACGCCAGCACACCTGACTGACCGCCTGACTGACCGCCTGACTGACCGCCTGACTGACAATCTGACTTTATCACTATGGCACACACATTATATCATGCAAGTTAAGGTTTAGTGACATCACAGACTGCACCCACACACAGACTTCACCTGTTCCTGCTGAAAAAGTTATGATGTGCCCTGACAGAAGGTGTGGTGAAGTAAACAGCTTAAATATGTAAACACAACAAGATGAATCATACATGAGGACGAGGCAGAGAGGGTCGTTTAAGTTCACACCAAAGTAAGACGACTCAGAGCTCGGTTCACTCATATTAAGATCAACATGTTTACGTCTCTGTCCCTGGTGAGTCTCTGATGCTTCGGATTAATTAAGAGTCAAACACACCGTAACACCGAGTTAGACACCCCCTCCAGAGTTGCCGACCGCTTGCTTCTCTAGTTATACCAACTTTAGTAACAACTGCAGGATAGCAATACACAGCGGTCTGAGGAGCCATAAACAAACCTCAACCAAAACGCCACTCTATAGTCATAAATAATGCTCAGAACAGCACCTAACTTCATCAACATGACATATAGGGTCACAGACATAGTACTAGACACCAAACATCTTTTGAACTTTGACTAATTTCTTTAGCAAAGAGACTAGACACAACTCACCCACTCTCTTCCAGCAGCCGCTTGTTTGTAGCGAGACCTCAGGCCAGTCCATTACGGACTACAGCGGGGTGACACAGCTCAAGGAAGAACATTTATGATCATTTCTTCATGGAAATGCAATCAGACCAAGACATTAAGGCAGAAGAACTACTGCGTCTGCAGTGCAAAATGATTAATATGATGATTATTACTTCAAGGAAATGATAAAAAAATCACAAACACCGTCATAAGTTCATCAAGTTTCAGTTTGAGCTTCTCAAACAGGTTTGTTGAAAGCAGCAGCAGCAGCTCTGCAGGATGAAGAAGAAAACATTTCCAACTCCTCTCTAAATTAAAAATTCCTATCAATGAAAAACAGAACCGGATCAGGAGCAGAACCAAAACCAGGATCAGAAACAGGACCAGAACCAAGTTTATGGGATTATCTGGATGCTCTTCAGGGGTATGAAAATCATGAAAATGCACCTCTGAATGTTCTCCCATTACCTCTGCACTCGTGATGCCCCTCTAAAGGAGGATCTCCTGGTTGTCCTGTCAGGATATGAAATGACAGAAAAGTGCACTCTGGTTTCTCGCTCATCACAAAGTCAAACACACGAAAGAGTTCCTGCTGGACGCCTCTCCACTCTCTGAGTATTACCTGTCTGTCTCTCTACAGGTAGCGCAGGTACAGCTGTTTTGTTTAATGAGAATGGAGATGCTCCGGGCCGGTACGACATCTTTCAGTTTCAGATGACCAATCACAGCCACCCTGGGTACCATGTGATCGGCCAGTGGACCAATAACCTGAGACTCAATGTAAGACAGAGATGGGGGTTGGCTTTTTTGCACCAGTCGCTCGAACTGTTTCCTCTACCTGTCTCTACTTCAGACCCATCAGCCTAATCTGAATTCTCTCTCTTCCTTCCCTCTCTCTCTTCTCTCACTCTCTCTCGCTCTCTCTCTTCCTCTCTCTCTCTCTCTCTCAGCTGGAGGAAATGCAGTGGTCTGGAGGAGATAAAACTGTTCCAGAGTCAGTTTGTAGTTTTCCATGTAAACCAGGAGAGAGGAAGAAGATGGTGAAGGGCGTCCCCTGCTGCTGGCATTGTGAGGTAAGATCAATATCATCTTCATCATCTTCATCATCGTCTTTACGGTGATTTATTTTGGTGATGATCCCTTTTACTAAGAGATAGAATTACACGAACCGGTATCTGCTGTTGGTTTTTGTCTCCATAAACTCAGCTAAAACAAAGGTTTAGATCATTCTGCAGTACCACTTTTCACCACAGGGGCCGCCAGAAACAACATAGATCCAACACACTGGATCAAGAGCCCCACCAGGGGCAATTTTATAATGTAACCCAAAAACGAAGGAACGCACAGAAACCTAACACACCAAATCCAAAACACTCTTTTCCTGGCTCGTCTCTCTGACTGTATCGGGTCTGTGGCTTGTCTGTCTCTCTCTCTATATCTGTGTTTTGTCCGAGCAGTCTGTCCTCTCTCTTTCTCTCTGTCTCTTTTTGACCGATACCTGTCTGTCTACAGCTCTGTGATGGGTATCTGTACCAGGTCGATGAGTTTAACTGTGAGACCTGTCCATCAGACATGCGCCCCGCCCCCAACAGAACCATGTGCAGTCCCACTCCGATCATTAAACTGGAGTGGAACTCCCCCTGGGCCCTAGTGCCTGCCTCTCTTGCCCTGCTTGGTATCCTAGCGACCAGCGCTGTGGTGATCACCTTCATCCGTTATAATGACACGCCCATCGTCCGGGCTTCAGGGAGAGAGCTCAGCTACGTCCTCCTGACAGGTGAGGAGAGAACAGATTGAAATGTGTCAGAATAATGTGATTTTTATTTTGAAGGGTTTCCATGAACATCTCGTCTTAATGCCTTCTTTCAGCCAACAGCTTAGCTGATACTCTTCTATGAAACCAACCAGCAAATGTCAAAACAAACCCGCCTCCACACAGCTCCTCCTTTTGATGCAGGGTCATATTGATTTTCACTCATGCCTGATTTGTCCTAAACCCTGGGGTTTTTGCTGCTGCTCTGCCTGCCTCACCCCCAATTTCCACCGCATCCGGAACAGCCACAAAGAGGCCTTATCCGCTGATCATAGCTGATCGTAACCATTCAAGTAAACGTGTCAATTTCCACCAGCTTCTTTCCGTTCCGCTGCGGATCGCCGGACTCCACAGCTGATCGCAAGAGTTCTATTTTTTCTGGGCGCTGGAGCATGGCGGATAAATTTAGCACAGATTAACCCGTGCTGGAAAGGAAGTCGGGCACAGACACAAAAGAAAACATATGGCTTCTTTTCAAAATAAAACACTCTGTTTCAGGTGGATCATATTTCACACCACGCAAACGGACAGAGACGAACAAGTGAAAGGTTTATAGACATCATTTCACCCTGGTGACACCATGGATGAGGAGATGCTGATTCTAGAAGGACACAATCTCAATCAATCAATGACTTTATTTGACTCTGAGGAGAAATTTCTCTTGGGCTTACAATGTACAGTGTTGTTGTACATATAGTTCATACACCATACACCAACCCAAGTTCAATTCATACACCATGGTGAGCAGACAATACATACAGTGACACAACAAAATATCATTACAATGGTGTGGTACTACACTCTACTGGTACTGTGCTGTTCTAGTTCTAGTTATCTGTTATTAAGTGCTTTGACTGCTAACGGGACAAACGAGAGCTTAAACCTATTAAGCCTCCATGGTGGCTCCTTATATCGTCTGCCTGATGGCAGTAGTATGAATTCCTTGTACAAAGCATGACTTTGGTCATGAATGACTTTAATACCCTGTTTCAGTACTGTACTGTCAGAAATCTCCTGGAGGGTGCATGGAGGCTGCACTCCTATGATTTTACCAGCTCTCTTAATCAAGTTTTGTAGTTGAGTTTTAAGTTTGACAGACAGGTTACCAAACCATGTAGTAATGCCATATCTTATTATGGATTCTATACTGGCTCTGTAGAACATCATCATGATGGTGGTGTACCTAGCAATAGCTAGGTACACCATGGATCCTGAGTTTCTCAGAAAATGAAGTCGTTGGTTGATGCGAGAACAGACAGAGTCAGCTTGACAGGCCCAGCTTAACTGGCGATCAAAATAAATACCCACATGTTTCTATGAATCCACCTGCTCCACTCTCTCTTCTTTGATTAGGATCAGCCCTTGATCCCCCACGGATCTGGGATCAAAGACTATCTCCTTGGTTTTTTTGACGTTTAGAAACAGATTCTTCCTGTCACACCACCCCACCGCCCCTTCTATCTCCTGTTCATACAGGGTGATGTTGTCAGATGTCTTCAATAGACTAAGGATTACTGTATCTAATGTCATTGTTTGGATTCTGATTCCTCAAGTTGTTGGTATATATGATGAACAGGACGGGGGAGCTGACACAGCCCTGAGGAGTCCCTGTACTTATGAACTGTGTGTCAGAGAGAGTGGAGTTAACTTTGACCTTCTGTTGCCTTTCTATAAGAAAATCACAGTACCATTTAATCATATATGGGTTGACATCCATCTCCTTCAGACTTCCTAGCAAAGTCTGAGGGAGAATGGAATTAAATGCACCACTGAAATCCATGAACATTAGCCTGGCATATGCCGAGGGATCCTCCAGGTGTTTTAGAATCAGGTATGTAGTGTAGTTCAGAGCGTCATCACCAGTGCCTCCGCCTCTATTATAGGCAAACTGATGGGGATCTAAAAGGTTTCCCTACCATGATCCATTCCAGTGATTTCATAACTATTGATGTTAAAGCTACTGGTCTGAAGTGGTTATTTTCCTTCGGGCAGGAATTCTTGGCCACAGGGATGATTACAGCCTCCTTCCATATGGCCGGAATGCTGCCCGAATGCACTGCCGCTGCACTGTATTTAACATCTCCCTGCTTTCATGGACATTTTTAACAGGATCAGAATCAAAGATCAGAATCAAAGCGTTTATAAAATAAATTAAATTCATTCATTATTTAATTAAATTCATTTGCCTTATCTAATTCATTATGTACCTGTAGGTCTTTTTTACCAGAGTTCATACTAGTCATTTCTCTAACAGAGTTCCACATTTCCCTTGGGCTTTTAGAGAAGGCCTCTCGTACATGTGTACTATGCTGCTCTCTGGCCTCCTTCAGCTTCCTATTAAGTTCTTTTTGTACTTTTAGTTCCATCCTGTTGTTGCTCCGAAAGGCTTGCTTCTTTCGCCTGATACAGTTCTTGATGTCAGGGGTGATATAGTTTGTTGTTAGGGAATATTTTTATAGACTTTTTTGGAACTATAGAGTCAACACAAAAAAGGATGTAATCTGTGATCACCTCTGTGGTCCTGTCGATGTTGTCTTCATGAAACACCTCCCAGTCTGTGGCAAAGAAGCAGCCACTCAGCTCCTCCTTGTTAGTATCCTGCCACACACTGACAGTTTTCGAGACAGGTTTCCATCTCTTAATAGCAGACTTATATGTGGGTATTAAAAGTATGGTATTGTGGTCTGAGCTTGAGAGGGGGGATCAGATTCTAGCTTCATATGCATGATTAATATTACCGTAGCATTTGTCCAATATCTTGTCCTTCCTTGTGCTGTTGCGGACGTATTGCTGGAACCCTGGAAAGGGCTTGTTCCAGTCTACAGTGGTTAACATCTCCCAGGGTAAACAGCGCTGCGTCCGGCTTGTTCTTGAGCTGCTGATGGACGCAGTCTGCTATGCATGATGCAGCCCTGGACGCGTTCCCACTGGGAGGGATGTAGACCGCGCAGATAAATATGTTCCCATAGTCTCTTGGGAGATGAAACGGCCTCAGACTTAAACATAGAAGCTCCAGGTCCGGAGAACACACAGTATCTTTTACAGTGTAATTCCTACACCAAGAATCTCTGATATACATGCATATCCCGCCCCCTCTACGTTTCCCCGAGTTATCGTTCCTGTCCATGCGGACAGTAGTGAAGCCCGGTACCTGAACCAGCTCATCCGGGAAGTCATCCTGGAGCCAGGACTCCGTGTACACCATGAGACACAACTCCCTGTTTTTGTGACAGATTCTTGTGTTGAGCCGTAGCTCTTCCATTTTATTCTGTAGGGAGTGAGCATTGCTAAAGAGTATAGATGGTAGCGGTGGTTTGTTGTGCCTCCGTCGGAGCCGTTGTTGAATGCCGCCCCTCTTTCCTTGTTTCCGAGGCTTCCTCTCTCCTCGTTGTAGCAGCAGCTCCTCTGGAACATGCTCCAGCAGGCCCGGTTCTGGTTCTGGCGTGGCTCTCCTCCGAAGGGACAGCAGCCGTTCCCTGCCGTAGACCCACAGGACCTGCTCGCTTCCCCGTGGAAGTGCAGTGTTAACGTTGTGTTGAATGCACGTGCAGATGCTAGCTGTTATTAGCAATAGCAGCATTAGCCCTCCAGTCTTTTTCCCCATTTTGCGGTCGTTCTTCCTCTACACGGCCCGGGCAGCCTGCCAGCGCCCAGCAGCTTCAGTGTAACTTGGCAAAACGTATCGTGAGGTTACAATCCAATGAAACAAACCACCACCGCCAACAGTAGAACAATAAAAACAACAACGCTGTGCCCTTGCGCCCGAGTCGCAGCGGTGCCACACCACCTCTTCTGCTTAAATGTCTATGTGTCTGTCTTTATGGAGACAACTCGTTATCGCGCGATTGCATGTGAATCTGCGGGTTCTTGTGAGTTCTCGTGATTTCTGCTATCCGTAACCCGCCACAAAATTCTCCTCACAAATGGCTCCAGTAGGAATTGGCATATGGCGAAAATTGCAGCCCTTCTGGATGCGGTGGAAATCCCAGGTTAACTTTTCGTGTCTGATGTAGAGGAGGTCTGCTCTTCCCACCTCAGTCTCGTCTCTGCCTCTCTGCAGGTATCTTCCTGATCTACCTGATCACCTTTCTTATGATCGCTGAGCCAAGTGTGTTGGCGTGTGCGCTGCGGCGGCTCCTACTGGGCCTCGGCATGGCGATCACCTACTCTGCCATGTTGACCAAAACCAACCGGATCTATCGCATCTTTGAACAGGGCAAGAAGTCAGTGACCCCACCCAAATTCATCAGCCCCACCTCCCAGCTCATCATTACCTTCATCCTCATCTCAGTGCAGGTGAGAACTCAGGTGTCGAACACGGTCCCGTTTCTCAGTCCTCTCACATGTTTCAGGTTTTACTTCCATTTTTTTATTTTAGGTGCTTGGCGTATTTGTTTGGTTCACTGTCATCCCTCCACACACCATCATTGACTATGAGGAGCTCCGCCCACCTAACCCTGACCTGGCCCGTGGCATTCTAAAGTGTGATATGTCAGACCTGTCAATCATCTGCTGCCTGAGCTACAGCATCGTCCTCATGGTAACCCACCAATCCTGTTTGAATCCAGTTCTGGATCTGTAATGATCCTGAATCTATCCATCATGGATCCAGTACTGATCCAGGACTGATCCTGTATTGATCAGTGGATCAGTTATTTGCTCCTGACTGTTTTGAACTCGCTGATATCACATTGACCTTTGACAGGACATTTCAGTAACTTGGTCACTTCCATCATTCCTGCTGCTAGGTAACGTGTACTGTGTACGCGGTGAAGAGTCGTGGTGTTCCAGAGACCTTCAACGAGGCTAAACCCATTGGTTTTACAATGTACACCACCTGCATCATCTGGCTTGCTTTTGTGCCGATCTTCTTTGGGACTGCACAGTCCACCGAGAAGGTAAGAACCAGATCAGGACGGCTTTACACCAGAGCAGTTCAAAACCAGGTTCAGCCACTTCCTGCAACAAGAATTCATGAACTGTCTGCAATGGTTATTTTTCCTGACATGGCTCTTTGTTGAGAACACCCTGGGTTTCCACAAGCCAAAGTCTGGGCCAGGGAGAACAGCATCAGGAATAAAACAGATGATACTGGGAAAGGCAAATATGGCAAAAAAGGGGAGGGGGCTGTGTTGGGACCTTACATGACAAGCCAAGGCGGGGAGAGCAACAGCTAAGACCCTCCAGGTACAAAACAGATAAGGTGTAATAAGGAGGAGCTTTGGGTAGAGGTGCAGCTGATATGAGCTGCTGTCAGGACCAGTAGGTACACTCTGGGCTCATCTTGTCTTCTGTGGCCTGCCTGAACTAACACAATGCTCCGCTAAAACCAGGACAGAACCAGTTCAGAAACTGAGACCCCGCCTCTTTGTTACTGTGAGATCTGGTGTTTTAGACCCTGAAAACACACTGCTGTATTAGAGTCTGTGTTTCCTCCTGTGAAACACCTGAACACTGATCAGCAGCAGGGCTGAGGCTCAGCATGAGCAGAGCGGCAGGTGACTTACCGTCATCAGGACTTAATGTGTGTCTGTGGTTCAGAGTGAGTTCAGGGAGGGACGCCGGATAAATCTGAGCAGAATTAGACACAAAGTGGAACAGCTGGATTAAACGGATTATAATCCAACACAGGACACCATCAGACTACAGAGAGCTTCACACAGACACAGGTAAGAGACAGGGAAATAAAAGACAGAGATCAGAAACCAAGGTCCAAAAGATCCACACCAAGACCTGCTGCTAACACCTCCAACCCTAATCCTCCAGAGACTGGTTTAAGTTTATCCAAGTCCAAAAATCCAACGCAGAAAGTGGTGGTGGTTGCTGGGTTCTTGTGTTTGACTGGTTTTTGTGATGCCCTCCATGGAAAGCCACAGCACACTACAAAGCCAAGCCTTCAGCACCATTCAAAACCATCAGCAATAAATGGTTCAAGTCCATGACATAATGACTGAGTTGGAGGAGATAAATTGGAGTTTACGGAGTTTCAGTGAAAATTTTTTTAAAGGGTTTGTAGAGATCAACATGGTCTTTGTGGAGGCTTTAGTTGTCATTTTAAGGTTTTAGGGAGGGTGTGGTTGAGTAATCCTGTTTCCCCAGGATTGCCACCGCATTCAGAACAGCTCTGATCCGGAACAGCAGCAATTTTAGCTGTACGCTGTTTGTAAGCAAATTTTGTGGTGGATTACAGACAGCAGGAATTGGGAGAACGCACAAGAACCCGGGGATTCACGTGCAATCGCGCAATAACAAGTTGTCTCAAGCCACATAGGCTAACCATATAAGCAGTAGATTGTGTCCTTCCAGAGGAGGAAATCTACTTCTAGACTTCCAGAATCAGCATCTCCTCATCCATGGTGTCACTGAAACCTTTCACTTGCTCGTCTCTGTCCGTTTGCATGGTGTGAAATATGATCCACCTGAAACACGGAGTGTTTTATTTTGAAAAGAAGCCGGATGTTTTATTTTGTGTCTGTGCCCGACTTCCTTTCCAGCACGGGTTAATCTGTGCTGAATTTATCCGGCATGCTCCGGTGTCCGGAAAAATTTTTTTAACTCTTGCAATCAGCGGCAGAGTTTCGCGATCCGCAGTGGAATGGAAAGTAGCCGGTGGAAATTGACACATTAACTTGAAGTTTACGATGAGCTACGATCGGCTAATACGGCCTTTTAATAGCTGTTCCGGATGCAGTGGAAATTGGGGGTTATTGTTTGTTGCATCCTCTCAGGGTGTGTTTGAGTCATTAGGAGATTAGAGACCTCTGAGCGTTTGACTCAAGATGTTCCGCTACGATTATTAAGGTTCTGGAGGAATTCGACTAAGTTTTGTGTCTGCCACCACAGTTGTTTATCCAGACGGCCACTCTGACAGTGTCCATGTCACTCAGCGCCTTTGTCTCTCTCGGGATGCTCTACATGCCGAAGGTTTATGTCATCATCCTCCACCCTGAGCAGAATGTCCAGAAAAGGAAGAAGAGTTTTAAGGTCTGTCGTCTGATTGTTGCTCTTTTCTAGAAGTTGCTGTGTTTTCTGAGGGTTGCCTGACAGTTTTTGTGTTGTAGGCTGTTGTTCAAGCTGCCAAGATGTCCCAGAAGACTTCAAATGAGAAACAGAACGGAGAGATGGCGATTGAACCAGACAGATCACAATAAAACAAAAATGAGTTTTCAGACACCAGTTTAATGAGTACCTGTGCAGTAAAAATATACACCATCTTTCAAAAGTACTGTTTGAATTTGAGCTCCTTTGTCTTTAGATTCATCAACTTGTCGCTCCTGTGGATGTTTGGCTCAACACCCGTCACATGGATAATAAGAAGGCTGCTCCACATAAAGACCATGTTGCCTGAGATGATCAGCATGTGGCTCCAGACAATGAAACAATCTCTGAGGAATCCAAGAATATGGAATTTTTGAAATATCTGTTGCAAAACTCTTGGAGAGAAGACACTCTGTACGACTCCTAAATTTTTTTTTAGCATGCCAACCTCACAAGCAAATCCCTGCAGAGCTGATGACGCTGCACTCTGTGTTTTCTGCTGATTAAAAGTTGGCATTGCCAAGATGGTGAAAGTGAAACCAAAGATAAACGCATTGAGAGTTTTTGTTTATTGTAATTTTTATCTGTGTGATTCTGTCTGAGAAGAGCAATACTGCAAGAACTACATTGCCCAGGATGCATTGTTAGAAAAGAGCCAGAGAGATCTTTATCTATTAATACTAGGGGTAGAGATGATGATGATGGGGGTGGGGCTTATTTAATAATGTGACCGGAAGGTTGGACTCACATGGTAAAATAGTAGGTCAATCAGGAGGTGGGTGGGGCTAACCCTTCCTCTGGGTTATAAAAAGAGATATTTCTGACTGAGCTTCTAAATGTTTCAGCCGCTGGTTAAAGATTCATGATCAGCTGAGCAGCTCAGGAGCAAGGCAGCAACACCACAGTTCAATTTCCCAAAGAGTCAAAGAACTAGGTCAGCTTCTTCTGCTGCTGTTTGCAGGAACAGGAAGGACACCCTGACACCAAACACAGAGTATGAATCCAACTCTGACTGTACAGTTTTACTGTATATACATATAAATACATAGATAGTGAAATTTTAGATGGAAAGGGATGTAACTTCTTTAAAAAATGTTAATTTTGGTGGTGATCTAACTGTTAAATCTGATCTTAAACCTTAATGTAAATTGTTAATTGACGACTAATTGCAAATTGATATCTGACCTTTTTGCGGTACTAAATATTTTTTTATATCATCAAAGATTTTTATTCAGAGACAGAGAGGAACATTGTCCTGCATTTTTTTTGACATTTTAAGTTGAAAGGAGTGTTTTCATTTGGGCTTTAACGTTAATAGATTATTAATCAGGGGAACTGTGGCTTGTATATAATATATTCACAAGGTAAACAGGTGAGATGTTACTGAAGGTTTACCTGTCCTAGGGATCTATGTCACTTCCTGTTTGTGTTACAATAAAACTGTGTTTGTGTAAACTGGATTCAGTGTGAACCTAGTCCACTCTCTCACACACATTACACACCCGGCAACATGTTATTTACATGAAAACATACAAAGTAATACCAGTGACATAAAGAAGATGAATGACACATTTATTTCATAAATACATACATACATATATATATATACAGTAAAGACAGATATAGTGTGTCATAGATCTGAGAGCAGCTGCTGCCCTCTGCTGGACGCTGCTGACACTACAAACACAGACAGACGAGTTTTCAGTAACAGTTAAATGGAATAATAAAAATACAGAAATAAAAGTAAAGACTGACGACTTTGCGTAGGTATGGTGGCACTGAAGTGCAAAACACAACCACAGATACAAAATTACAACCACAAATCACATCCTGGTTCTTTTTCTGCTTGGGTTTCCAATGTTTTTAGTTGCTGAAATTAAGTTTTATTACAAAATTCGGTTAAAGTATTAAAAAGTTCATTCCACATTTTAAAAATGTTTCTTCCTTAAGTTTTCCCTGTGGCACTTATTACAAATGATCGCTCTGAAATAGAATATCAGCAAATGGCTTTTTAAACAGTTGATTGATTTATTAATGTGTAAATGAAATATGAAATAGAAATATGTATCAACACAATGAGACAAAGACACAAGAACACACTTTTATTCATGCTGCTTGATTTCCTTCAACAGTTTGAAAAAAGACAGAGGAAAGAAATAAAGCCCTTTTTTGAATTATTTTAGTTTAGCGTAAAAAATAAATATTAAAATGTTAAATAAATAAATAAATAAATACATAAATACATAAATGAGCAGGCTAATCTGGATCGGCGTGTTTTGTCCGATCACTCTCTCCTCACTCTACTGCCTCAGTCTGACAGATCAAACATGGCGGCCTCTACGGCTTCACGTGAACTGTTGTCGGAGGGAGTCCGAGCGGTTCTGCATGGCTGGCCGGTTCTCCAGGTAAACATTTACACTGACATACACCTGCAGCACACCTGAAGACAGACGGACAGACAGACAGACGCTGAGTCGCTACCTGCCGAGCACGCGATGCTACGGACTGAAGCTAACATGCTAAAGCTAACAGGCTAAAGCTAACAGGCTAGTGAACCGGTCCTCTGGGTCAGGACGGTTAGGACTGTCAGACACTCAGATATACCGTAATCAGTTTAACTAACCAACTGACCGGGTAAGGATTTAGTGACTCACCTGGTTTGACTCTAGGTTTAGAGTGGTTCAGACTCAGATGGCTCACAAACATCTAAAATCCTGGACCTCCAAACATTCGAGTTAAGGTTGCACGATATTGGAAAAAACGAACTTTGCTTTTTTTTCAACCCTGCGATATCAAAAAATTGAGGAATTTTCACCAGATGACCAGAATGGCACTTTATACAGAAATCCTGAGGACAGTTCACCTGCACTGATCTTACCTCTTTTAGCAACAGATGAGAAGTATTGCCGACACAGAACAGGTGTTTGGTGACGTCATGCTTCTTGTAACCGAAATAATTAAAGATAAGTCACGTTGCTTTTCCTTTTGTCAACAAGTCTTCATTTTCGGCGGTTTTCTCTTCTTCATTGCTCATTTTGCAATCGTTGTTGTTACCGGCGTTGTGCTGAGAAACACATGCTCGCCGAGGATTGCATGCACCTCGCAAAACGTGCACCGCTTATAGTAAAGTGGTCCACGGAAATGTACAATTTAAAACCCATACGGTTCTTGTTTTGTGGGTTAAACAGTGATGAGTACTGTTCCCAAAGTAATTCTCAGCGGACACAAGTTTCTCGGCAAAACACCGGCAGCGCCTGCGACTCACCCTATGTCCAGGTCATATGTATGGGCGTGGTTTCCTCCGCTCTGATTTTGATTGACGGCTGGCAGGGTAGTCTGATTGGCAACTGAGTAGGAGTGTGGATTTTGTGGATCGCTTCACGGCACATGTCAAGTCACATGCAGTGTATCTCAGTCAGCTACCCTTGAAATTAGATGAGTTCATTCGCCTCCGAGATCGCAGGCTCTGCAGCGTCACTATTGCACATGCACATGCTCGTGCAGCCCTAATTCTAGTGTTCTGGAGAAGGAGACCAGGAAACAAGACGTGCATCCCTGATTGTCAGGGTCTCCAAAAGGTCAGAGGTCGTATAATGTGTCTGTATGTGTGTGTGTGTGTGTGTGTGTGTGTTTTTTTTTTTTTTCAGATTGCTGTGGATAACGGGTTTGGGGGCGTGTATGGGGAGCAGAAAGCTGATTGGATGGTGGATGTGGTCCAACAGTATTTCCATGATAATGGTAAGTTACCATGGTAACGTGATGTAGGTTTAAAGGTTGAATCATATGCTGCATTCCAGTTGTACTCAGAACTTTCCGAGTTGGAAATTAATCTAGAACGCTCCCCTGAAGTCGGATTTCCGACTCGGAAAGTCTGATGATCCTCGCCAACCCTGACTTGACGACAACGTTCATAATCCAAGATGGCAGCGAAGTGCATCGACAGTAAAGAGTAACAGTGAAAGCTCTCTTAATGTTTTATTTTTAAGTGCTTCTGTTTTGTTTTTTTGATATTAAATAAGTGGTACATGTTGTACTACCCAGCGTCCGACTGTGAACACAGTGCTATGGTGTTTGGTCGAGTAAAATACTGTGTTATGTGTTGTTTACAACTGGTATAGCTAACAACAACTAACAACAGCTGACAACGGCCAACGACAGCTGACAACTGAAAACAACAGCTAACAACAGGTAACTGCAAGGTGTCCATCTTGGATTTCCGACTTGTTAACTGTAACGCTGTCAACTCGGGTGTAAAGTCAGCTCCAAAATCTGGGAAACTGGAACGCAGCAATTGACTGTTTATAGAATAGATAACGTCTGCCTCCTCACTGGGTGAAGCCACTCTGAGAACTGGACAAACTTTATTACACAGAACATAAATGTTTCTTGATGCAGCCTATGGGTAAACGAAGATTGCGTAGCTCTACCAGGGGCAATACTTTTTTCGTAGGATGGTAGGGTAAGGTCCCGCCTTCTTCACCTCTGATTGGCTGTGAAACGTCATCTTGTCTCAGGCCAAATGCGGGCTGTCGGCTCTGTACATCAAACAGAACATTACAGAACATCATCGCAATTCTGAATCTCCTAACCCTAACCAGACAGACGATGACGTTTCACAGCCATAAGGAATAACCAATCGGAGACCAGCACTTCTAGCCAATCAGAGGTGAAGGAGGGCGGGACCTTTCCCTACCATCCTACCAAAAAAAAAATCCCACCACTCAGGAGATATGCTGTTTGAGCCGAGCGTCATCGCAGTGACTTGGCGACTCTCCCACCAAATGCGTACAAAGCTACTGCGCAATGTTGGTTTCAGGAAGTGGACAAAAAAACGCAGAATTACCGAGAGCTTTTCAGCCTCAAATCCGTATACTGGCGGAAGGCGGAACCAAGTTGTCCATAATATATACAGTCTATGGGTGAAGTATATTACAGGTTAATAATCATTAATGTGCTCATAATCTTAATTCATTATTTGTGTGTGTGTGTGGTCAGCTGACCTGCAGCAGTATGAGGTGGAGGACTTCATCGCTCAGCTGATGGATCAGGAGTTTGACACAGTGGTGGATGATGGGAGTTTACCTGAGGTACACACACTCACTGTTGTGGTTTGTTGCATGTTGTGATTTATGTTCATTAAAAGGAAGTACTTTACGTAAGTATTAAATAGTTAAAAGATTGCACTGTTTAGAGTTAAAAACATATTGAGAAACATAATTGTTTACTGCATGTTTCAGTATTGATATGCACTATTTGAGTTTATTTTGGAAAGACTATGCGCTGCTTTTATTTTGAAGGAGTTACTAGGAAGTACTAGTCAGTCTGTGTGCGAGACAGAGAAAAAAAAATACTGAGATGCTGCCAGCAACATGCTATTGAGCTGACGCGCTGTGAAACCAAGCCACCCTTTTTGTATTGCTATTTTTCCACCATGTTTGTATCTTTTAAAAACTGAAAAGGTCAGTAAACTTTGGTCAACGTTATTTGGAGTCTCATTTCACCATTTTTTAGAACTTTCCAATACACTCACTCACACACACACTCACTCACTCATAAAGATGTCACATGTAATCTCTTTGTGTACCTGTGCAGGTCTCGCTCAGTCTGCAGCAGGTGTTCAGTCAATGGCAGCAGGGGGCGCTGCAGCAGCTCCAACACACCATCGACACACTGAACCAGAAGAAGGGTCAAAGGGCAAAGGTCAAAGCTCCGCCCACTCAGTCAGAAGAGGACAGTGATGAAGACACACAGGTGATGTAATGACAACAGGTGATAACAGGAGAGACTCTTGAGGCTCTTACCTCTCTGTAATGTGGCCACGCCTATCACTAAACTCTGGCAATCGACAGGAACTACACACTGCAATAATATTGACCATAATGGTATGAGGTGGTGATGATTGTTCGTTAATGATCACAGGTAATGGAGTGCGAGTCATCCGGTCCGTCAGTCAGCAGGACAGAAGCTCCACCTCCTCAGGAGGAAGAGGACGGCTGGACGCTAGTACGAAAAAGGAAGTAAAGATGAGCCAGCAAGAGCTGACCTTTGACCCTCAGGATGGGACTGTATGACTTCAACTCAGAACTGTGTGTGTGTGTGTGTAGACTTTGTTTTTGAAGTGTTTTCATAATAAACCTAAAAAACCTGCTGATGTTTGTGTATTTCTGATACTATGGCAACGAGACTCGGCTCCTATTGGTCCACGTGACAAAAATCGCTTCACCCTCTGCATATTCGATTGCGCGTGTACAAGTATCACTACGCCGCAGAAGGGAAATAGTTCGACACCGAAACACTGATTACTAAAGATCGACTGGATGGCATGAGATATTTTTTTTTGTACTTACTATCAATAGAGCTGTTTTATGAATCACAGGTTATGTTTCCCCACTGAAGTGGAACGAGATTCACTTTCTAAGCACTTTTTCCTCTGTCCCAATACAGCCTATACACCGCAGAAAGGAAACAGTTCGACACCGAAACACTGATTACTAAAAATCGACAGGATGACATGAGTAGATATATTTTTTTTAGTACTTACTATCAATAGAGCTTTTTTATGAATCACAGTTTACATTGCACCACTAAAGTGGACCGAACCAACACGATCTCATTCAGCCAATACAGCCTAATTGTAGGCTAAGCTAATGTGTATTCATGCTACTTCCTGAACGCAGGGTGATGGGGTGGGGAAGGATGGGGAGGCCTGTCACTCATGGCAGACCGCGCCCCTCTCAGTCGAGGCCCGCCCTCACGGAAAAACAGGGTCAAAAGTGAACCTGATACTTTTCAAGTTGAATCTGAAAAAAGATCTGAATCTGAAAAAAAAAATCTGAAACCGAAAAAAAAGTTTTGAATCCGTAAAAATAAGATCTGAATCTGAAATAAATAATAAAATTCCATCAAAAAAAAAAAAAAAAGTACTCCAAGATCGAAATATACATTGAAGTGAAAAATATAAATAATTTATTCAAAAGTATTAAAAACAGAATCAAAGTTACACTTGAACAGATTTTTTTCATGCATTGTGGGATTTTTCAAAGTTCAATTTCGAAATTCAAGACTTTCAGGTACCCTTTTATTTTTTTCAGGTTCAAATCTTGTTTTTTCACTTACACTACTTTTCAATACTTTTGAGCCTGATCTGGCTCCATATCCGTCCTCATTGGTGTTAAGCAGCTTCTTCTTTGTTGATTTTCGGCGACTATTTCTTCCGGTCGGCGGACTCCGGCATCAAAACTTGGAATCGAAATTTTAGTATTCGAACGATACCGGAAGAATCGAAATGTTAGTCCCAGTCCCCATCAATACTCGATTCTCGATACCCAACCCTAGTTAACACTCTCTTTACACTTTGATTTTTACATCACAGAAGACTGTATATACTATGGACAACTTGGTTCCGCCTACCGCCTGTATACGGATTTGAAGCCAAAAAGCTCTCGGTATTTTTTTCCTCCAGGATTTTTCTTCATTTCCTGAAACCAGCACTGCGCAGTAGCGATGCGCACATTCGCTGAAAGTCGCTGTGATGACGCTCAGTTCAAACAGCGTGTCCCCAAGGAGAGCTACGCAACCCCTGAACACCCATAGGCTGTATCAGGAGTCAATCATAGAAAACATGAACCCCCTAATAACTTTTAAAAACGGAGCGTCACAGAACTGACGCAGAAAGGACTTGAGCACAAACCAGTCTGACAGAAACTACATGTCAACATCACAAGCAGGGGGGAGAAAAATGTATGTTCTGTGTAATAAATTTCTAAAGTTTGTCCACAACTTCATAAGCTTTGCTGGAGGAGGTGGGATTTATGACCTATACTGCAGCCCATCAACAGAGGGTGCTGTTCTCGGAGTGGCTTCACCCAGTAAGGAGGCAGACTCTGTCCATTCTTTATACAGTCTATGCTCCTAACATTCCAGTCTACGGTGCATGTCGCATTTAAATAACCATAGATTGATTCATTTTAAACAGATTTTCAAACAGTTTGGTTTTACAACAAACCTCAGAGTTTTAGTTATGTTCCTGCATACTCAAGAATAATTTTAACCATGGATTTTTATAAATAAACATTGAACAGATAGGTAGAGCAATAGCTATAGGCCTACACACAAAAGACAGTTCTATTAAATAATTAATATATAAAACATTTAATTATTCAATGTATGTTAGTAATATTAGTAATATTTCCATATAGGTTTAACTATAATAACATACAGCAATAACATATGTAGATATTCATTTTCAATATAAATATCTACCTAAAGTTGCCATTTCAGGTGTTTTTAACAAACCAAACAGTTTGGAAATCATGTGCAATTTAAGTTATGTTGAATCGCAAGAGCATTTCTGCCTCTTTAACTGATGGAAAATTACTGGTAATATGTACTGGGTCTCACTCACAGCAAGTCTGTTAGCCAAGTTAGACAGCTGATAAACACAAGCACATCCACGAAGACTGTCACTTAGACACAAAAAAAAGTAAATAAAAAATAGTCTGTCATACAAGAAAATCAAATCTCTATTGTGATCTCAGCCTTGACAAAGCGACTCAAAGTTAGCCATTGCACGCAAAAAGCTGTGAAACAACTGTGCTTAATGATTAAGTCTTTTTTTTTCCCTCAAAGTAAATCTGCCATTTTAATATGTCCAAGCATCCCAACTCATAGCCTCGTTATTAAGGTCTGTAATAAGCAAAACCATTTGTAAATCTGTCAAGATTTCAGCGAGTTAAGAGTATTTGTGATCATGCAGATTACTCGACTTCCATCAGCTACCATAGAGCGAACCAGAATGGTATACTGGAGTAAGATGGCCCCTGTGTAGGGACGCCGGTGAATCCGACTCGAGTCATCTAGCCTTTCTTATGGATATCTATGCAAACAACAGTTAACAATAGCTAAAAGTTACAACAGTAGGGGTCCATAGGGGTCTCATTCAAATGATGCGCTTGAACTGAGAGGTTGCTGCAAGTCTGATCTCTCTGTATATCTGTAATTTTTGTAATTTATGCTAGATTTTTTTCATACTTTTGTTGTGCTCCTAGAACACCAGTCCTTGTCTGTCACCGAAACAGGGGTGAGGATGGAGCTTGGAAGCGTGCTGCAGAACTGTGTCAACCTCTCCACAAGATCTTCAACCTGAGTCTACAGCTGGGGTGGGTACCTGCTCTGCGGAAAACATCCTGCATTGTGCCAGTACCAAAAACAAAATGTCCTGCTGAACTCAATGACTACAGACCAGCGGCCCTCACTTCACACATCATGAAAACCCTGGAGTGGCTGATTCTACACCTTCTGAGGTCAGAGGTCAAAGACAAACTGGACTCCCTGCAGTTTGCATACAAAGAACACATTGGAGTGGATGATGCTGTCCTCTACATGCTTCACCGTGTCCCGTCTCATCTGGAAGAACCTGGGGTTTATGTGAGAATCATGTTCTTCAACTTTTCAAGTGCATTCAACACCATCCAACCCACCATACTCAAAGACAAGCTCACAGAGATGGGAGTGGATCCTTCCTGTGTTTCCTGGATCACAGATTACCTGACAGGAAGGCCACAGTATGTCAGGCTGGAGAACTGTGTTTCTGGGACATTAATGAGCAGTACAGGGGCTCCACAAGGGACAGTGCTGGCGCCATTCCTGTTCACACTGTATACGTCAGACTTCAAATACAGTACTGAGTCCTGCCACACCCAGAAATACTCAGATGACACTGCTATTGTGGCATGTATCAGAAATGGACAAGAAGCTGAATACAGAGATCTAATAAGAGCCTTCAGTGACTGGAGTCACAAAAACTGCCTCCTCTTCAACACATCAGAGACAAAGGAGGTGGTCATAGACTTCCATAGATCCAAACCCACTCTTCAGCCAGTGAACACCTGTGGAGTGGACATCGAAGTGGTGTCATCATATAAATACCTAGGTGTACATCTGGATAATAAGTTGGACTGCTCTAAGAATATAGACTTCATCTACAGAAAGGGGCAGAGCCGCCTCTTTTGCCTGAGAAGACTCTGATCAACAGACATCTGTAGTAAGACGCTGCAGATGTTTTATCAGTCTGTGGTGTAGATCTACAGTGTTCTGTTCTACGCTGCAGTCTGCTGGGGAGGAAGCATCAAACACAAAGATGCAAGACTTCTCAACAAACTGGTGAAAAAGGCTGGCTCTGTGGTAGGACTCAAGCTGGACTCAGTGGAGGATGTGGTGGAGAGATCTCCACCTCAGGCTCCCCTCTTACACCTCCACCTGGAGAACAGGTTTGACACCCTGGACCTCCATGACTTCCCCCCACTGCCCGCGGGATCACAGCCGATGTCACCGATGTCACGGGTCCTCCAGCTCTCTGCCGTCCCGTCCGCCTCCCGTGCCTGACCATCCGCACGCTGGGTCCCTCCGGCGGCGCTCGATGCCGTGCTTCACACCTGCACCACAGCTGGCCCGTGTCCCTCCTGTCTCGTCTCCGATGTCCTCCTTGGTAAGTTCCCCCCCTCCTCCGACATATTTCTCTCCGGTCACGCAGTCTCCATGTCCACTTTTCCCTCCGATGACTTTAATTGTGGGCAGCTCCATTGTGAGAAACATCTGCTTTTTTAACGCTGTCACGCGGCGTTTCCCCGGTGTGAGGGTCCTTGACATTTAACACTCCTCCCCACTCTGTTAAAATCTCTTCCAACTTCCATCCAGAGAATCATAATCCATGTCGGTACAAATGACACTTCCCTCCATCAGACCGAGCTCAAGAAGGACCATTTAACCCAACTTTTTAACTTCCTGAAGAACTGTGAACTGTCTGTTTTTAGCAGCAGTCCCATTCCCACTTCTGGTCGTGGGTGCGGGTGCTTCAGCAGAGTGCTCAGCTTGCACACCTGGCTCCAATCTGCCTGCCAAGCCCATAGCTTTGCCTTCGTGGACAATTTTAATCTGTTTTGGAACCGTTCGTTCCTTTTTAAACCGGATGGTATCCACCCGAACACCACAGGTAGCCGCATGTTAGCGGCTAACCTACAGCACACCGTACACTTTTCACCATGTGACTGACTATTTACCCCTCCATTAATTCATCAACTTCCCGACACACACTAAAGGACACACTCTGGATCTACTCTGCTGCTCTGGCCTCATCCCATCCAACTGCACAGCTGATGATCTCCATGTAAGTGACCACCTCCTCATCTCCTTCAGTATTCCTCTCTGCCTCTCTAGAATTAAGTCACCACATCTCATTTCATTCCGCAACCTTAAGAATATAAACACTGACACTCTGCGCTCTAACATTAACAATATTTTGATCCCGGACTGTTCGGCTACCCCTAATGAAATAACATCCCATTACAACACCTGTTTAAATAACATCCTCAACTCCCTCGCTCCAGTCAAAACATGCTCCTTCCTTCTCCACAACTGCTCCCTGGTATACCCCCATCTCCACAGTCTCGTCACCTCCCGTCTGGACTACTGCAACTCCCTCCTCTTCGGTCTTCCTCACACGTCTCTCCATAAACTTCAACTGGTCCACAACTCCGCTGCCCGGATCATCACCAAATCCCCTTCGGCCAACCACATCACCCCCATCCTGCAGCAGCTTCACTGGCTCCCAGTCCCACTAAGAATCCAGTTCAAAATCCTCCTGTATACCTTTAAAGCCATCCACAACCTCGCCCCTCCTTACCTGTCTGATCTCCTCCACATCGCCACTCCATCACGCCGCCTCCGATCCTCTTCCTCTCTCCACCTCAGCACCATGGGGGGCAGAGCTTTCAGTCGCTCTGCCCCCCGACTCTGGAACTCTTTACCATCACACATCCGCAACATAGACTCCCTCCCCCTCTTCAAGTCCAAACTCAAGACACATCTGTTTAAACCGACCTATCCATCCCACCACCCCTAACTCAATTTTTTAACTTAATTTTAATTGGTATTATTTATTTTTTTATGTATTCCTTTGCTGTTGAATGTTTTAATGTTGCTTTGTTGATTTTAACTGTTTTGATGAGTGATGACTTTAAATGTTAATAGTGTTTAATTATTGTTTTTTATGTTCTGTAAAGTGTCCTTGAGTGACGTGAAAGGCACTTCAAATAAAATGTATTATTATAATTTCCCTTCAGGGATCAATAAAGTTCCTCTTATTCTTATCTTGGTTTTCTCACTTGTTTACCTGAGCTCTGTCAACTTGGCTGTAACATCATTCCCAGCTGCAACATCCGAGGTAACTGGAGCGCAGCATTAACAGCCCCCCTTATGATGATTCTCACCTGTTCTTTCACACCTGGAGAAAGATCAGAGGTCAGGACAGAGTCAAAGGTCAGAGAGAAAAGCTCATGAAATCTTTTATTTTCACAGTCGACATTTCACACTGACAGACGTAGAAAAAAAAACTGTCTCTGATAATGTCACTGTGACAAGGAGGAGGGGTGGGGTCAGAGGTTATTTCAAGGCACTATTTATTACATGAACACAGAAACAGGTCAGAGCAGTGTCCCAGGTGAGGAGGTCAGAGGTCATCTGAGGACTGATCCTCATTAAACCACAGAGAGACAAAATGAGCTCATCAATAATCAATCCTGTCATCAATACCGTGATCTGTCAGTCAGGGGGATGGGCGCTAGCAGGAGGCTACAGTGTGCTTGTCCAGACAGAAACGCATCAGAAGTTCTGTGATGGATAATCAGTAAGTTTCATAAACTGAAAACAGGAAGTGACGTTCAAATAACCCAGCAAAAAAATAATCATTAAATCAGAAACTTCAGAAAAATCAAAGAAACAAAAATAAAGTTTGATAAAAAGCTTGTGTTTCATAAAATATCACAGAGAGGTCAAAGGTCAGCTGAGAGCAGAAGACTGATGCTGAACCCAAACATCTGGAGGTGACCTTTACGTTCACATCACAGGTGTGCTGTTACCATGAACAGGGGGTCAGCTGACACTGACCTCTGACAGAGTCCTCACTTTAACTGTTCAATATAATATTTATAAAACTGTTTTTAAATGAGCTGTTGAATTCAGCTAAGAAAACGCCACGTAGAGAGGACACAGATCTCAGCAGTGGTTGTGGGTTAGACTCCTGGACACAACCTAAAGCTGCATCCCTTCTGCGCACTCTAATCCCCCGCTTCCACGCTGTCCTATCAATAAAGGCAAAACAGGCCCACAGCTAACCTGAAAAGGTGAGGATCAAACACTGATCCTTGAGGAACTCCACATTCACTGTTCTGTTATGAACTCAGCTCTGTCTCTATTTAAACAGAACGTGATGACAGTGAATGCGTCTCAGTCCAACATTCAGGTGTTTGGATTCAGCCTGGGGTTGAGAATCAACCAACAGTGTGCTCCCCACTCCCCATGTAACAAGAACTGAACACAAAGAAATACACTGTGTGTGTGTGTGTGTGTGTGTGTGTGTGTGTGTGTGTGTGTGTGTGTGTGTGTGTTTATATGTGCAGCCAGGGGTGTTGCAGACAATGTGCGGCCGTAGCTCTACGGTCGGGCTGTAGCTCCAACATGGTCAACAAGAAGTCACTGAACTCAGCCGCCTGATCGAGCGGCCACTCGTACTTCTCCAGCAAAACCTCGAACAGACCCCATGGCTTCAGATTGGAGATGTGCCGCAGCTCACCTGAGAGAGAGAGAGAGACGCGGTGAGACCGAAGACAGACAGACAGACAGACAGAGGGAATACAGGCAGACACTCAGGCTCACCTCTCCTGTTGAAGTATTCTCTGGAGTATCTGCCAGACGAGGCGAAGGGCAAAGGAATTGGGCCGAGGAGCTCGATGATGTGGGCGATATGATCTGAATAGACAGTCAAAGTCGACACTGATACTCATGAGGACTGTAGTACTGTGATGATGCAGTTCTGTGTTTGACTACAGTTGTGTGTTTACTCTAGTGTGCTGCTGTACCTTCATCTCTGGTATAATCTTCTCCTGAGTGAGGCTCAAAAAGATAATCACCTGTGGCCAGCTCGAACGCCTGAAACATTGATCAACACATTGATTAAATATGGATTTTTGACGTAACTATGACCTGACCTGAGTGCTCCTCTTTTCTTGTCTACTGTCTTTGATGCTGCTAATGAATGAGGCGGATTACTGAGGTTCATCTACCCTTCCACCTGGAACGCAGTTCTAACGCATGATTACAGAATAACCCCCGATTTCCACCGCATCCGGTGGAAAAAAAGGTTGTATCTGCCGATCCCAGCTGATCGTAACCATTCAAGTTAACGTGTCAATTTCCACCAGCTTCTTACCGTTCCACTGCGGATCACCGGACTCCACAGCTGATCGCAAATGTTCTATTTTTTCCGGACGCCGGAGCATGCCAGATAAATTCAACACAGATTAACCCGTGCTGGAAAGGAAGTCTGGCACGGACACAAAATAAAACATCCGGCTTCTTTTCAAAATAAAACACTGTGTTTTAGGAGGATCGTATTTCACACCATGCAGATGGGCGGAGAGGAACAAGTGAAAGATTTTTAGACGTCATTTCACCCTGATGACACCATGGATGAGGAGATGCTGATTCTAGAAGTCTAGAAGTAGATTTCCTCCTCTGGAAGGACACAATCTACTGCTTATATGTCTATGTGTCTGTCTTTACAGAGACAACTTGTTATCACGCGATTGAATGTGAATCCACATGTTCTTGTGAGTTCTCGTGATTACCGCTGTCCGTAATCCGCCAGAAATTCACCATTCAAACAGATTCGGTAGGAAATGGCATACGGTGAAAATCGCAGCCGTTCCAGATGCGGTAAAAATTGGGGGTCAGAGTGTGACATCATAGGAGGATGGTCGTCCTGGTGATGATAGAACTACTGCTGCTACTACTCCTTCACCACATGTTTGCTCTTATAGCTGTTTACAGTCACACACGTGTGTGTTTGTGTGTTTACGGACCATACAGGCGGTGCTCCAGATGTCAGCAGGCGGTCCGTACTCCGCGCCAATCAGAACCTCTACAGCTCGATACTGACGGGTCTGAATGTCCTCTGTGAAGTGTTTATGCTGAGAGAGAGAGAGAGAGAGAGAGAAAGAGAGAGCGAAAGAGAGAGAGGCCTGTGAAATCATATTGGAAATACTGACTCAACCAAAACTGTGAGTTGACCAAACAAGAGACCAACTGTGGTGGACTAATGGTAGGTCCTGTAGCCTCCTGCTGTGCAGAGTCATTATGCAAAACCCCCTTACCTGTATGTCGTCAAAACTGATGATGAAACTTTTAAACTTCCATACAGTTTTTTCAGGTAAAGAAAGGGGCGTTTCAGAGCATCAGACTGTAAGCCCTGAGAGTGGCAGCAAGTCACAGCAGCGCTTCACAGAGTTTATGTTTTTGCCTTCTTATTGTTGTTTTTTTGCACCTTATTTGTCTTTTTTTTTTAATTTAGCAGTGTTGTGTTTTGCATATTCTAACCATGGATGTGCATTTCATGACTCTGGCACTGTTTTCTTTTACTTTTCGGAGTTTGTAAGTCCGCGTCCGGTGACCTGTTCAGCAGCTCTATTGTTTACAGCCATGAACAGCTGTTGGCGCTGCGCCAAGTCCGGCCACCTTTGTGGGACAGACCGGACATCCCCGCCAAGCTGCGCAGGAGATGGAGAGGATGCAGAGCCGGAGTTCAGCATCGGGCAAAGCGGAGACGTTTTAAACCAACTGTCCCGTCCATCATCAAGGGAAACGTGAGGTCTCTCCCCAACAAGATGGAAGAGCTCACAGCGCTGACTCGGCTGCAGTGGGAGTACCGGAAGTGCAGCCTCATGATGTTCACGGAGTCATGGCTGAACAAACTCACTCCGGACCTGCTCGTAACTTTGGACGGATTTCATCTCGTCAGAGGGAGAGTGGTAAGAAGAAAGGAGGTGGGATAGCGGTGTATGTGAATGAGAGATGGTGTAATGCTGGGCACGTCAGTGTTAAAGAGCAGCTCTGCTCTAAGGACATTGAGCTGCTGGCTGTGAGTTTGCGGCCATATTACCTGCCGAGGGAGTTTTCGCACGTTATCGCGCTAACTGTTCACATCCCCCCCTCGGCTGATGCCTGGATCCATCTACCAGTCAACAGACAACCAGAACCGCTTTTAAGCGGAGACTACAAACCATACTGAGTCTTAGCTCCCTAACTCTGGATGGCCCTAACTCAAAGATCTGGAATTACACTTGGTTATGGTGCTAAAGGTTGCTAAGGACTAAAACTGCTATTAGCAAAGACTAGATTGAGCTTATACTGCTTGTCGCTACCTGATCCGTCCCATAAACCCGATTTGTACTGTGCATGTGCAAAATGTACATCACTTCCTCTACTAGCCATCTTTGCGACAGCTTTGACACTTGTTTGACAGCTTCAGCATCAGTGAGCTCGCTACAGTCAGAAAGGATGCATCAGTTTATCACCAGCCTAACGCTTTTCTTTTGTCCTGAACAGAGTGCTTCCCCCGACTGAAGCAGAGTGCCGAAAAGTCCAGAGAATGGTGCCCAGTTTTACAATTAAAGGTCCCTACTCCTGCTAAATTGTAAAATTCCAATGTAGTTGTAAAAGGCTTGAATGAATGTGAATATTTAAGTGTTGAAATTGAAACGCTGTATAAAAACGCTGAAATTCATTGTCCATAATGTGTAGGCTTCTAGTTAATAAACTTAATTTATAAAATAAATGAAATAAATTCCCCCTTGATACTTTGAAAAGTCAGAAAACCATGATTTTGATTGGGTGGTGGCACTCTCTGTGGCCCAAAAGGTCTCACTGTGCTGGGCAGAAGCTCTGGCGAATGCCTCGGCATTAGCTCTGGAGCCTCCTGCTAGCTAGCCTGTCACATTGCCAGTTTGTTTCTGAATCGATCGTAGTTTCAATAAAGTTTTATGGTGAAGTAAATTTGCACTTGTGCAGTGCGGATCGGGTAGGTAGCGGCTCACTGCAGTAAAATCCATTGAAATGCCAAGAGAGGAAGTGACGTAAGTTTCGCACATGCGCAGTACAAATCGTGTTTCCAGGACGGATCGGGTAGTGACACTGCTGTTAGCTTTAACTGCTTAGGCAGGTGGAACCTGGTCCTTTTTGTCTCTCAAGTGTGTACCTCAGACGAGACTGTCTCAGTACCTCTCTTGAGACTGGTTCTGGTTTTGTTTGTAGGAAGTGTTTTTGTCTCATGATGGAATCATATTGGGTCCTCTGCTCTGCTCTGAATGAGGATGTATAAAGACCACCTTTTGTGTGATAATGATGAAGGTGTCTCACCACCCAGCAGGCGTTCCCCAGGTCTGCGATCTTCACCCGGAGTCTGTGAGCATTCACGGGATCCAACGGAGAGAGGATGAAGTCTGACGCACTGAACACTGAGGGAGACAGAGGGCGTTTACTGCCTGTTCTTTGGTGTTTGGTGTTGTTTGGTGTTTGTGAGTGTGTACTATATGTTGTGTGTTTTCTGACCATCTCGTCCACTCGAGTATCCTGATTGGGTAGAAAGTGCTGACTCAGATGTCGCTGACATCACAGAACTGGAAAACCCCGATAGGCCGGAGGCAGGACTGGAGAACCGTCCAGGAGGGTGGCCGTTACACCTGTCCTCCAGCAGGGAATTATTGGACTCTGGACTCACTTTACTATTGGCTATGGAGCAGGAAGTGTTGCCGTTGACAACAAGAGAGACTGAAAAAACTGGAAGAACAGTGATGTTTATTTTAGAGTGTCCCAGCCATTATAAAGTGTCAAATACATAAATGAGGTGTGATTACATCGAAAAATTAAACAGTAAACTTTGATTATGAGGTTTAAATATGTGAAAAAATATGATAATTTGGTGCAAAAATATCCTTTTATGTGAAAAGTTCTACATCACACCAGATCAGCAAACCCTTTAGATACTGTCTAATTTATGAGAGAGTACTCACAGTTACTGTCAGTGTCATCAGGACGAGGGGCACCCTCCTCTTCTTCCAACCTCTGCACAAAGAACACAAACTTTATTCTGAAGAGCCTCCTCACAGTGTTTTATTTTGTAGGGCTGCTTCCTTTAAATAGTTCATGAGCCAAGACCCCAAAATTGACCCATCATAATAAATCGGGTGGGTAATTTCTAGTTTGTTTTTTTGAGTTGCTCCACATCCCTAGTTTATGGTTTGGCATGATAACCTTTGCAGACTGGTAGCTTAGTGATGGTTATCATGCATTTAATCTATGGAGTCCTGGAGCAGAAATACCTGAATTTCGTATGGTACTTGTTTGCTATTATAGGGCTTGTGGACTACTTGTTGACTGCTCTGCCCCCCTAAATCTTTCTGATTTATTCCTAAGTCATTGGAGAACTAAAAAAAGTGCAGATGAAATTCAAGACTTTTATAGCCTTCTTTTTTAAAAAATATTCATAGGCGGAAATAGCATTTTTATTTTTCTCTTGTGTATCTTTTCTCAATTGGGAGCAATTGGGTAATATCTGCCCCATTTAGACACTGGATTTGAAATCTGACAAGTCTTACCTTTCAGCAGGTACCAAATTTATGCCTTCAGCCCTTATAGTTCGGGAAATACACACATTTTTATATGCATGTTGTAATATGCACAATTTTGGCTGGATTTGATCAAGACTCCAGAATAAGAAGAAGAAGAATAAGAACTTTATTGATCCCCAAAGGGGAATTTAATTGTCTGTTGTCTCACATAATGTGTCTATAAAAGTTATCTATTATTTACATAAATCCATACAATGATTATTACTTCAAGGAAATAATAAAGTAATGATCATAAATGTTCTTCCTTGAGCTGCGTCTTCCCGCTGTAGTCCGTAATGGAATTTATTGACGGTCCCTTATTCAACACCCGACTTTGACAGCGAGGATGCCGAGTAGATTTAACCACGCTGCTGTTGTTATTCCCGGTTATGGAGAGTGAGAAGACAATGGTAGATCCACAGTGAATGTCCGTCGAATATATCCAACCTAAAACTTACTTCACTGCCGTATTTACATGAAAAAACATTTGTTGCCTTGGCTGATTTTTCTTTATGCACACGTGACCCTAAATACATTTTACAATTCGCACACACCTAGTTTTAGTCGCAAATGCGGGTGAAATGGTTGCACTGTTGAGCCCTGCTCACATGTTGAATCTAGAATCAGTCATCTTTAATAATATTTCATGTTTCACACAGACTCTGTGTGTGTGTCACACCTGAACTACACACCTGGATCTCCACCAGTCTCTCCTCCAGAAGCCTCTGCTGACGCTTCGCCTTCCTCTTCAACTTCTTCTTCTTGTTCTTAGACAGCCTACCTACCTACACACACACACACACACACACACACACACACACACACACACACACACACACACACACACACACACACACACACACACACACACACACACACACACACACACACACACACAGACACACACACACACAGACCAAGTTATGGTATGTTTTGGACCACCTGACCTGCAGGGTTTTCTGGGGAGTGACATGCAGAGGGGGCCACAGGTGGGAATCCCACCCGGGCTGCAGGCCTAAGGACTGAAGCTCTTCTACATGGGGAGCCATCAGGCCAACCCGGTCCTTCTTCTCTGCATACAGCAAGGGATGAATATGATCTGACTTCAGGGGTTAGACTCTCTGTTCTAATATTCTCTGCACATCATAGGGTGCGGGGCATCAGGCAGGTCAGAGCACCAATGGCAGAGCATTACAGGGGGCTTGGTCTCATGCACAAAAGGTTCATTTAAACATGTGATGACACTGAACAGGAAACAGATGGGACAACTGACTCACCTGGTGATCATTAGGTTATTAACACACACTTCACCTGCCCGTGTTTCCATCACATTAACACGACCTGTTCACAGCAGGTAGCATCAGAGACACCTGAAACTAGCTCTGAATCTGAAGCAATCAATGAGATCACAGCAGGCAGCACACCAGGACACTTACCTGTTGATCCCTGGGAGCCATGCTAACTAGAGAGAGAGACACCCGGCGAGACAGACAGAGAGAGGAAGAGAGAGAGAGAGAGAGAGAGAGAGAGAGAGACGGGAAGAAACATCAGAAAAAAAGGAAGTAAAGCTGGAAGATAGACAAAAAGGTCAGTAAAAGAAGAGAAGGACAAACAGAGTCACAGGTAAGAAAGGTTCACTCCAGTCAAAGAGTAATCTACGCTACAGCTGGAACCATTAACTCTTACAACTCCCTGCTATATTTTGCTACTTTTTGTCCGCCTGCCTTTTGTTTCTTGTTTGTAAAAATCTATGAAGCAACTCAAAAATATATATACATCAGGACAACCTCAGCTGTCAGTTTATGGAGCAAAAATGATGTAAAATGAATGTGACAGTAGATTCAGAACCATCAAAGTTAACCAAAAAACATAAATGGAATTTGAAACCAACAGTACTTTGTTAAAAAAAAACACATAAATCTACAGTAACCGAGACTTTTCTCACCTGCACATCATTCTCTCAAGTCTTGGCTATCAGGAGAAGAAATATTGGGATTGGAACAAACACACAACAGAAACTATTGACATATTTACGCTAATTCTTCCGGGCGTTTTTTACTATTTACAATTGTTTATGCCACTCCTGGGATGAGACAGAGGACCACATCATACTGCTCATTTTCTCTTCTTTGCTTGTTTCCAACATTGAGGACCATAATTTCTTATTTTGCAGACAAGCAGGAAACTTTCTCGTCTGGTTGATCTTTTGTTGCCTCTTATTGGACACTACCGTCAAGGGAACAGTAGAGGAAGAATATGAGACAATGTAATTGGTTGAAAGTTTTGACAAAAAAAGACATCATCAAAACAGCTTGTCAAACCCGACATCAGCGGCATTTAGCGATAGCGATCTTTTTTTATCTCAACAATCTGATAAATTCATGTTTTCACCAGTATATCACTGCGGATTTACCATCAAACGTCTCTGATCAAACACCTATTTGTGTGGCTGGATTGTAAACCTTGTGGCAGGTGTAGAAATGTCTGGAAACCCTTGATAGATCGCCAAAAGGGTAAGCTTTTGAACACTTTTTATCCCAAAGAGATACACAGAATAGCTCCTGAGAAACTGTAAACAATATTCATGAAGTCACGTAGGATCGCCGAGGATCCAGTGAAGTTCTAAGTGCTAACAAGTCATTTCTTCATACTGGACATGACAGGGTCAGAGAGACAGGAGACACAGGGAAGGGAAAGTGAGACATGCAGGTTCAGGTCTAGACCGGGAGTGGAACCAGAGACCAATATAATGAGGATGAACTGATAAACTGCAGTTCTGGGACACCTAGACTGACCACTTCACAGGGATGACAGACACTCCAGTCTTCCAGTGATTTGTTTTAATTCAATATGGAGGTTTTGGACTTCATTAACCCTGAACAAGATCTCCAGGTTTAGGAGGAACATCTGCATCCATCCAGACAAAGAGTTTTTCAGAGAAGACCTTCATGTACCTGAGATATACTCATATACCTCCTTTATACCGTGTACATTTGTAAATGTATTTATACTTGCTAAGCACTTTTCAATGGATGTAAACTGCATTTCGTTGCTCTGTACTTGTGACATGTGCAATGACAATCAAGTTAAATTCTATTCTAGAGTCCTGGGCCGATGTGGTCCTGACTTGAAAACATTTGGACCATCAGGACACCAAAAACAGGACCAATGAGACTCTGAAGTGTTGAGCAGCTGAAATCCTGGATCAGGTCAGACTGGGACCAGATTTGACTGTTTGTTTCATTCTCATCTTTTGACCAATCACTGAGCTCACTCCTCACCTGAAGACCCTGAAGGGGGCGGGGCTCCAGCTCTCTGCCAGATGGTCGCCTCAGCAGCTAATCGCCTGATGTAAACCTCGTCGACGTCCAATAAGATGTTCTCTGGTTTGATGTCAGTGTGGATGATCTTACACTTAGTGTGCAGGTAGTCCAGACCCTGCAGGACCTGCAAGCACACAGACCAATCCATGGGCAGGTCACTGTTACATCAGCAAGTCCTCCAAGTCTCTGCACACTGAGTTGAACGAGGCCAAGGTGTGAGGACATACCTGTCTGATGATGGTCTTCACACACACCAGAGGAAGGCCCATGTAGTTGGACTTGATAATCCACTTCAACAACTGATGACCCAAAACCTCCATGACCATACACACATCTGAAGTACAGGTAAGGACTAAAAGATGGAGAGACTGAGGGACAGACAGACTGAGAGACTAACCCCCAATTTCCACCGCATCCTGATCGTCTCCTAAAAGGTCGTATCCTCCGATCGTAGCTGATCGTAACTATTCAAGTAAACGTTTCAATTTCCACCAGCTTCTTTCCGTTCCTCTTCAGATCGCCGGACTCCGCAGCTGATCGCAAGAGTTGCATTTTTTCCAGACACCGGAGCACGCCGGATAAATTCAGCACAGATTAACCCGTGCTGGAAAGGAAGTCGGGCACATAAACAAAATAAAACATCCGTCTTCTTTTTAAAATAAAACACTCCGTGTTTCAGGAGGATCGAATTTCACATCATGCAAACAGGCGGAGACGAACAAGTGAAAGGTTTTTAGAAGTCATTTCACCCCGATGACACCATGGATGAGGAGATGCTGATTCTAGAAGTCTAGAAGTAGATTTCCTCCTCTGGAAGGACACAATCTAATATGTCTATGTGTCTGTCTTTACAGAAACAACTTGTTACCGCACGATTGAACGTGAATCCTAGGGTTCCTGTGAGTTCTCATAATTCCTACTGTCCGTCATCCGCCACGAAATTTGCCTCACCAATGGATCTGGCAGGAATTGGCAGACGGTGAAAACTGCTGCTGTTCCGGATGAAAATTGTGAAAATTGGAGATAAGAGACTGACACACTGAGGGACAGACAGACAAGTAAAGGATACGGACTCCATTGACTCCTGAGATCTTGAAGTCATCGATCAACTGGACAATGGTTTCTCTGTAGGGGTCAGATGGGTCACTGTCTCTCACCTTCACAGACAGACAGACAGGTCACCTGTGTGAACTCTGAGATCTATTTTTTGTGACTAAATACAGATGAGAGTAAATACTGAGTCCATATCCCTGTTTATGAATGATCTGTGTGTTTGTGTGTGTGTGTGCACTGAGACTCACACATCGCAACAGCTTGATCTCATCCAGAGCCGTCTCAGTGTAGTGAGGAGCACTTTTCACCACCTTTAACGCCACGAAACGCTTCCTCCTGAAACACACAACACACACACACACACACACACACACACACACACACACACACACACACACACACACACACACACACACACACACACACACACAGTGTAACCACGATATTCAGTCTGTCTTTTGAGCAGTATGAATCTCTGTTTGTTCACTGAGCTCGTCAAGGAGGGTGAGCGTTTTTCAGCTTATTTCTGTGTTTTGATTGGGCAGTCAGAGTGACATCAACTATTCCAGTATAATTCAGTTAAAAAATATATATATAGTAAATAATATGCTTTATATGCAGAGTGGTGGGCTGTCATTCACTCTGAAAAAAAGACTTTATTTATGGAATCTGAGTAAATTCCCAAACCTCCCTCCACAGTGTGTGTGTGTGTGTGTGTGTGTGTGTGTGTGTGTGTGTGTGTGTGAGTGTCTTACTGCAGGTCCCAGCAGAGCCACACAGTTGAAAAATGTCCCCAGCCCAGCTTGCGAACCACGTGGTACCTCCCATTAAACAGGTCACCGATCTTCACAGGGTAGTACCCACCTGTAACACAACACAGTCATCATCAGGTGACCGTGTGTCACATGACTGAAAGATGTACACATGAACAAACCGCCATTTCTGCACTAACACTCTAAGAGAGTCACTCATACAGTGGGATATGCTGTGAGAAAACCTGTCCAGCAGGTGGAGCTGTTTCAACTGCACTCCCCCCCCCCCCCCCCCATCTCACCTTTACAGTAATCGGATGGATCCTCCTGCTCTTCATCATCAGAGCCCAACAGCTGAGCGGGAGGCGGAGTTAACTCAGGAGGGGGCGGGCTCATTGCAGAAAGGGGCGTGTTCAGTTGAGGGGTAGTTGATGATATTGTGGAAGGTAGACCAATGGGAGGTCCCAAAGAGTCGAGAGAGCAGAGAAAGGAGGAGGAGGAGGGGGAGGAGGGGGAGTAAAGGTAGGAGGAGACACTGGAGGTGAAGGTGACGGAGGACAACAAGAGGGAGGTAGTGTGGGAGGGGCTTACTGTAGAGGTGGGAGGATCTTTGGCAGGATGTAGAGCTGATGGTCGTTCAGAGGCATTATGGGTAATACTGAGTGGTAAGGTTAAAGGTGAGACAGAGCAGTCTGATTGGCTGTCATTCTGAGGAGTTCTATGTGATGAATTCTGGGTAAAATTTTGGTTCAAAGTTAGAAGGGCTTCACTTGGACAGTGGGCGGGGTTTAAAAATGTAGCAGGTGCTGATTGGCTGATTGTCTGTGGGTCGTCAGGGTCTGTCAGTCGGGCTGAAGGGGAACCTTCTGCTTCCTGAGAGGGGGGTGTAATGTTGGGGGGAGTCTGAGGGGGTGGGATAAAGGTATGAGGGGAATTTTGGGAGGGTGGCAGGGGGGGTCCAACGTGCAAGGCGGGATGAGGGAGGTTTTGTTCAGGTGCTGTGGTCAGATCATCAACATCTCCTGTACTCGCATATGATGGGCAGAGCCTCCGAGGACTCTGGAGGGGCAGGTTGGTGGATTGTGGGGGATTCAGGGGAGGAAGTCGGGGAGTCACTGGGGGGCTCTTTAAGGGTGGACATGTAGGGGGGTTCTTGGGGAAGGCACTGGCAGTCGTTGGGGTGCTCTTGGGGTACAGATCCGTAGTCTCTGGAGGAAGCAGGGGGGGTAGCTGGGGAGTCACTTGGGGGCTCTTGGGGAGCTGACAGGCAGTGGTTGTGGGGCTCTGGAGGGACAGATGGCTGGATCCCGGTGGACTCTGGGGGGGCAGGCAGGTGTTTTGGGGGTGGGTCTGTAGCGGTGCAGGATGTGGGCTGCTGCTGGCATTCAGGTCGTTGAGGTCACAGGGGTCTTCAGGTCTAAAACATCAAAATATGGTGATAACCCAGGGCTGATGACATCACAAACACCTCACATCAGGTGGTCTGTTCCCTTAGGTTTATAAATACTGAAAATTAGAACCCTTCAAGTCCAAACCATAGACTATATATACTATGGACAACTTGTTTCCACCCTTCCACCAGTATACAGATTTGAAGCAGAAAAGCTCTCGGTAATTCTGCGTTTTTACTCCACTTCCTGAAACCAGCATCAGACCTACATGCACACACCTCGACTGTCTACAATAACCATTCAGGGCTCCAAAAATTCAGCTCATTAAGGACATTATGGGGTGTATTTAGGATTTTGTGAACTAATTGAATCAATGTGTTCAGTAGTCTTGCGGCTCTCACAAGTTCCTTATCATGAATGTAGCTGTCACAGAGTAAGAGCATCAAGGCATAGTCTGGGATTTTGTTGCTCAGCTTCAAGTCTCCTTTCTCCTGCTGTACTGATGCATCTACTGTCCCCATGGCAACCAATTAGTGCACCTGAAGACACACTGGAAAGCAGCTTCTAACGGTCATATGAGACACATGAAGCCAGGCTCAGCACACAGAGCTTTGGGGGTGACGTTTAAAACCCTTCACTAGAGCGCTTGACAAACCTCGGACCGTTTCTCCTCCCATGAACTTTGACCTACAGAAACCATTCAGGGCTTTAAAATTTAAGCTCATTGAGGACATTATGGGGTGTATTCAGGATTTTTATTCATTTTGTTTTTCCCATTTTAAACTCACTCAGTGATGATTTTTTATTTAATTTTTCAAACTAATTTAAACTCATTCAAACTGATTCAAACCTTTCTGATACTTAAGAACGTTCTGATACTTGAGGATTTCTAATTATTTAAATTTTCACTGATTAAATTAGTTTTAATATTTTGCATTATTCCATCCTTCAAACAAAATCCCACCTCTAGTACTACAACTACTGCTAATATCAATTAAACTAGTACTTTCCCCTCTACTTCAACTGCTATTGCTCCTATGTCTACTTTCTCTACTGCTGCTATTGCTACTATTTCTACTTTCTCTACTACTTTGACTTATACTTCTTTTATTCTCAAACTACTTCTACTGCTTACATGACTACTAATATCACTACTTGACTACTTATCATACTACTTCTAGTACTACAACTTAAACTTACGCCACTTCTCACCTTCCTGCCTTTTAAGGTAATTTCCTTCTTCATTCAAACTTTGTGCAATTTTAGACATTTTTTAGCCTCTTTCAGCATGAATAAAATTTCCTTTTAAAGAGCATATTCATACTATTTGTCTTTTAACCAATTAAACAATTATCCAACTTATATTTCTTTTTCACACCTTCAACAGCTTTAACATTTATACCTTTCTCAATGTTTTATTAGCAGTTTAGCATTGCTTTTTCAGATTTCAGCACTCAGCATTTCCACGCATTTTCTGCAAGGAAACGCAATTTTTCTAGTTAATTATTATTATTCCGTACCTTTTTTGGCACTTTCAACTCCCTCAAACTTTGTGCTATTTCAACCATTCAACTTTTACACTATTCCTCTCCTTCAGGACAAGTGCGGATGTATTTTTCACTTTTTTACCCTTTCACTTTTTTATGGGGAAATCTTAAAATTCTACCTTTTATTATTCCACCTTCTCAGCCTTGTAACTTCAGCATACTTTCACCTACAGACCTCAAAAACTTCTCCTCTAAATATGTTGTATGAACTTTTTTGTGCTATCTTCTACAGTTTTCCCACAACTCAGCTTTAAGCGCCTCATGGTTTTCAGCAAATTTCAGGCTTTATAATGGGTGTGTATTGGAGAAGCTAGAGTGGGGTGATGTCATAGCAAAAGTGGAGAGGTCCTTTCTGATCGACAAAACCTAGCTCGAATATATCCCTCCCACGCCAACAAATTTCACTCCACAGCCATAAAAAATACATCAAAAGGGAGGAAAATAAGTCCTGCTTCTCACAAAAGAGGTTTAAATCATTAAATCGTACCCCTTGGCCAGCAGGTGACAAACTTTCCAAACCTTTCTAATACTTCAACCTTGTCTAATACTTGAGGATTTTTAATAATTTTTTCCCATTTTAAAATCATTATAATTATTTATGCATTATTTTATTCTTCAAACAGATTCCCAGATTTACTACTACAATGACTACTAATATCACTTTAACTTGTATCTTTACTTCTACCTGCACTACTCTTGCTTCTCTAAATATTTTTTTTGTGTCTCTTACTTTCACAGCCTATATTACTTCTACCACGAGCTCTACTGCTTTGACTTCTACTTCTTCTATTCTAAAACTACTTCTACTGCTTACATGACTACTAATATCACTACTACAACTACCTATTATCATACTACTTCTAGGACTACAACTTAAACTTGTGCCATTTCTCAATTTTCTGTGTTTTAAGGTAATTTTCTTCCTTATCCAATTTTTTTTTGCAGTTTCAGACAGTTTTTCTAGCCTTATTCAGTATGAATGGAATTTTAATTTATGGGGTAAATTCATACTATTTGTACTTCAACAATTTCACGTTCATCCAACATCTACTTCTTCTTCTTCAGCTTTTAGCTTTTTCAGCTTTCAGCACTCAGCATTTCCACGCATTTTCTGCAAGGAAATGCAATTTTTCTAGTTTTCATAGCACTTACAAATGATAGCTATTATTAATAAGAAAACAATTCTGTTAAACAAATTATTTAAAATTATTTTTTCTGTGCATGTAAAAGAATGTTTGTGTGTTACATCACTGAAATAAATAAGGGAGCAAAGCACATCATATTTATTCATTACTCTGATGATATAATTAGTAAATGACACGACATCTTTTGGAAGAGAAAGTTTGTCATACAACACATTGACACAGCAACACACACACGCACGCGCGTGCACACACACACACACACACAAACTAAATTTAGCCTCCAAGTGTGTATGCATGTATCTAGGGCAGTCAGCAGTGCATGTCAGTGAATATGAGTGTGTGTGTGTGCAGGATCCTCACCGGTTCTCATCTGTTCGGACTCTTCGGTGTTTCTTTCCTCTGCGGCGGTGTTTCTTGCCCGCGGTGGCAGTGTTTCCACCTCCTGCACTCACGGCTGAGGGAACAACAGAGAGCAAAAAAATATTAGTATCATAAAGTTTAACTTCACATACTTTCAGCTCCTGCAGAACACAGATAACTTAACATGTAACATCCAACTATCAACCAGAAAGTCCAGATCTGATCTCTAAAACTCAAAGTAGCACTGTCGGCTAAACCACTCAATGACAACACACTTCATGATAGTTTCCATGTCAAAACAACATACATTTTGTCGCATAAATCGCGATTGACGATGCTCAAACGATATATCGTGCAGGCCTAATCTTATATTTTAAAAACACGGGTATTGGATCCTGACAACATGTCAAATGGAGCAGCAAACTATCGTTCTGTTTTTATGTGTCCCAAAAATGCACATATAGCGGTGTACTGGGGTACATAAACTGTGCAGTAAGCTGTCAAGGTAGAGAACATTATATTTTCAGGACAGCAAATATTCTGAATCAGAGGGCTATTGTTTTTGGCTTATCTGAATAGTCTACATGAAATCATTAAAGGCACACGCTTTTGAATCCACCCGAGGGTAAGGAAAACATGGATAATTTCGCCTTGTCATATACTTTCAACCGCGCTCCCATCAGGGGTGCATTCAACAGCAGGGGTGCTTTCTGTAGCATAACACCGGTCCAAGAACAGTCGGAGACTGAGAATGACGAAAAGCCTCGGCTGTATCCTCCTACTAAAAAGGTTTCGTTGGCAGTATGGACTTTTATGGCTTCACAAAACAGACAGAGCAGGTAAACCTGACACCAATCTGCAGGTTATGCCGTAAGGAAGTTACAGCCCCATTGTCTAACACTTCAAACCTACGTGCCCACCTCTGTGAACACCATCCAGCATCGTTTGCCCGAATCAAGGTAAAAACAACATGACCAAATCAAGTTTGGTCTACTCTACTGCTTATTATTGACAACGTTAGTGACGTTTCTGCTAACTTTAGCTCCAAAAAGCTCATGCTCCCAACGTCACGTTAGCTGCCTCTTGCTCATAATGTTTGTGCGTGTCATGCTGTGCAAAAAAAAGTGATTTCACAGTTTTTTGCCATTTTTAAAAACATTAAAAGCAATGCACTAATATTGTGATAATATCGTGAATCGTGATATTTTGGGCCACCAATAAAACAGAAGGAAATGAAAACGAAATAATAAATCTTATGTACAATTATCGATTTTGAGTGCGCCTGTTTTGACCATACGTGCATAGAGGCTACATTGGCTTTCCCGTGAACCTCAGGGACGGTTACCACGGCGAAAAATGCGACAGAGCGGTTCAAGCGCCAAAATCGTCCGCTGTAACAGAGCTCTGGTTGTAATTTTTTCTACAGTCATATCTTCAGGTCCTTACACACTGGGACCAACGCAAATATACAAAGCGAAATTACGAAATATTCGGAGGCGAATTATGACTATACACATCAAGCCCGATGTGATGGGAAAAAAGATGCATCCTGGGTAGAAGCGAGAAGACTGACACAACAGCAGACTGAGTGTTTTTCAGTTCTGATTAGACACTAGTGTTGAGATGGCTCTCTGTCACGATAGCATGAACTGAGTTGGGGCCAGTACCAGATCAGCACATTAAACTATAATCCATAAATGTAAGGTAACAACCAAGACCTAATAGTGCTGTGACAGCAACACTGTGATTGAGTTTGAGACAGTGAAAATACTTATGGTACATTGTATCTGAACAGGTTAGCTTACGAGGTAATGTTACTTAGCACAGATGACAGTTAAAACAAAGACATTTAGCAAACTGTTAAAGCACACAAACCATCGTCATATGAGAAATCCAATGCTATGACTCTCCATAAGTTGTCCATCAGGTCGTTATCTTTGTAATGTTTGTGTTTTTTTATCAAAAAAAACTCTGCTCTCCGACACGTAAACAATCAGCCAGTCGGCCATGTTTGATATACCGGTGACTAGTGCTGGGCGATATGGAAAAAAATGTATATCACGATATGGATCATTTTATATCACGATAACGATATATATCATGATATAGCTATGGTATGCTTTCAGTTCTATGAAAAATTTAAGTGTATACAGCTGCACTAGTACAGTACCAGTACAAGACCAGCACTTAAAACTAGAAAAATGAATAAATAAATACGTGGCTGAAGTGTGTTCATGTCTGTGCTCACCCAAAGTTATGCAACACTCACAGAAAACGCCAATAGTGTGAGCCAAAGCACTCCATAATAATAATAATAATAATAATAATAAATTTAATTTGTAATGCACTTTACATTTACAAAAAATCTCAAAGTGCTACAGTACACAGTAAAAAAAGAGCAGCAACAACAAAAAAAGCAATAGAATGACAGTCACAGACTGGCATAAAAAAAGAATTTAAAAAATTAATAATATTTAGAGTTGCAATGTAAGAGGCAAGGTAGTAAGAAAACTAACCAAAGGCTTTATTAAAAAGGTAGGTCTTTAGGGCTCTTTTGAAGAGGTTGTTCACACTGCTGGATGTTTCTCCTCCAAAGCTGCTCTCTGCCTCCATCATTGTTTACTTTACTCTTGAAGCACGTAGGAAGACCCGAGCATGAATCCGAGCGCTTTATTCGCCTATCAGGGGCAGACAGGTAAGATGATTTGATTCGCCACGACTCCAGAAATGATTGAAAAACTACAGAATGTCACAAAATTACGTTTCCTCGCTGCTGGCTTGAAGGGTAGAAATGCGCAGCCGCGCTCCCAGCTGACAGGAAGTCACTCCCGTTGCTTTTTTTCCCGTCCCGTCCCGATCAAGGGGTTATTTAAAAATGACTCCCATCCCGTGGGATTCCCGCGGGAATCACGTGACCCACGGAAATTCCCGAAAAATGTCATCCTCTACAGGGAAGGTCCCGGAGCAGATGAAACAGGTGCCGCAGCGGCTGAATTAGGTCCCGGGTCCGATCAAAAGAGGTCCCGGAGTGCGCTCCGACTTGCTCCGGCACAAATTAAGCACTGCTTACATGATCCCCTCACGTGTGTAACCCAGGTAACCCGCAACGGCGGGAGACGCTGGACACGAAGAGGGCACGTAAAGCGGCGTCATGTCGCAAAATCGAAAGAGAAATGCAAGCCTACATGTCAACGCATCCTTTTCTTTGTAAGAAAATATTGTTTTCTTTCCCGTTCGACACCAAATACACTTACTGAATGTGCAATTATTGTTGTTGTTACTATGAATCATCTGATGGCACAAGCCCTATGGATTAAATACAGCCTATCGCCCGAAACGATAAAAATAAAAATGGCACGATAGACATTTTCTATCGTGCCCACGATATCTATCGTCCTATCGCCCAGCACTACCGGTGACTCTGATGTCGCAACAACAAGCAATCTGATTGGTCAGAAGTGGACACACAGTATGCAAAACTTTAGAAAAATCAACCTTGATCCAAAAAAAAATTAAAATAATAATAATAATAATAATAATAAATAAATGCCGCAATATCACAAGACGGGGAAACGTCGCTGATGTGAACGCTTGTATTGACAGTAGGCCTGAACGATATATCGTTTGACTATCGTCATCGCGATGTACGTGTGTGCGATAGTCACATCGCAGAGCCTGCGATATTGGAGGTGAATGAACTCATTTAATTTCAAGGGTAACCGACTGAGATACACTCCATGTGACTCTGCATGTGCTGTGCAGCGATCCACCAATCGCCTTCGTCCTTAACTCAGTTGCCAATCAGACTCACTTCTCAGCTGCCAATCAGACTACCCTGCCAGCTGTCAATCAAAATCAGGGAGGAGAAAACCCACCCCTGCATATGTTCTGCACATGGGGGGAGACGTGTGTCCGCTGAGAATTACTTTCGGAACTTTACTTATGACTATTAAGCCCAACAAATAAGAACTGTATGGGTTTTAAATTGTACATTTCCGTGGACCACTCTACTATAAGCAGTGCGCGTTTTGCGAGGTGCATGCAATTCTCGGAGGACATGCGTTTCTCGGTACAGCACCGCTAACAACAACGATCGCAAAATCAACAACGAACAAGCGAAAACCACCGAAAATGAAGATTTGTTGCCAAAAAGAAAAGGAAAGTCAGTTATCTGGAATTATTTCGGTTAAAAAAGGATGATGTCGACCAAAACACGTCTTCTGTGTTCATCTGTTTCCACAATAACGTCCCAGCACAATAAAAGCTAAAAATATATCTGAGACAGACAGAAGCCGTTCTACTAACATTCACAAAAAGAGGTAAGATCAGAGCAGATTAACTGACCTCAAGATTTCAGCAGTGCAGCATAACATTAAGTGCTATTCAGGTCATCTGGTGAAAATATTGTATTTTTAATATCGCAATATATATCGCAGGGTTGAAAAAATCGCAATATTATTTTTTTCCAATATCGTGCAGCCTTAATTGACAGGATATGGGTTCAAGAAACATTGACGTCTGAAATAATTGCACGATAAAAACGGTCCCAGTGTGAAAGGACCTTTCCTCTTTCAGTGTGACCCTCCTGGCAGCAATGAATAATGGAGTTGGATGCGTCCAACTCCATGACAGCAGGTTAGCGTTTCTCTACCGCTCTGGACTGGAGTTTTTGGTCCACGTTGTCGGCTACTTTGTTGCACAATGTGCATGTGCGAACAGTGGAAAGGCACCGTGGGAAATGGGGACATCAAAAACCCGAAAAGTGGATTTACTATTTTGTTTTCATTTCCTTCTCTGTTATATATTCTGTTTTTAACTGAAAATACGAAAACAATAAGGCTGCAATAACGAATCGATTAAGTCGATTCGTCGTGACGAAAAAATCTGTTGCCAACTAATTCTGTGATCGATTCGTCGGGTCTTTATATATGTCCATGGACACCAGCGTGTAAACATCAGCAGGACGCACAGAAAAGAAACAGCCATGGCCGAGGCAGCGGCTGAGAAAAACATGGACACAACCCAACCCAAATCCCGACCTAAAACATCAGTGGTGTGGGAAAACTTCACCAAGACTGAAAAGGAAGGCGTTCAGTGCAACATTTGCAAAGACCGTTTTGCATGGCACCGGAGTACATCGATAATGCGTGAGCACAGGGCTCTCGAGTCTCACGCATTCAGCGTATGACACACGCATTCCCACTCGTTCACACGCTCACACACCACACATTGTATTTCTCACGCATTTAAATGAACATGATGATGTCCACCAAGTTGCACTTCTTTAACTATGGAACAGGTGGAAATCAACTGAGTTTCTCCAAGAGTTCAGAAGCTGCGTGCCACGCGCAAGCCAATCAAATAAAGTATATCTACTGAACAGCCAATCAAAAAGCAGCATTGCTGTATCCGGGTAGATTTTGATATCTTGCGGTTTGACTACAGAAGAAGACAGACACTCGCCGAAATAGAGCAGGTTTTTATAAGGACGAGATAGACCCGATGATTACAGTAAGTCAGTAACCTACACATGCAGAGACCTCAACACCTCATGGCAGATAAACTCATATGATAAACTAAAGCCCTATGCTATTGCTATTAACAGCTGCATTGATGAATTTAGCCTCTGTACAGCCATTTCCAGCCATTTTCCCCTCCACAAAAGCAGCATTTCTCATATATTCTTTTTAAAGTTCTGATACTCATGACAGTGTAACGCTGATGTACCAAAGGATTAAGTATCTCCATGTTTGTGAAACCTATACTAAAGTACAATCCATCTAAATGCTCCTCAGTGCTGATTTTAACAACTCTCCTCCACAACAGGTAACTTTACTACTTTATTCTTAAAGTCATTAATGACTTTATTCTCCTAAATAATAACTTTAATCTCAAAGATTTAAAAATGTTTTTTTCTTTCTCAATGTGGCCCTCATACTCCATTGTATTTATTAGATTATTATACTAATAATTATCTTCAATCACTCTTCGACTATTTTGCACTACTTCCTCCCGTACCTGTTGGAATCAGTGTGCAGTTTGAGTTATTTAATTTTTATTGTTTTTTATTTTATTTTATATTGTCGTGTCATGCTGCTGTTCAGGGGAAGCACCAGAAGTAAGCTCAGGTGTTTGGAAAATAAAAATATTTTTGGAATAAGCAAAAAAAAAAAAGTTTCTGTATTTATCCGATTAATCGATTAGTTATTAAAATAGTTTACAGATTAATCGATTATCAAAATAATTGTTAGTTGCAGCACTAGAAAACAAACACTAATTTTTTATTTTTTGGTTATACAGAAAAACACATACACAAAATATTGACTCGTTTTTTTCATTTTTCCTTTACTAGATTGAATGGAATAATTGAATGGACAGATAATGCACGGACCTACTATAATAATAAAAATACTAGGGCCCAACCGATTTATCAGCGAGTCAATTAAATCAGCCAATTTCAGCCCGTTTGAGATTAATCGGTATTCGGACAAAACTTGCAGATTTTCGCAGATATTTTTCAGAGATAAAATGCGGAGAATAAGATTCAGTTTTAATTTGAAAATGTTTGGCCATTTGAGAAGTTCCCCAACTTATGCTGTAGATGGCGCAGCAACCTCATGACAATCTTCATCCACTAACTACCTCACAGCACAGCACAGCAGAGCAGAGTAACGGATCTGAAGCAGGCAGCTCAGGGACCCATGGAGGAGGTTGAAAACGCTTTTCTGGTCCGAGTTTGATCAGTCTGTCTTCCTGCCGACGTGAAGAGCAGTAGCTTAAAGTATAACTGTTGATATCTAAGGTATATAGATATATTTTTTATAATTTCATAAAAAATGTCAAATTTGGCCGATTAATTAGTAATCAGACCCCCCCCCCCCCCCAATAATCGGCATCAGCCCCAAAAAATCCACATCAGACGGGCCCTAACTAATACAATTATAATAATACTAATACTAATACTATGATAATACTAATAACACTATAATAATAATACAACAGGAACAGTATCATTCCTCTTATAACACACTCCAATCATTGAACTCTTAATGAAACTGTTGAGCCTTAATGACTGATTTTAAGTCTGTGCTCATGACTCCAAAATATCAGCTGACACAGTCACCAACCATGACCTGTACACACCAACAATTTACCACAACACAACAGCAGACACACACCCACACAGTATATTACACAAGTTCTACACACAAATACACACATAGAAATAAAGGAGACAGAAGCTATCAGCTGATGTTTGTTTACATCTGTGATTTTCTGTATATGAGAACTGTAACAACTAACCTGAGTGTGTGTGTGTGCGTGTGTGTGTGTGTGTGTGTGTGTGTGTGTGTGTGTGTGTGTGGCAGTAACTGCCTGGTACCGTTAGGTAACGGCAGTTAGCTTAGCATATTAGCCTACTTTATAGGCTTTATATTATCCGGACTGACAGCCAGACCAAGAATCTGACCCTGGTCCGGACCACCTTACCTATCAACATCCTGTTTTCCGGTCCTCGAACTGAGCCGGGTCAAAGTGGACCGACGGTTCTGGGTCAAGCTAGCTTCAGGTTCGTTTGGCCAGCTGAACTCCACCCGTCACCAGAAGACCCGGAGAAGGTCCGGTTGCGTTCAAATGGTCCAGAATCGTTCTTGGGCTGGACTGGGTCAGTGCGGGGCAACGTGAGGCACGTGAGCCAGCGGCCTGCCGTTAGTTAGCTCGGTTCGTGTGTTAGCTGACAGCTGACGGTCTGTTAGCCTGTTAGCTTGTTAGCTCATCTCCGGGTGTAACGGTCCCGTCCAAATGTGCCGGGTCAGAACCGGGTTCGGTACCGGGTTTGTACCGGCTCCACTCGGGTTTTTCTCACAGTGTTTCTTCGTTGCTTCGGTTCCTCCGTTCAGTCTCAACAGCTGTCAAGCTGACACCGGACACCGGACACCGGGTTGTACGCAGGCGCAGTGAACGGCCATGCTGAGCCAGGACCCAAATAGGGAGCAGGGGCGGATTTGATTTACAGAGGGAAGGGAGGCTCTGTGGGAAGGTTACATGTATTCATGTTACTTTACTGTGCACACTCTATTGTGTGCTTGTACTCTCTAAAATTAGGACTTTTACAGAGCGTCAGTGCTACTGATTAACAACAGCTGAAACACAAATTAGATTTAGAAATACTTAAATAATCCCCAGGGGGAAATTGCTTTTTGTCACAGTACTCCAGTCCAAATACAGAAAAAGAGGAGATAAATAATAGATTAAATAAGTAAAAATAAAGAGATAAATAGATGAACTAAGTAAAATAAATGAAAATAAAGAGATAGTATGCACAAACTCTGTCGTCGTCGTTTTCTTCTGCTTATCCGGGTCCGGGTCGAGGGGGCAGCAGCTTCAGGAGGGAAGCCCAGATGGCCCTCACCCCAGTCACTTCCACCAGCTCCCCCGAGGGGATTCACCTCAGCTGACTCCTCTCGATGTGGAGGAGCAGCGTTCTACTCTGAGTGCTTCCTGAGTGTCCTTACCATATCTCTAAGGCCATCCTGCAGAGTAAACCCATTTCGGCCGCTTGTATCCGCGATCTCGTTCTTTTGGTCATTACCCAAAGCTCATGACCATAGGTGAGGGTCGGCAAGTAGATCGACCGGTAAATCGAGAGTCTCGCCTTACGGCTCAGTTCTTTCTTCACCATGACAGATCAGTTAAGCGTCTGCATTGCTGCTGACGCCACTCCGATCCAATGTACAAACTTCTCATCTGCAAATTTCAAACCAGAATTTTCTTGACAGTCCTCTCAGAATTAATAGTTTTTCTTATAAATCTATTTTGCTTACTGATTGTTTTACTATAGACTATATATAGAATGGACACCGTCTGCCTCCTCGCTAGGTGAAGCTACTTCGAGAACAGCACCCTCTGGTGACAGGCTGCAGTATAGGTCATAAATCCCGCACTGGTTTGTGCTCAAGTCTTCTTTTTTCTGTACAGCTCAATTTTTAAAAGTTATTAGAGGGTTCATGTTTTCTATGATTGACACTTGATACAGCCTATGGGTGTACCAAGATTGCTTAGTTCACTGGAGGATACACTGTTTGAGCCGAGTGTCATCACAGTGACTCTCTGCGACTCTCCCGCTGAATGCGTACAACACTACTGTGCAATTTTGGTTCTAGGAAATGGAGAAAAATCGCGGAATTACTGAGAGCTTTTCGGCTTCAAATCCGTATACTGGAGGAAGGAGGAACCAATTTGTCCAGAGAATATACAGTCTATGTTCCTTACTCTTTGCCATCCATTAAGTTCATTTGTCTCATATTGACAATCATCACGAACGTTTAATCACCTCACATTAAACAGGTGCCGAGTCAAAAATCTCTTCACACAATAATACTGATAGTTCTTTTACAACAAATAATTTTGAAAATGTGCTTTCAAATCATATGTGGAGCATGTTTACTTTCTACCACCCCAGCACCACGTGTGAGTACATACTCAGGACTTTGAGAATATTTAAAATTAAATTCTTTACACCATAACACCGAGTTAGACCCCCCCTCCAGAGATGAATGTTGCCGACCGCTTGCTTCTCTAGTTATACCAACTTTAGTAACGACTGCAGGATAGAAATACACAGCAGTCTGAGGAGCCATAAACAAACCTCAACCAAAACACCACTCTATAGCCACAAATAATGCTCAGAACAGCACCTAACTTCATCAACAGGACATATAGGGTCCCAGCCATAGTACTAGCCACCAAACATCTTTTTAACTTTGACTCATTTCTTTAGCAAAGAGACTAAACACAACTCACCTACTCTCTTCCAGCAGCCGCTTGTTTGTAGTGAGACCTCAGGCCGGTCCATTACAGACTACAGCGGGGTGATGCAGCTCAAGGAAGAACATTTATGATCATTTCTTTATCATTTCCTTGAAGTAATTATCACCATATTAATCATTTTGCACTGCAGATGCGGTAGTTCTTCTGCTTTAGCGACTCGGTCTGATTGCGTTTCAATGAAGAAATGATCATAAATGTTCTTCCTTGAGCTGTGAAACTCCACTACACTCAGGGATTGACTCGTCAGGGCTCCCCAACAAACGAACAACTGCTGGAGGAGAGTCAAGCGCAAGCATTTTTTTCAGATATCTCCAAATCAGAGATTAAATCAAAAATATATAATATCAAAAGCATATAAGCAGTATGACGCAAAGCTAATTTAAAGATATTTTAAAAACTCTACCAAACTTTTCAGATACATAAAGGAATTATCCTTTAACACTGAATATATTATATTACAATGGGAAAAAAGGAACTTCAGGTGGAAACACCACTGGAGGATTGGTAGTCGATGTGGAACACACAACACTCATGCACAAGCTCCAAGAAATGGAGAGAATTTGGTAAGTTACTTTGCAATACCACACAATAAAATTTAACAATCCAAACCACATAACCCATGTTGGAGACATTGTGGACACATTGAAGTCAATCAATAACTTATTTTTTGGTCATGTCCAAAAATGCAGTTATTCTGTGTAAAGATTGTCGCAACCCTGGTAGAGCTGCAACAAGGAATTGATCAAATTGATAAAAATCAATTATTCAAAGTGTCGGCAATGAATTTCATTATTGAGTCGTTGTGTCGTGCAATTAAGTGTCACTCCTAATTTAGTGGCCAATGGACTGGCCTGAGGTCTTGCTACAAACAAGCGGCTGCTGGAAGAGAGTAGGTGAGTTGTGTTTAGTCTCTTTGCTAAAGAAATACGTCAAAGTTAAAAAGATGTTTGGTGTCTAGTACTATAGCTAGGACCCTATATGTACTGTTGAAGTTAGGTGCTGTTCTGAGCATTATTTGTGGCTATAGAGTGGCGTTTTGGTTGAGCACGTGGCTCTCTGTATTTCTATCCTGCTGGTCGTTACTAAAGTTGGTATAATTAGAGAAGCAAGCGGTCGGCAACATTCATCTCTGGAGGGGTGTCTAACTTGGCGTTACGGTGTGTTTGACACTAAATTTTTTTTTTTGCGGAATATCCCTTTACAGGAAGCAGCCCTCCAAAATAAAACACTAAGAGTAGGTTCTTAAGTGTTTAACCCTGACTTGTTTTTACACCGGAATATGCCTTTAATACTGATACAACATACTCGGTTTACTTCTACTGAAGTAAAATGTCATTGAAGTTACTGCATTTCTCTTGCTGTTGAACATTTTGTAGTTTTGGCAGAGTTTTTATTTGGTTTGGTTTCATGTCTGACATTTTTTACTCAAACATTCATCGATGTGCCGTGTAAAAAAAGACAGACCGCAGTTAAAATTAAAACTTTATTTTTACAGAATACAAAGTGTGTTTGGCCTCCAGCATTACCTCAGTACACACATCTTCAAAACAGCTCCTCCTCTTCATCATCGGTATCATCATCATCATCACCACCTTCATCCTGACAGGTATTTACAGGTACATTTACACTCTGTTAGCAAACTGTACAGCATCAGTCTGAGCTTCAGGGAACCGATCCTGGATCAGATTTCAAAAACCCTTTGAAAACTTTATTCCCTTATACAAAAACTTTTATTTTATATAAGCTCAGCCAATCAGCACTCAGCCAATCAAAGTTCGACCAATCAGGGCAGAGGATCTGATCTGTAAAATCCCAAAGGTTAAAAAAACTGTACAGAGATCAGAAGGTCAAAGGTCAAACCATCAATGTCATTGAGGCGTAGAGTTTAAGGTCTGCCTCTTTTTCTTTTTTTTTAAGAAGCACTGTAAGTCTTCATCATCTTCATCATCACACGCATGCAGAGATCTAAAGAGGTCAAAGAACTACAACTATGGGATCAACACAGGCTCAAAAACAGGCAGCGACACAGAGAAGCTCAGAAACATCAGAAGAAGAAAAACAGGCTTCAATCAGCAGGAAGACCAGTTCACTAACTTTACAATTTAAAATGTGCTTCCTGTTTCAGAATAAAACTGACACTTCTTTTTATTGCATGAAGAGCTTATTTGAAGACTTTTAGTCTGAAAATCAGGAGACTTTAACATTAAATGAATCAAACTGTGACAGAATTTTGGAAAACTTTACTCTGTCCCACCTCCACCTGCAGCTACCTATCAGATGGTTGCCATAGAGACACCATTGCAGACAGAGACAGGTGTTTTGTTTTGCTTTGTTCGTAACCCTGCAAGTTTCATGTTTGGTGTAAACAGTGTTTCCTCTTTTCTGCTGAGATTTCACATATTTACAGTAATAACAGGATCTGATGATTACCCCGCCAAAATACAATCCATCCTTTAAACATTATTGCTCTTCGCATCAGAAAAGTGTGTATGTTCAGACGAACACATACTGTGTGTGTGTGTGTGTGTGTGTGTGCAGTCTGAATGACAAATAGCTGTTTGATATTTGCAGGAAAAAAAACACAAGACACGAAGGCTGTTGTCGAAACCATCCACTGCATAGACTGCCAGTTGGCTGTTTCTGTGCAGAATGCTTGGCCCGGTTTAGCGG